AGTTTACATCAGCAACCTCTGTATGTGGTGTCTATTTTAGTTTTAGAATCAATATTATATTATATCCTTAGGAGGAATTTAAATAACTTCCAAATAAAGTAATCTATGATCCAACATCTAGCATCAGTATATTTTATTATGTACACAATTTTTTTTTTTTTTTGCTGAGAGCTCAGTTGTTTCAATGCTTCAACAACTGAATAATGCATACAAGGCTCATTCGTTATGTGATTGTCTTGCCCACAGGAGCTGTCTGACCTGCAGAAGGACCCGCCTGCTCAATGCTCCGCTGGACCAGTTGGAGAGGATTGTAAGTACTGAGGAAATTGCTGCATCAGTTTATCCAAAGTAATAACTTATTTATATTTATGCATCAGCTGTTTGAGACTACAACAGAAATGTATTGTGTGTGTGTGTGTAAGAATGTTTCATCCATATGTAAATCCTTTATACATTTTTTCCCCAGTGTTTCATTGGCAGGCAACAATAATGGGTCCGGTAAGTGCAATTGACTTTATAAACACTGGTTCAAATATTACACATGAAATTACCTTTTCGACTAACTTGACTCATTTTTTTATCTTTTTCAATAGAGCGACAGCCCTTACCAGAGCGGAGTGTTTTTCCTCACCATTCACTTCCCGACAGATTACCCCTTCAAACCACCCAAAGTGAGTGGACCTTTCTCATCACACATCACACATTTCAGCTCACTTCTCCTTCATTTACTTCACTGGATCACCACAACATTCTTTTTACACTTTGTCACAGGTTGCATTCACAACAAAAATTTACCACCCAAATATCAACAGCAATGGGAGTATTTGTCTGGATATACTGAGATCACAATGGTCACCTGCACTTACAGTATCAAAAGGTAAGTGATAATGCAGTACTCATTAGTTTGACATTTATATTTGTAGTAGTTTATAGGATTGAATGTTGACTAGCACTAGCCAGCAAACATACACACCACCAGAGCCCTGAGTCTTGAATCCGCTGAATGCAGCGCATTGCTGTGGCCTCGCAGCAGCGCAAAACCACAGTAAAAGTGCTGAAACGTCTAAGAGTGTTTGCTGGGGATACTGCAAGGCGTGTGCTACCGTTCCACGGCAACGCAGTCTGTCGGATCGACGGCAGTAAGCCGGACAGTTGAGCACGCTCAAATGCACAAACAAGCATTCTAAAACCTGCCAACAAGGCAACGAGAGACTCCGATGCCAACACAGAGCCGGGAGAGCAACTTCATTTTCTGCTTAGGTAAACATTAAGCCACGCTATTTTTACATTGTGAGTAGTTGTTTGCTGCTATATTAGCAATCTGAATCGTGGGTATTGCACCTTTTTAATGTTAGTTGGTTTTGATTACTGCACTTTCATTCACTTTTCATTTACTTCCCATTCATAGCGGACTTCGTGTTGAAGAGAAGTTGACACCCAAGTCTCTTCACCTAATTTAACTTTCTCCAGGCTCATGTCGGTTTTCAACTGTGAGATGCTCGTGTCAAGTGTATAAGCGTGAATATTGATATTCCTTTTTATCGATGCTGCTTGGCCCTATTGAGATGAACAAATCGCACACGGCTGTGCTGGTATTTGAGCAGCCGATACTCCCGCTGTCATTGTCACGTCGGGTTTCTGTTCATGTAATCTAATTACTTTTTCAATCATTCTTCCACAGTATTATTGTCTATCTGCTCTCTTCTTTGTGATCCAAACCCGGACGACCCACTGGTACCAGAGATCGCCCACACATACAAGGCCGACAGGGAAAGGTGTGTACAATACATCAATGAGTATAAACACATCTATCAGCGTTGCTTACTGTCACGCTGACTTTCGTATTCTTATTCCAAACTCTGCATGTGTTTTACAGGTACAACAAATCGGCAAGAGAATGGACGCATAAGTATGCAATGTGAAAATGCCAGGGAGATGAAAATACAATGAAAACAAAATAAACACGTTTGATTTGTAACTTGAGGTGAGGAGGAGGAGGAGGAAGGGGGGGTTGAGGAGGAGGAGGAGGAGGAAGTGATACAATGAGGTACAGTGCCACCTGGCTTTCCATGTGCTGAGCTGCTACCATGTGCTGTCCTTCATGACTTGTGTGAATCTGCTGAGCAGGACCTGATGGGCTCCTTAAAGCACTCCCATATGGAATACCGGAAACTCTTCACAGTCCATACCGCCACTCTCAGACTTTAAACTGTTACTTCTGCTATTGTGATTTTCACTATTGTTGTTGCTATCCACACTCAACATTTCACCGTCAACGAGTCATGTTGTTGTTGTTGTTCTACTCTGAAGCAAATGTTTTGGTTTATTTTTGAGATTGTCTCTCCCTTCGTTTTCAGAGGTACTGTCTGTGTCCCACTGGATGTCTTTTTATTGCTGTATTTCCATGTATTTAGTGGCCTTTCTGTTATGATTTTTGGTATGTGCAATTGAGGCAGAATGTTCCCTGTTCAACTCAAAATGGTGCAGTACCATTACCAGCAGCTGATCTGTTGGCACACACTGTCTCTACCCCGCAACAATGTGAACAATGCAAAGAAGGATTGGTCTCTTATCACCCACACTGCATTTTAAATTGCAATAGTATTTAGTGGTTTTGAGGACACTGTTGTAGGACGAATGTCAACTCCCATTTTTCTCACACATGCTGTCATTGCCTTTATTTCCTGTGTAACACCGATGGCTGGTACCCATAGTGCACTCACTACTACTGTTTGACTTATTACTTGTGCAACTTTGATCATAGCTACTCTTTGGCGTATAGCTGAGCGGTGTGCCACCTCCTCAGTGCAGTTACTCAGGTATCTAACCAAATCATCAGCCTTTACACGCAGTGACCCATTGTGAGAAAAATGACCAGATGCCGTAACATCATTAAAATGTACTTATCTACCTTAACTGGTTTGTTCATATACAAGAAAAAGCTCACACTGAAGAGACAAAATTAATAAAATTAAAAAATTAAAACAGATCAGCTCTTCATGCATCTAGACCATCACAGTCTGTGTTGCATAATAATATCCCGTCCAAAAAGTTGTCATTTTGTCTCAAAGAGGGCTTTTTCACTATCCCTGAGTTCTCATAAGCATCATCATTTAGTTTTTAGCCACAGCGTTGGGAGCAGCTTTTAAACGACGCTACCAGACATGCTACGGTTTTAAATGAAATGGCCTTTGGTTACAGCCGGTGCCCGTTATATTTAAAACGGAGACTTAAACAGGCATGGCAACTTTCAGAACCTACTCATATGAAGTCATGCGCATCTTGTTGCTCGACGTACAAGAAATACAGTTTTTCATGACAACTTAATCAAGTGATGTGAAGAGTCAGCATTTCTTTCTGTTCGTATGCGGGTCTGCAAAGATTTGTTTTGATGAACAATCCACACTAACCGTGCAACCGTTTGTCTCAGTGAAACATTGGTGACCTTTTGTATTGTATCTTTGAAAGCTTTAGTGATAGATTATTTCATCTTCATTTATGTCACCAGAATTGAACAGGATTGTGATGTGTCATAATGTAATATTGGTTTTAATATAATTCATCGTGGCTGTTGGGTAAAATAGTTAGGAAATGCTCTTCTTTTTTTCTTCTTTTCTTTTGTTTTTTTAATCATGGCTCATAATGTGCTCATGCTGCCAATATAAAGGGAATTGTTTGATATTGTAAAGGGGAAGAAATTAATCCTTTGAGGCATTTTTGAGCGAATTCATCCAGATAGGCCCTTAGTAAAGCATGGACATTTTAAAGGCTTCGATTTTAGAATCAACACCGTGGTTCATGTGCCAATTATAGATTTTTACCATTGTCAACCGCTGTAGAGAAAATTGTCAAAACAAGTCATCTTGATGAACAGTGTACACTAAAGAATTTTGAAAATATACCCTCAAAATGCAGTGAAAGTTTTTTTTCTCGACCCGACCACAAACAAAAATAATGTAATAGTAATAGTTCAAGCTTTGTGTGCATTGTTTGTCCGGCTATTTATTTGAGAGCTTAGTACCTCCTTGTGTACCAATGAATGCAGCCTCGATTCATCATGTGAGTGGTGCGACATTGAATTCCTTTGTCCAGTGTGCTCAGTAGAGTTTATATAGGCAGCTTGGCATGCTTTGCACTCTGGTGAACCTTCTCACAGCCGTTTGCCAGATATCAGGGATTTCGTTACAATTCATCTGCCTAACACATCGGACTAAAATTTTAGCCTTAACCCTCATTTTGTGTGTGTGCGTGTGTGTGTGTGTGTATATATATAGAGAGAGACAGAGAGAGAGAACATTGTCATAATCTGTAAATTTGCTATCAGGGCTGTATCCCCTATACGGGTGATTCATTTCGTCTAAAGACATGGTAATCTGCTTGTACAGTAACAACATTTTGGTTGAAAATGTCAGCCTGGCTTTCTCTTGACAGCTGGACCAGCCTTCATGCATCTCAAAATTTGGAATATGTCTGCTTGAAATGCCACCACGAACGTCCACTTGTCATCACACAGCCTACACGAGATAATTATTGACCTTGTCATGACATAAATAAAGCTCATATTGGTTTACCGTTGCCTGCAGTCATTTTAGCGTGTCTTTATCGTGTAGCAATAACTACCCACAACTAGTTGAGCATTGAGTGCGTTAAATGAGTGGATGACCACAAAAAATGCGATCCATAAGCAGAAAAGGTGCATGCAAATATTTAATTTTCAACTCTACGAATGTCTTCCTTATGCTACGCCGCCGCACTCTTAGGGTGCGTTTGATTCTGTGAGCTCCCGAGCGGGGTCTGTGCGGTGCAGAGTGCATCATCGCGCAGACCTCTGAGATATATCCTTCTTAAGTGGGAATTGTGTGCATAAAAATAATTATCCTTACATTGCTTTGCACAGACATGTGGCAGAGTAGACTTTTTTTTTTAAATGGCAAACCTAGCTCCGTGCGTGCGGTGTGTCCCCTAAACTAGTCGAACGTCACTGCCGGACCGCACAGCTGAAAGGCAGCATCATCGCCACTCCTCCCAATAGGAAGGGCGCATCCCCGATAGCTAGCTGGCTAGCTCGACCCCGCACTACGATGGCAGTCAACCTCAGCAAGAACGGCCCGGCGCTCACATCTGCATTTAAAGAAGTGGTAGATGAAAAATCCAACACCAACTGGTAAGGCGCGGCCCTTTCAGAGCAGCGTCAGCGCTTTATATTGTAGGAGGCGTTCTGTTAGCTTCAGCGCTGGCTAGCATTCAGCCTTCCGCCAAGTAACGTTCAATTACCGGTAATCTAACGACGCGTACGCGTATCCTGGGACTAAATGTTACTTTGTCATTAATGTGTCCACAACGTAGCTTCGTGGTTCTTTGTGTGCCTTTTTCACATGTATTGCCGCTCTGACGTAACGTTTTTGAAAGATGAGCTAACCGAATAGCTAGCGTTAACTTAGTAACAGTTAGTCAGCGAGCTACTCGGACAAACCGGCGCAATTCACATACGTCGTCCCTTATATTCTATCATAAGTGTACACCATTGTTTAATAATACATTTCATGAATTATTTGATGCTACCTGACTCAGTTCCTGGTAGAGTATCAGAAGTTTAAAAAAAAAAAAAAAGGCCAATATGTGAAAGTAAATCCAGGGACTTCCTCTTCGCTCCACCACACGTTACAGAAGTGCGTGTATTGCTTGGAGGTTCAAATGAAACTTGTTGATGACAGCTGCAGTGTTTAAGGATGACCTGCGTTAATTAAACTCAAGGGGCAATTGCCACGGGAATATATTGGGCCCAAAGGCCTAAAATACTTGCAAGCATAATTATTTGCAATTCAATTAGAGCAGCAACTAAAAATGTATATTCATCCACTCCTCTGCTGGTTATTTTCAGTATTACTGGAATAGTTGTTTTTAGCATGAAATATACATATTTATCATATAAATGCCAATCATGATTTCCCAAAGCCTGTGTCTGGAAAATATATTTGCTTTTGTGTGAACAAAATTGAACATTCAGGTTACGCCCTACAGGTTTAGGATATTTGTGCTCGGTAGAATTCCTGAAATGATCATTTTAAATTGTTGCAGATTAACTTTTATAGCGATGCACCAGTTGTTTTGGCTCTGTTGACTCATAGTTTTATCCCTCTAATAGTCCACACTGAATCCCGTTGCCGTGCAACGCTGGTTTCAAGGGAACGCTGGGTTGTCTGAGCTCAGGCCGCTGCACAGGACCAGCAAACTGGTATCGTGGCCGTAGCGTTGGCACCACGACGGCAAACTGAGCGGCCTTTCAAAGGTCTGAGTGTAGGGTGAGGATGGAGGAGCCGGAGGCTTGGCTGGCTCTCAGGTATGCAGGTTGATTGGCAGCAGGAGAGCGATTGAGTGCCACAGACCGAGACACACACCTACGCACGCACTCAGAGATGGAACAAAGGAGACGACACAAGACACGCGGTGGGGAAAGCAGGAGACCTCGTGGGAATAATGGCCAGGCAAAGCCAAATCACGAAGACTTGATTACTGACTGTTGTATTGCTGAAACATACAGGGGGGGACTTTTAATTGTTTTTAAAATGGCAGCAAGATTTCATTTGCACTATCGTACCTCCGTGACACGTTTTCTGTTTCAATTGTGCTAACGTGTGATGGTTGGATAAACTTCTATTGTTCTGTTTGTTATCAAATGGTGCACATTGACCCCTGGAACCGCCGCTTGTTTAGCTGGTATTTTAATATCCTTAATCATGTGTTGTTGTTTCATTTTCACAGGGCATTGTTCACCTACGAGGGAAACAGTAATGATATCCGTCTGGTAGAAAAGGGAGGTGAGTAACCGAGTAGATGTCGGTATCCGGGTTCTATCTGCCAAATACAATATTATCAAGTGTGTGCAGGAATCTCGTTGTCGACCTTTCAGAAGGGCTTACAGTACTGAAAAGTCTGCACAAAAGGAGTGCTTTCCTCTGCTATCTACCCCCATAATTTGTCAGAAGAAAAAATGTCCACAGTTGCTCAACCAACCACGGTAGCCATTTAACTTTTCCACAATGTCCGTGTCAGATGGAGGACTGGAGGAGTTGGTTGAAGAGTTGAACAGTGGAAAAGTGATGTATGCTTTCTGCCGGGTCCAGGATCCAAATTCTGGCCTCCCTAAATATGTCCTCATCAACTGGGTTTGTGCTGCACTTAACAATTGTACATTGTTTATCTTTTTTTATTTTTTTTAAAGTGTCTTGTAACTTACGAGTCCCCCTTTGTGTTTCAGACTGGAGAAGGAGTAAAGGACGCAAGGAAAGGATTATGTGCAAATCACGTCAGTTCCATGGCCAATTTTCTGAGGGTAACGTCTTCACAATTCTTTGTCTGACTTTTTTGAAAAAGTATTTTATTTTTTATCATCTATTGGTGAGAATTGAAGAAGAGAAAGAATTGAAGTGACCTTTTATTAAATGGTGTTTTCAGGGAGCCCACGTCACAATAAACGCCCGAGCAGAGGAGGATGTGGAGCCCGAGGTGATCATGCAAAAGGTGGCCAAAGCCTCCGGAGCCAACTACAACTTTCACAAAGAAGCTTCCAACCGCTTCCAGGACAGCGGCCCCCAGGGGCCCGTGGTACGCAGCGCATGCACTTCCTGCCTCTTGCCCTCCTGTTCACTTACGTTTCCTGCCAGAAAGCAAATCAGAGGCTTCCATCCTAACTGTTGACTCTTATTTTCAATACATGGAAACATATGAAATGTTTCAACAAACTCTTTTTAAAGGAGAACGTGCTAAATGCTGACTTTTAGGTCAAAGGTGCATCAAACAGTTTTGTCTCCCACTGTATTTTGGTTGTCTTTTTACAATGTAAAAGGGTGTCAAATTGCTGTTTCCTTTTACGTAGGGCTCTGTGTACCAGAAGACCAACGCCATGTCCGAAATCAAAAAGACCAACAAAGACAACTTCTGGGCTCAAACGGAGGTAGGCTCCTGAACTAAGCTGCTGCAGTAATCTCCGAGATGCTGTTGATAATACATAAAGTAGCTCTTTAGAAATGGCTCCTTTTTTTTATAATATATTTTTAATCAATCATTTAATCATGTTGCTTGCAGTTTTCAAACATTTGAAACTTTTTTTAAAGACTATAAAAATATAAGGCATGCAGTTTTTTTTATCCATCACGTCAGCAAAGGAACTCTCCTAACTTGCTCCGTATCTGTTACAAAGTCCAGAAAGCTGTGCTCATTGCGGTGTTGTTTTAATGGATAAACTATTGCAAAATCAAGATATATCATATTTGCAAGGTACCAAACCCATTGCTGGCTTTACTGTCTGAATTTTAGAAAGAAGAGGAAAAACGTCGCGTGACAGAGCAACTCAAGGCGGACGAAGAGCGCCAGCACCTGGAAAAGGAGAGGAAAGACAGGGAGGCCAAGGAGACGGTGCAGAGGGACAAAAGAGACAAGGAGAGGGCCACTCAAATAGACCAACAAAAGTAGGTAGACACTGAAGGAAATGCCCACTGGTCGACACCGGTATGAAGTTTCACTTTGTGTACAAGAGTTGAAGTAAAATACAAATTTTGTCTTTTTTGTATTTTTATTTTAAAGGAAGTACGAGCAGCAGCAGGGCGCCGCGACCAAACACCAGGAGAAACGTGCGGTGAGTGTCTCCCAAGATTTCCCTTGAATAACTGCAATTCAACCGTGAAGTAACCTGACCGACAAGTAATTGGATGCTGAAAAGAGGGGGAATGTGGATCGGTGTGACTTCGGCGTCTCTCATTGTGTTACCCATTCACACCCTTAAACTTAACTGTATTGATAGTTCACTAACTGTGGGTAGTGCACACCTCCTGTTAAGGCAGTAAGGTAGCTAATGTCAGCCGTGCCAACATTGATATCGACATTATCAGGAGGAGGAGACCCAGGCGGCCCAGAGGAAAGCAGTCAAGAGAGGTGAATCTGTGGAAAAGGCCAATGTGAGTTCCCCTCCCTGACGCCCTGCTCCCTTCTGGCCAAACTACTTTTCTTTTTAAATGTTAAGTGTTGTTGTCTTTCTAATCAAATGGGAACCATTTGGAACTCAATATAACACCTCTTTGCTGCATGAGCTCTTCTTTCTCCAGGATCATCTACGGCATAACATCCGTCTTTTCGGTCGTTTTTCTCTCTGCACTTCTCACAGAATTATTAATGACCAGCAGCTTCTAATGCTTATTGCATGTATTGTTTGTTTCTGCTTTTTTTTTCTTTTTCTTTTCTTCTAGGAGGCGGCTTCTCTCATCTCTCAGCGTGCTATGAACCCCAGAGAGATGTTCAAGCAGAGAGAGCGGGGAATAACTCCCAGCGACTCGGACATTCCCCCCGCTGCCCCTGCCAGCCCCCAGCCAGGTATTCGCCGTGCACACGCTTCGACCTCGCCATTCAAATCTGTTTGCGTTAAATCTCGCAGCCCTTCCTGAATTGCTATCTGGAGGAGGTTGCCGCGCATACAGTCCTTTTCAGAGATTTTACTTTCCATTAGAGAAAGCTGTTTAACGCTGTATCTCCTCCATTGTGTCGGCTCTTCTGCTCAAGCAGTCTGTTTTCTCTTTTTTTTCCTTCTTTTTGCTTGATTATGGGGTTCCAGGCCGTCTGCAAAGCCCTTTTCTGTCTAAGCCAGCATATGAAAGCGAGCGAGCCAGTTCGCCTCAACGCCAATCTTCTCCCGTCCCAGCAGGCGCCGCCTCTCCTGTCCGCGCCATAGGTGTGAGATCTCACTCGCACGCACATACAAAAATGCATGCTTTTGTTTTGTTTGCCATACTTACGTTAAATCTCCATACCTCTGCGTTTGTTTTTGATAATCTTAAATCCACATGAGAAATTGCATCGTGAGTTGTGCTTTTCAGTGTACTTGTTGTTTTTCCTGAGGAACCTTCAGATTATTATTTGGTTGCTCAAGTGAAGCACTCGTCTGTCTGAGGGGGCGGATGGTTGTTTCCAGCCAGTGTGGACTTGTGAATGTGTTCGCCTGTGTCCATGCATGTCTGTGCTTGTGTTTTGGGGGATAAGAGCCTGATGTGGATGATGGACAGTCTTGGGCTGAGTATGATGAGCAGGAGGAGACCCCCCAGGAGCCGTTTGAAGGTGGGGCCACTTTCTCACACACCGGCCTCAGTGTTGGGCATGAGCTCTCCAACCCACCCATTTGCTTCTCATGTTATTTTGTCATTCGTTCAAAGCACGTATTATTCCCTTCAGCCAAACTGTGGTGTCAGGATCAGCTGCTGCCACCTACTGGTTGTTGGTCGGGCCAGAAACGTCATACTGATCGTAATCTGTCTTTTCAGAGAAGACACCAGTTGTCCCCTCTTACGTCCAAGAGACGGCTCGTGAAGAACCCGCTGAGGTGATCGTTTGCTTCTCTTTTATCCGCGCATGCTGTGACTTTTTTTTTTTTTTTTTTTGGTCATATAATTCATGGCTGATTAAATAACCTCTGCGTCTATGACTAAAACATCAGACTGTGTTGTTATGGTTGCGAAGCCAAAGATCAGTTGCGCAGCTCACGCAACAGGATACAGATAAAGTTAGCGGTTGCAACCTGCTACAAATGGAGACATTTATTGATCATTTATACAGAAGAGTGATTAGGCAGAGAACACTCCCGTAAAAGAGAAGAGGAAAAACAAGTCCTAAAAGATGGTGTCTGACAATGTTGCTCAAAACGTAGAAGGAAGGCAGCAGAAATGCAGAAGAATAACACTGGCTCCGTGGCGCCATTACAGACACTGACTGACCTGATAGATTACGCCTGCAAGTGTGAAACCTCATTTCATTGCTGTATGCAACAAAAACTCAGCAAGTGGAGCCACACAGCTGCCCCAAAAAAAAAAACGTGCCGCTCAACAAGCCGCTGTCAGTCATCCTATCGAAGCTGGACAGTTTTTTTGTTTTCGTTGTCAGTCACTAAATGACAAAATAAAAATGTATAAACGGCCATATACCGAAGTGAAACTAGCGCTAGCAGAGCTAAATACGGTAGCTGCGGGTGTCAGCCACAGCCCATTGCAACTGCATCCATAGCAACCACTTGTGGCACGCAGCCCAGCACGGCCTGTTTGATTTGATCTAGATGTATTATTTTTGAATAACTACTACTTGATGAATCTTCTATAAGAAATAGCTCACTGTCTTTGATTTGTTTTGATCGTCATAAACTATTGCGTAACTACAACACCATACTTATTCACTCCCAGGTGGAGGAGACTAACCTTTATGAGGTGACTCCTGACGAGGCCCCAGACAAAGGCACCTGTGCCAGAGCCTTGTACGACTACCAGGCTGGTGAGTTCTATTTTTAATCACAATGCTGTCAAACAGATTTTATTAATCAGTCAAGTACCTAATGAAGCAACTTTAACGGCTCAATAAGTTGTTGATAAACAATCTCAAAAGCAGGTGGATCAACTTTTGAGATTCGAAGGGAGCGCGTCTATTCAACAAATATTATTATATACTTTCAACCTTAGTTCCCAGAATTAAAATGTGCACGTCTGATGCTGTGAACCGGCCGATACAATCGCAATCGGTGCATCTCTACTGCAGCTGCTCTGCTCTGCTCTTCTCCCCCAGCCGACGACACGGAGATCTCATTCGATCCAGACAATATCATCACCGGGATCGAGATGATAGACGAAGGCTGGTGGCGGGGCTACAGCCCGGACGGCCATTTTGGAATGTTCCCAGCCAATTACGTGGAGCTAATCTAGTGCAGCCCCACTGACCCCCCCCCCCCCCCCCCCAAAACCCCGGTTGGGGGTTATCACAGTGGGGGGCCCAGGAGACATCTGGAGTAAAAACACGCACAGGCCGTCTCTGCACCCAATTGAGCCCAACGCGCTGAAACGGAGTCCGGCATCCTCCACATCATGGACCAATGAACGGAGGAAAATCTCGGGGCAGAAGCGGGTTCAAAATGGCCCTTTTCAAGAAAGCAATTGCATTACATTTTTGATGTAGTGAGCAACTGGTGGCATAGTTTAGGGAATTGAGAATACCCATAGTCAGATCAATGCTCCCACTTCCTCCCCCTCCCACCCAAAATACATCTCCTTTCCTTTAAATGTGATGCAGTACAAAATCAGCCTTTTGAATCAGTAGTAACGGCTCGTCTAGTTCACATTCCTTACAAAGTGGCTTCAGTTCTATTTCAGGTATAATTTGTTGTTCCTTGTAGCAAATGTTCCTGTTTCATTGAGAGAGAGAGAAAAAAAAAAAATCATATTATAGAAATAATCTGAAGATGGCGGTACAAGATACAGTATATTCCTTTGCCTTTCCTCAACCAGCAGACTGAACTTTCCTTTTTGGTGTGATTGCTGCTGTGTGGATTCCAAACCTTGTTCTAGTTCTGCTCTCACTGTGGTTGGCGTGAATATTTAAGACAAACCAGTTTGCTGTGCTCTGGGTGGATTTCTATGGGATGCAAACAACGGTTCAGTTCCCTTAACTGTGACTTTTTATCGTTTTCATTTGTCATTTGAACCAGATTATGTCAACATATTTCATTTTTTGTGGGACAAGCTTATAAAAACGTTGTTTTGCTTTGTGTGCGAATCTCGCTGGTCGGAGGTTGAATTACAGATCCCTAATATGTAGTTGGTCCAGTTGCCATAATGACGGAAAGTGAATGCGGTGAAATTTTAATCTAAAATTGTCTTCACTGTTTTTATAATGGAACAAAATTCTTGCTCTTTTGTGCTTTTGAGGTCAGTCTATGAAATAAACATGAGAAGAAAAGGGCATCGTGCATCCATTGCCTTGTTTTTCCAGAGTCTATTGAAATGCACAGATGTGCTTCATGATTAACTAATGTTGCATCTTTTCAGATTGGACATATCGCAGTGTACGTCTTAGAAACACGTGATCACATATACAACATTTAGGGATTTTCAGAGTTCTAACAGGAACTCAGACGTATAAACAGACTATGTTCTCTACTGTTTCCTGGAATGAGATGACAGCTGGGGAATTCACCCCTATTACATGGGTTTCATTTTCACCTGAAAAATCACATCGTATCTCTCCCACATCTTTCATTAGAATCTGAGGCAGAAGAACTAAATGTAAATATTTTTTCCTTAATTCACTCTGCATCCATCAGTAATCGGTGAGTTTGAGTTTTCAGAGTGTTAAATATCTGCTAACCATTTCTAATCCTTTTGTCCAAATATTACTTAAGAAGGAACAAGCTGAAATTCACCTTGTTTTGATTGTTTCACTAAAGTTGTCCTTTAATCGAATGTCATGCATTTGGACACAGTCGGAAAAATACTTCCCTCAGTTTCAAATTCAGTCGGCCTCAACTAGTTGCTGAATGAATCAACCTTCCCCCTCTAGAAACCCGATGCCTGAACGATAAAATATGAACCTTTAATCTCTAACGATTACTTGAGCTTGTGCTTTGCCTCTTTAAACAAATATATTCTAAAACCTCACTCGTCTGGTGGCCGTTTCTCACCGTGGCTGGAATTATACGCACCACTTAAACATTTGTATTGTTCTCGGGATGGTGACTCACTTCAGACAGAAAATCTTCAGTGTGTTGAATTCTCAATATTCTCTCCACAGCGTTCTGCCCTCAGCGCTACCTTTTGTTTGTCTCAGTGAAAGTATGAAATGAATAGCAGGGGATTTTCTCATGTTAAAACTCGTGTTTTTGCACATCGTTCCACGTTTGTTGTTGGCTGCAGGAGATCACTGCAGCTAGCTCTGCAAAACATTCACAATTGAATGTGTAAATAATGTGTGTGGGACATAAAATAAAAGATATCTGCATTAGCTCATTTTCCCCCCTGTTATCTAAGATGGTATATTTTATTCTAATGTTTATCTAGATCTTGTTTATATAGCAACAAAAAGGTTTAATATCCCTCGTTTAATTTTTGCAACGCGCCTAGTTCATGTGAAAAAGCAAAACACCCCCCCCAAAAAAAATCCCTTCTGAGATTTGGAGAGCTTGTAGATATTTGGTTATTTTGACATTTAAATGTTAATCGTTTTGAAATGTCATACTCTATCCGCAGCAGATGGGGGAAAGAGGGCATCCCCTTTCAAACAGATCAAGACACGATACGTGGATTATGTCGAGCGAAGCATCGTCTCCCCTCGACGTTATTTAGACAAAATCGGGTCATTTCATCGAACGTGGGGCTGACGAAGGAAAATGCACGTAAAATACGGCGTTTCTGGTGACATGAGAAAATACCAGAAAATGTCGGAAAAAAACTAGAGCAACTGTCTTGTTTAATCAAGCATTTAATCAGTAGGAAATCAACTTTTCACACGGCCGTAAGGAAGATAAAATCTTGAAATTGACTCCTTGACCCACTGACTCGTAACCGGGAGAGGAGAAATAGCTGATGGTTTTAGTACCACTCATCTCTACTTGGAAGTAGCTGCTTCTGCATTCTCCTCGCATTTTATTTTTAGCCAATATCTTTCAGTCAGCGGACAGTAGGAAACATTTTAAAGAGGAAGGTCCTCTCGTCTTCCTTAAAAGGTAAGGTCTTTAACCCCTGAAGAAATCATTCCAAAAATTCAAAATTCTCATTTTCCTAAGTGAGAATGAGTTCACTCAGCTTTTAGCTTTAATGATGCAAAACTGCAGGTTTGTGTGTCTCTACTTTAAAGGGCTTTTAATATTGATGCCATTGCAGGCAACATTTTTATATTTCGGTTTCAGTTTAATCAACTACCTCACTCTTTTGTCAGGGTTGAACGCTTGGATCTATTTAATTTCAAATAATCGGATGCATTTAATAGCAACTAAAATGTATGCGCTCAATTAATTACGTAAAGATTAACCAGCAGCTTGCAGTGCAATCAGAAGATACTTTTGACGGCAGGAGATGTTTCTACCATTGCAAGTTTATTATCACATTATTAAACTAATGTCTTCAATTGTTTTTAATCATGTTCATTGTTTAACAAACTGTTTAGAATAAATAAATAAGTACCGTGGCAGTTTCCTCTGAGAATACACACCTAAAATACATTTGTTGAGGGTGTATATGTGTGGAAGTGGAATGTCATACATTTTCACACTAAAGCTTCATCTGTGCAATAGTTGAATCTTTCTTTCACTTCCTCAAATTCAGCTATTTTGGTGGATTTGAGTCCAGTCTAACTCTGGGTGTTGGTCCAACATTAGAAGCCTACACAAACCTAATTTCCGTGTGTTTATTTACCTAGAAATAAGTAATAAACTACGTTATTGCCTGCGATTCTGTTGAAACTGGAGACAAAAAAGAAAAAAAAAACTCAATTTCCCAGACTCATTTGCTGCACGACAAACAGTACAACCAATGAAACTGTTTTGTGGAGACACCTTCCTGTTTTGTGGTGTGAAGTGAAGAGGACGCCGCATGAATTACTGTCAGAAACTCAGTCAAGCCAGAGACTAGAAGACAACTTCTGGAAATGGGTGAGAAGGACTTTTATGTTTGTCGTTTCATGTTTGTCGTTCAATTTCATGTAGTTACTGCATTGAGTTCAATATTGTATAGCTTTACATATGTATCTTGATAAATATCAATACTTTATAACATGAAATACCATATTTAAACAATTTATGGAAAAATGTGTCAGGTCTTTTTTGCAGATGTACTGTGAATACGTTCATTTGTGTAAGAAACCATCTAATTTGATGTAGAAAACAATATGCTGTCAGGAAACAAGAATTCATTATGAATCCATCACAAAAACTCAGTAAACACATTTGTTAATTGGTAAAGAAACAAAACCGTAAAATGAAAAGCACCTGTTCAAAAATTGCAGGATAAATGATCCAATACAACAGAAATATCAATACATGAAATGCAGCAGTTTCAGGCTCCTGAAAGCAGAATTTAAAGTTCAAGCCACAGCACAGGAAATAAGTGATCTCAAAAGAGAAGCATATTGGTTTTGCACAAACGTCTTATCACTGTGGGTGAAGGGCTACACGACGTTTGGTTTGTGAAGAACAACATTTCATTGCCTGTGGTCCCTCATGAATTGTATCAACACGGCATGAGAATACATGCAGAGTGCTTCTCAATGTCTCATGTTCCCGTAGCAATGCATGCAGTAATGTCATGTGCAATGGTTTTCAACAATATCAAGTATAGGACTTGTTTTTTTTACGGATTTTGCAGCTTATTGACTCAGACTGTCTCATCTTTGACAATAATTGTAGTTAATGTCTTACAATATCATACAGTGAATTGTGTGCGCCGTCTACATGGGCAGGAAGTGGTTTCGCAAACTGTGGTTTAATATCACACCGTTGACAATATGTTCCACAGTCTCCTGCTGATCAATCATCTGACCATCACGTACATTTTTATGAAGCGACCACACACACGCGGCCGTAGTGACTCTCGAATGTCATAATTTCCTTCATCAAAGATGTGTTTTAACCTGTTTAGAGTTTTCTGCAAAGTGGAGCATTTCTTTTAGGTGCTTGCTTCCCTGACTGGTTCTTTAAAACAGAATTCACTCTGCTCTTTTGGGGTGAAATGCTAAACGTCTTGTCCCTTGCCGCATGTCTCATGAAGCTCAAGAGGACCAGGGCGAGACGTCACAACAAGCAGCAGTCATCGACGAGGAGCCGGGGACGGAGAACCAGGGGACGGAGAACCAGGGGACGGAGAACCAGGTACTAACCTCAGTCACCGCGGCTTGAATGTCGGTTGGCCTTCTGGCAGCAGTCTGGGCAATTTCCATCAGTTACAGTTAATCAGAGACTACAGACATGACTGCTCAGAGTGAGCTGTGTTTTCATTTCCTTTTTTCTTTTTGAATTTGAGATAGTGGAATTTTTTTTTTTTGCAAGTGCTGATAGTACAGTGGTTTCATCTCTGGCTGATTGGGAAATGAGTAACAAAGCGATTGTGCTTTGCGTCCTGAGAGGGTCATGAAACGCACGCACATCTCACCCCCCTAAGACACACCACAATATTCTCATTGCACATACAGAAACCTCCGGAGGTCCCTCATAAGCCAGTGTTCTGGTAAGTGAAATGAGCTGTATAATATGAGAAACACAAATTAGCTCACAAAATTTCCGAGGCTGATGTTAGTTGAAAGCACGGTGGTTTGTGTGGCCTGCCGATAGCATCGATACAGCACGCCACCGACAATCATTGCGACAGTCACACGTCGACACGCTGACATCAACCCACGCAGATTTCCAAAAAAAAAAAAATGTATCAAGTGGAAATCAACTGCAGGTTTCTCAATGATATTCACGCTCCGCTGTGTTGATTGAGAGTCCAGAGCGAGTGGATTCGTGCAAAGAATGCTGTGGATCAGACCTGAAAAACAGCAACTTGAAAGTTACTAAATACCAGAGAATCTTTACGTAAGATCGCAGGCAGAATTTAGCAATTTCAACCCACACACACACACACTACCCTCTCCCTGTTTCAAGACCAAGTACCTAAAAGATGCAGTGGGAGAAGCAGGTGATGCAGAAGTGGAAAGTTAGAAGTGGTGGCTGGGAACGGCGTTGTGGAGCCGCTGAACTGTGACTCAGTCGGGGCGATCTTGGTTAGAGGCCTGCACCTTCGATATTACTCACTCTCGAGGCCTGTTTCTCGGAACCAGGAACCACATGGAGGAACTTTATTCAATATGAAACCACGTTGAGCTTATTTGTTGAACGATGACGGCTGGAGAAATAAAGCTGCTTCTTCTTGTGCTGATTCAAAGTAAAACAGAGACACTGTCCATTGTGGCTTATTTTGTCATTCGATATATTGAAATTGGTCAATACACAAATGTGAGATTTCACATTTAAATATTGGCGTGAAATAACAGAAGTGTTGCAGTGAGAAACGGACGACTTTATTTATATCACAAACTGTGCGCATCAAAAACAATAAGGTTGACTTTTTAAAAATACCGACCCTGTATCAACAGTTTCTCTTCATAATACTTCTTACATCTTTACTTCCCTTCTCTAAACCCTTCTAACGGTTGATTTTATTTTGCTTGTCTTTACTGTTTCATTTCTCCTTTTTTGAAAACCACAAATAGTGACATTGTCAATTTCTTGACAACTTAAATTCTGGGTAGTAGATGCGCCTAATTTCTTGGTATTTTCACCGTTGATGAAACTAGTTCTAGTTCTGAACAAACACAGCAATCAAGCAGACAATTATTACGTAGACATTAAAAAGCTGCATATTTATTCACAGTTTGTTTACAACACTTTAACGTGCTACACCTTCTTTTGGCTTTATGTTTATTTTTCAAAGTGACATTTGCGATACCAGCGACTGTAGACCAAAAACCCCACAAGTCTGCTGCTTTCTCTGCAGACAGGAAATGTAGCGGTTATCTACTGAAAGTAGCGGTAGAACCCTACTCTCTGATTTTGGTGTTTCATTTCAACATTTGCACCCCATGAGACGCTGCGTGTCTTGTTTCCCATCTTTGTCAAAACAGGTTTCAATATCAGTGCAGTGGAGCGCGTGACGTTGAGCGTTTACTCGTGCGACGGGCGGGCGCGAAACCCAGGAGGTGCAACACAGAACAACGATGCGTTCGTTCAGCCGGGGCTTTTATTCTCACAGGACAACAATGGCCAGTACAGCCTTGGGTCTGACTCCCAGGGGAAGCTGGTTGTCCGGGGGGGGGCAAGACGAGGGAATCCGGGCGACGGGCAGCGAGTGTGAGGGAGACAGGGGTTTAGGCGCTGAGGAGAGTAGGTGCAGCAGATGGGATACAAGGTGGTGTTAGGTGAGCTAAAGGGAGTGAGGGAAGCCGAACTGCGACGACCTGATTTTCAGTGCGAAACATTTGGCATCTTTTTCCCTTGAGCACCTGTTTTCCTCCACACTAGGCTTCTCCCTCTGTCGTCGAGATCCTCTATGACTCCATGACTGAATGTGAAGAAAAAGCGAGGCCCAAGCTGGTGCAGATGGAGGAGAAGGCCTTTGTATCAAGTCTGCACTCTTACATGAAGGACAGAGGTACACCTATAGAAAGGATCCCACATCTGGGCTTCAAGCAAAGTGAGTGTTTACTAGCACTGCGCTGGTTGTTCAATGAACACAAAATTCATATGGCATCTGGTTAAATATGAAGTTCTCATGTGTGTGTTTTTCCTCAGTTAATCTTTGGAGGATCTACAAAGCTGTTGAGAAACTCGGGGGCTATAACTCAGTGAGTACAAGTTCCTTATTTTACTCAACACAGGTATCTAAGTGGAAAATGAGCTAAAGGTCAGGCGCTGTAACATTGTGGTTTTCACCGCACTGGAGGACATTCAGCTCTCGAGCTCTCGTTGCTCTGCTGTCTTTGATAATGAAACCGTTGGACAAGATGTGAGCGTTGGAATGGTACGAGAGCAGGGCTGGGGCTCTAAACGGGGCGGACCCTCCCCGCCGCCGTCACTCGGTGTATCTGTGACAGCCAGCCGACTTGTCATTTAACCCAAGGAGAGGAAATTAAACTACGGTTATTGTGACCATTCCACGTGTTGCTCCACATGCACATTTCCTCACAGTGTGTGTTACCCAACAGGTGACAGCACGGCGTCTTTGGAAGAAAGTGTACGATGAGCTGGGAGGAAGTCCGGGTAGCACCAGCGCTGCTACTTGCACCCGCAGACACTATGAGAAGTGAGTTTCATCTTGTCAAATCATGCACTACGTCAACTAGAAGACAAGTTCTGGAAACGGGCCGACTCATAACCAGACGTGTTTTGTTTAGGCTGGTGCTGCCCTTTGAAAGACAAATAAAAGGGGAGGAGGACAGACCTCTGCCTCCGAGCAAACCCCGGAAGTTATACAAGAGGATTTTGGAGCACAAGAGGATTTTGGAGCGCAAGGTCACCAAGGCTGAGAAGAAGAGAAAAGGGACTCAGTCGGATAGAGAGATGGACTCAGAGACGGAGGTAACGCACTTCATTTAGGAAAAGGCCTCAAATAGAGTGGCATCTGTACGAGCCCATGTGTGTCCTAAAACATCTTCTGTATTATGTCGTAGATTCTGGCAAAGAGAAGTCCAGAGGCCGTCTGCCAAGCTGAAACGGGGATGCATTCTCACCCCGTTCTCTGGGCCGCCGCCTCTGACGCTCAGCGCCCGGACAGAGCCGCTACCGCACTTTGCCCTTCGGCCTTCGCCCACCTCGTCCAGGCGCCCGCACCCGGCCCCTGGAGCGCTGCTCTCCCGTCTGCCGCCGCAGAGGTCATTTCTCCTCTCGAGAAAAAGAAGCGGATGGCTCAGGCGAGCCTCAATTTGCCGCTTGCGCCTCACGCTGAGGACAAGGAAAGGCCGTCCGTCATCCAGTGCTCCCAGCCTCCGGCCCGGTATTCTTCCAGACGGAACTGTGAGTCCACCGACAGCTCCCCTGTGCCTTCATCCCCTTCCTCTTCACGCAGCCCTTCCCCCTACTCCGATTCATCAGAGAACGGTGCGGAAGCAGGCGTACGTGATGCTGCATTGGGCTCTGAACTTTCCCAAAACTCTAAGAGCTGTGTGAAGAATTCACCTGGCTGTAGTGAAGACAGGAAGCCTGAGAGCTTTTGTCAGATATCCAGAGACCCTGCGGGACAGTATAAAGATATCAGCTCCCAATGCGCAGACTACATCAAGGTCCAGCACAAAGACTGGAAGCTAATCCAAAAAGGGAGCGACAGATATATCAGCCAACCTTTGCCGCCATTCTCCTCTCCCGTGGTGAGAATAGATTGGGCCCCGACGTCCACCTCCAGTTTCACCAAAATCATTCCAAAATCTGTGCAGCTTCTGCGTCCCGCTCCCATCCGACCGGCTCACGCCACCCTGCAGGGCAGGTCGACGCAGCGCGACGAGTCTCTGACCGGCGCAAAGAAGCTTCACGGCCTGGCGCCGTGGCTTTATCACACGGAGAGGAGGGAGAAACACAGGACAATGCAACAGAAGGTTCCCCCCGCTCAGCACGGCCTGGCCCATTCCAGCGCCAGCCTGCCGGCGTCGTGCTACGACAAATCCGGGAGGGACCCTCGACACCAACCCCTGTTGCATCCTGCTTTTCTCCCCGGCAGGATGAGACTACCTCAATCTCAGCTACTGTACAGACACGTCCCGATGGGCCCAGTCCACGCCGCTCTGAGGGGGTCCGCCGTTTACCCGTACCCCAACTACATCCCTCTGCTGCATCCCCAAACTGCATATGCGCTGCCTGCCATGCATCCCCTCTACCCTCAAAAGATGTGATTCTTTGTATTTCAACTCTAGTCTTGAATAATAACGCTGCATCAGCCGCTGGGCGCGTTGGCCTCCTTGGCGATTGCTCATAGTTATTTTGGCGAAGCACTACTTGTGTTTTTGAACAGGGCTTAAGCATGCAGCACATAGATATTTAGGTGACGTGGCAAACATCCCCCGGTGGTCAGCGAGTTATTGTAAGATAATTATCTTTATGACTGTGTAGACCTGCCGAGGCCAAAACCGAACTACGCAGAAGGGAAATATAGTCACAGCTGTGATGGGTGATGAGATACAGTATTTATAGGATCGCAGCGGGTTTAATCAGGCTTCAAACTGATGCATAGTTTTCTTTATCTCTGAGCAGCACTGTGCAAAATGTACTCGTTGAATGGATGTGTTTTCTATTGCTGTAGTTTGATTAAATGCTAAACAATAAGCCGCAGCGCTTATTCAATGCCAAATTGTCAATAGCTGCACTCAAAAACAAAATAACCAGCTAAATTGAACAAATTCACCGTTGTTGCAGTGTTGTTTTAAAGCAAATTACCTTCTTGTACTGTATTGGGGAGTCTGTTGGAAAAACATGCTTCTTTATAAATATTATATGTACCATTTATATTATTATATAGATATTTTTCAAAGATGTTATAAGCAGATCTCATGTCATGTTAATGTATTAAACAGAAATGGTCAGAGAAATTACACAAATAAACATTACAAATGTATTTTAAAAATGTATGGTCCTTTGGTTTTTGATTATACGTATCAAAGTATTTCACCGTTCCCTGAATAATTTAAATAAAAATGTTGTTTCTAAGAGTTAACGATTTTTTTTATCGTATGTGTGGATTTGGAATTGGTCGCCTGGTTTATTAGAGACTGATATCATTAGTGTCATGGTCTGCGTTTTTTTTTTTTTTCATCATGCAGGAACAAATTAACTTATCGTAAAGAAGAATTGGAAAATAAAAAACTGGACTATAAATATTGGTGGAAAAATAGTCAGAACAAGCATGTTTTTCATGTTTTTTTGTGCACAGCTTTTTAAACACCAGGGAACTGACCTTTTAACCGAGTAAGCGAGTGGCAGCGCCCTCTTCTTTGCTGGGCTGCTGGCATCAGGACTGGAGATGCCAACAAACTCAAGAGTCAAACTCAAAGCCATCCTGGACAATCGCTCTCAACCTCCAGTGGCAGCTGGACGACTCATATTGCACATTTTTATTGATTATTCATTGTATAATATGTTTTATTTATTTTCTTAATCTGTCTATGTACTTGTAAAGGAATATATCTATGGAGTCATACAGCCCAAAATGCATTCTCCCTGAATTTAACTTCATGACGTTTTGTGACCTTTTCTTAAGGGCATAACCGCAGTAGCTGTGGCAATGGTACAGCACAAGTAGCTCAAAGGAAGCTGTCAGGGACTGTGCAATATTCAACGTCACTGAAGGGACAATACCAATGAATTCTGAGGCAAGAGCAATGAGGAGGAAGAAAAAGAGGAAATCGGACAAATGAGTTTTGGCTGTAGGCCAACATGGTTTGAAACAAGACAGCTGGAACAAACCAAGCAGATGATGTAATTTTTTCAAATCCACGTAGAGATGCACATGGGTGACAAAGACGAGAGACTTGATTCTAGGAAGTTCTGTAAGAAATCGGTGTCTTGATTGGGGAGAAATATTTTATTCCGTGTGGGTGGAGGGGATACTGTGATCCTCAGATATAGATATGTTTTATTCAAATTAGAATTCCTTGAAAATAGAATTTGTCTTATAATTATGGTTTCAAAATAGACTGTATATGTGGGGCATATTCCAAACAGCGCAACATAATACTACTTTTTTTAATTACACAGTTTGTTAAACCCTGAATTAATACTTACAGGAATCACTACTTTACGCTGTTAAAATCCGACACCTCCAGAAACTGACCCCGATGACCACGTTTGAAACGTGCAGCTCTGCTGTCTGTGAAGTAAATCATTTGAATGTGTAAAGCTCGTCCATTGTTCTCCTTAAACCTTCATCGGCGTTCACATCACACAGCCTGCGAGGAGCTTTGCCTTACAGACCAGACTCGGGGAAATAGTTCCAAAAATACAACTCTCGCGAGAACAGCCGCAGTGGCGCGAATAAACAAGGAGTTCCTGCAGGAAATGTGCGCTGCTGTATCGTCAACTTTTAGTGGGTTTCTATTCGGGCAACTTTTCCAACCTTCCGTTTGAGTCGCGTAACATTTAAAACTTCAACAGAGATTTAACGTGTCGGTTAAGCTCTTTTTCATCTTATTCCATCTCACTTGGGGAAAAAAACTATGTCGGACGCTTTGTCTGATGACGGCAGCGACGTCCACCAAGATGAAACTCAGGAGGAGGTCATGACCCCGGCGGAGCTGATAGGCAAACTGGAAGAAGTGAGATGACGTGAACCCCCCCCGCCCCGTTAATCCTACATCGTTAGGAGGTGCGCCGTGTCCTCACAGCTGCGTCCGTCTTGTGTCCCTCGCAGGCTTGGCTGAACGAGAAGTTCTCACCGGAGCTCCTGGAGAACAAGTCGGAGGTGGTGGAGTGCGCGATGGAGCAGCTGAGTCACATGGTAACTCAACCTGCGTCTAGATAAGTAACAACAACAAACAGAATACTGCCTCTGTTTTGGAGTGGAGGTTTTGTTGTTTACGTCGTACTAGAAATAGTAAAAATTGTCCATCATATGTGTGATCTGATGAGATTATGTGTCAGGTCGAATCCGTATTGAATGCTATTGCATTGCTAGGCAACAGCTTTGGTCCATGCTCACTTGTTGTCATTCACTGCATGAAGAAGACAACGCTCCATCAGAGCGTCATTACAACATTTAACTGTTGTCATCCATATATCAAATCCAGTTAATAATCAAATGATAGAATGTTCATATGGCAAATCATTGCCTTTTCTGGTCGCCGTAGGCCACCCACGATGAGGGAAAATGTTTATTTCTTACAGTCTCCTGATCTTTTCCTCCCAACAGGAAGAAAACCTGCAGCGCGTGAAGAAAGGCGACATGAAGGCCAGCGTCCACCGCATGGAAATCGACCGCATTCGCTTCGTGCTCAGCAGCTACCTGCGAGCTCGTCTGCAGAAGGTCTGCATGGTCAACGATATAATATTACAAATGAAAAGCTCTCATTTCCCTCCTAGCCTGTTGTCGTAATTGCCTGAACTTTGTTCCCCGTGTGTGCAGATCGAAAAGTTCTTCCCGCATGTCCTGGAGAGAGAGAAGTCTCGGGGTGAGGGAGACCCGTCGCTGCTCTCGCCAGAGGAGTTTGCTTTTGCCAAAGAGTGAGTATCGTCGCGTGCGGTCAGAGCCGTTGGTTCCTTCTGCCCTTACTGTGACGCTTAATGGGTTAAAAGCGCCATGTGGCACGCAGGTACTACGCCAACACAGAAACCTACCTGAAGGCCATAGCACTGAAGCGCATGCCCCCCAACCTGCAGGCCGTGGATATGCTCAAAGCAGGTGAAGTCTCGCTGTTATTATCTTTGTGTGATCTCCTTTTTATATTTCTTTTGTCTGAAGTAATTTGCTTGAGCTTCTTCCAGTAGCATGTGCTGTCAGGAGCCGGCATTTGCTCTGACGTGCCCACTGGCCGACACACTAACTCCCTGTGGTCTACTGTAATCGCAGTCCCCGAGCCCTGCCTGGACTCCTTCGTGTTCCTTCGAGTGAAGGAGAGACAGGAAAACATCATGGTTGAGCCTGAATCCGATGATCAGAGGTACAGTTTATTTTTTCTTTTTAAAAAGACCACCAGGTGGCGATGTTACATTCCCACAATAAATTTGTTTTTTGCATAAATACCGAAAACAACAACAACAACAACAACTGACGTTATCTCCACTCTGTCTTTGCTATCAGAGAGTATGTGGTAGATCTGGAAGAGGGCTCCCAGCATCTAATGCGCTACCGAGCCGTAGCGCCGCTGGTCTCGAGTGGAGCCGTGCAGTTGATCTGAACGTCGAGGTAAGTAACAGTGAGTTAGTTTGACTGTGCCATCGTTCGCATTAACTCAAAACTGCCCTTCACACCCTCTGGCGCTTTTATCTGCTATTTCATTCCTGCAGATCTTACATAAGATACTGCTTTGCAGTGACCTCTGGATTTATTTTTAGCTCCATGTTTTTATTGTGTTGTTCATTGTCTCGTAGCAACATATTATGGAAGAAAAAAGTTTTTAAATGTGGCCGATTATTCATTTCACTGAGCTGCGCTTAACAGTGTTCTACCATTAACACAATGTTATTCTCCCTGTCGCAGGTCTGTCGGTTGGTGTGGACGTTTTGGGCTCCAGGAGCTCAGAAAATGGGCAATGGCCTATTTTTGTAACAAAGCGGTAATTAAAAAGGTGCACATTAACCGGCAGAGATTACATCTGGATTTGCACTAATCTTTCTGACTGTTGTCAGGATTAAGGCCGAACTCGTGGGACACAAACGTGGACATTTGTTGCACCAGATCTTCAAGACGTGTAACTCTGAAATAGCCCCAAATATGAGGTGGGAGGGGCTTGGTGACCCTGTGCACCAAAGCAGTGTTTTCTGTGCTGTGGTGTTTTATCATGTAGCAACTAACCTGCTCAATACTTGTTACTTTAGCCGGGTTATTGGTCTTATTTTTCCCTCTGCTGCTCAGTAACAACATGGTGAAGGTGAACTGTCAGCATTTAGCACATCAACTCAGGTTGTGCATTATTTCCTTTGATCATCACACTGAAATGAATATAAATTTCTGTCATTATAGATGATATAAATCCTGTTGCTGTTATGATAACCTCTGTACATCTCTCCATTTAAAGTTGAACGTTCCTTTTTAGTCCATGTGTTTCTTTTCATTTTTACCCTAAAAGGACACATGGAGCGTCGTCCTCTCTGAGACGTAATTGTTGTAATAGCTTTGTTACGTAAGGCGTTCAACGGGAGCAATCAGTGCTCATTGTTTGCCCTCGCACTAATTGCCCGGTCGTTGGAAATAATAAGGGACTGAGGGGGATCGAACTAAATCAAACCACGCATCAACAGACTTCAGAAGCCTGCAAACCATTAATATTGAGAGATTCAGAACAGTATTATACTGGGGACGCTTGATGAACTAACCAACATACAGACAAGCATTTAGAATACTTTAGTTAGTAGTACTACTATTCACATGTTCTTTTAAACCTTGCAAATGTGTTTTTGAGAAAAATAAATAAACTTGTAAATAATTGGAGGTTTACAAAAGCATTTATTTTATTATTTATTAAATGCAGCGCCCAGCATTATTTGTTCACATCATTCATCTTTCGGCACAATCTTCAGCAATATCACCCGTTCTTACCAATTCCTCAGTCCTCAGAATGTCACCCTGTGTGGTACATTTTTTTGTAACTCAATATGTGCACACGTACTTGGATTGAAGTTGAACAGCTTCCTCAGTTGGGTGACTGGCGTGCGGAGTTGTTTTGCAGTCCCCCCCCTGGACAAGTCCAAGAATAGAGCCTCGGATGACTGGAATAGTTTCCACAATGCAGGGTAACGTAGATCTGTATGTGCTCCAACGCCAAGTCAGTTGAAAATACAGAGACCGTATATTACAAATTTGTCTTGACATTTTAACAGATCATAAGAATAGATGTGGCATTTAGGTTGAATGTTGCCGTATGTGATCTGAAATCTGAACCGTAACCGGGTGTGAAACAGCATTAGACAAAAGCAGGATACGTAGCTGATTGGTCAGCAGAGCAGAGAAGGTGGAGTACACAACATGGTATTTTCACTTAGTATAAATAGGGTCCTGGGACGGGATGACTGACAAGTCAGACAACAGCTTGCTGCTTATTGGAGTTTGTAAGTAACATTTAAAAACATATACGAGATTTTGTCTTTTTTTATGTATTGAACAATGTAGAACATTGCAATCTTTACCAATCCTCTACATCAATTTTTTTTCTATTTTCTAGACGTTCAATCACTCAACGGCAAATACCAACACGGAGATGTCGAGTACAACGTAAGCAAACTGAGTGTGTCGTGATTGGAGCGCTTTACCTTTGTGTCCCTTATTCAAAAATACAAAATAGCACAAGTCGTAATTAGTATCAGATTTTGAGTGTCCCCTCTTCAATGCGCCTCATTAATAACAGCACAATTGCACTAATTACAACAGCAGCAGTCTTAATTTGAAAACAGCGTTTCTGTGTCGCTAGTCTCCTTCCGGCGGCGGGCCTCGGGTCGATGGCCCGCTCAGCAGGACTTGCAGAGATTGCTGTCCGGCTCTGCTTGAACCAACGTAGACAACTGTGTCCTTATGTGTGGGTTCCCATTCTGAAGCCCCAGCGCCCTTGCATCCGTCCTTCACTTCCAGATCAGCCATCTTCTGGCATCCCGGGCCGCGCCTCTCCGCCCGGCGCTCCCCCATCTCCCTACGACGACCTGTACGACGACGACGACGACGGTGGCGATGATGTTCGGCTCCCAATCGAGAACAGACGCGTTGTTTTCGCTGACTCGCGGGGGTTGCCCTTAACTGCCGTGCGGGTGTTTTCTGACGCAGAGGAGCGGCCCGACCTCGACCCGCTGCCGTCGCTGCAGGGTTTGGGGCGCATGACAGAGGAAGGCTACAGCTGCACCGTCAGCACCTGCTGCCCAGGAACGCGGCTCAAACTGGGCTTCCCGCAGCCTTCCGCTGACTTCCGGGCCTTTCGCGCCAAGCTGGCAGAGCGCATGGTTATCCTGGAGAACTGCAGTGTTACTGAACAGGCCCTTCGTGGTACCGTGCGAGTCAGGAATAACTGTTTTCAGAAGGAAGTGCGAGTACGGATCACTTTTGACTCGTGGCAGAGCTACAGAGACGTGACCTGTGCGCACATGCAGGAGCGCTTCGGAGGGCCTCAGACGGACGTCTTCGAATTCGACTTGGCCGTTCCCAAAGTGCTAGATGCCAAAAGGAGGATAGAATTCTGTTTAAGTTATTTGCCGGGAGGCCACAGGGAGCCTTTCTGGGACAATAACGGCGGACGGAATTACAGCATTGACGTGTGCGTGAGCTCACACCTCAGTAGCGGGAAGAATCCGAGTAAAAGGTCGTGACTTACGCCAGCTAGACAACAATGGTCCTGGGTAAACATAAGGGGGAATGTACTTTTATTATATTTTTGAATTTTATTTTCCATAAATATCCACCCCATTAAATACATCTTTAAAACGGATCGTCGCATTCACTTTCTCTTTCCTGGTTTTGTCTCCCATTCAGTTTCAAATAGGTGGTTCCAGTGCACTCTCTCTTGTCCCACTCGTCAGTGTATTACTGCTGTGCACCGGGGACGGGATCCCTTTCACTCTATGCATTTCACGGATTTCCATTTAGGTCAGAGATTATTGGGCAGCGACAAACAGACACTGAAGCTAATCTTAGCTCAGCGCTGTTTGCAGAGCAGAGGCTTCCTGTCAGATGCTGATTGAAGGGAATTCTGTGATGCAACCTTCCTCTTAACGCCCTGCTTTCCTTCTAACCCCTCAATGCATATTTTTCAGCAGGTTGTGGAATTTAGACATTGAGGAACAATTTACAAATCATAATTGTACAATGAGCTTTTTAAGAAGAATTTGGCAGAAACGCTGAAAAGTAGTTTTTTTTAATGGATAAAGAACATTTGGCTGGTATTTTTTTAGGGGTAATGGAGCAAAATATTTGTTAAGACCAGTCATGTTTTAGGGAGCAGGTCTTTTCTAGCCGTCTAAAGCCTATCGTGTCTTCGATTATGTTTTGCACAGCAGCCGTGGAAGAATGTTTAACATATCCAGCTGTGAACGGGATGAAGGTCTGGGATGCACATCGTGTTAAGCCTTCTTTTTAATACTCACTACTCTAGTCCAGGCATGAGGGAGGAGGGGTAGCAGCATGCACACATTGGCTCTTTCCAATGTGTTCTGACCTACACACGACGGTCTCAAATGGTTGCTCCTTCGCTACGCTGTCTTTTTAATAACATTGCATGCTCACACAGTCCCCCGGGCTGTGCCACGTCTCACTCAGCGTCCCACGCTGATGTTGCACACTTTGCAGCTGGGGTCTTTCTTGGCGTTGGCCGTTGTCAGGCTCATAAGCTGGTGGTGCCCGCTGATCTGCTCCACGCTGCCCCGATCCAAGGGAACCGGCTCGGTGAAAAGCACCTCGAGGATTACATCGCTGGCGTGGCAGTACAGAGGCTCCTCCCCCGGCCTCTGGGGGGCGGCGTACGTCAGGAAAGGGTTGGAGGCCAAGTCCAGCATCGGGAGGCGAGTGCGACAGAAGGTGTCTCCCTCTGAGCCGACGGGGGCCAGCACCAGCACCACGTAGTGGTAGGCCGTGTACATGCAGTAGAAGTCTGCAAAGTACAGGGAGATGTTGGGGTTCAGCAGGTGTCCCGCTGGGATCTGGAAACGCAAGGGGCCGTAAGGGGAGTCTCTGGGAGGGAGGCCCGTATCGAACTCTGTGTTGCAGCTGAAGAAGACTCCCTGTAGTTTGCCGTTGATGGGAGAACCATGACTCCCACTGATGTCTTTCAGGGCTGGACGCATCAGGCCTCCACATTCCTTACTAATCCGAGATAAGGAGACAAAAAAATAGGAGGATTACACTTTACATTTGGGGAAAATTCAATATCCCTCTGTAAGCTTATGAAGCTATAGAGCGAGATGTCGACTTAGCTGAGCACGATGACTGGAAGGTACTTGGCCTGACTTTGCCTTGCCTCTAGAGACCAGCTAGGCGCCCCGCAACTTTCTACACACTTTGCCTTTAACCAGATCAAAGCGATGTGTAAAACACAGCGGGGGAAGGTCTTGACCGGCGACAACTGGCGTAGCAACTCCCTGGAGCCTCGGTGGCACAGCGAGGTGGCATCCGGTCGCCTTGTTTTTTGGTGAAAGGCCGATCGAGTAACGGAGCCAGATGCTTCGCCTCGCTTTGTCACTTTGAGCTCAGCTAGGACAAAAATGCATCCTGCTTCCAGCCAACCGTACAAACTTAAGAGTGGTTCCATATGCAATTAAGAACGTAGAATGCGACACTGACCTGACGTAGTCGAAGTACTCCGGGTGCTGGTTGCGATAGAACACAGAGAACTTTAGCAGCCTCACCGCAGAGCCCTTGGCCTTGTCGAGAAGCTGCTGCAGGTGTTCCATGGCATAATCTGCATAAGATATGCACGGAACATTCGTTTTGTATTACATTGAGTAACACTCTCATACTCTAAACAATACTCTATTGTTACTGTACAGCATTACAGGCGTGTTAGCTCATACCCCCCGTGCAGAACTCCACCACCTGACTCCACTCTGAGACCAGGTAGTCCCCGTCTGCCTGTCGGACTGCAGTCTGGACGGCAACACAGTACATTGTCCGCGGGCTGAGGAACCAGTGGCCCCGCACGGCCATGGGTAGAGGGACAGCCTTGGCCACCAGTTTGGTCGGCACATCCTTGAGGACGAGGGAAGCAACGCGTTGACACCGGGGACAGGATGCAAGGCTAACAGGCCCCCGTGTGCTTCATTTACATTTAAAAACAAATGTAAATTGTGTTGTTTAGTCAAGCGTTCATCTCTGTGAAGTCGGCCTTCGTAACATTATATTCCACTTCAAGCCCGGGCTGCTGTAACTAGGATACATCTGATCAAATCAGGAGCTTTGTTTCGGACCTCTGAGAAGTGCAGCTAATTACCAAAGTCTCAGTGGCCCACATATCCATGACAACATCTCTGATGCACGTTTGTTTGCGCCACTTTGTGCATTAGAGAGGGAGAGAGAGAGTATATTTTGATTTCAGTAACAACTCTCACCCAGATGTACGCCTGCCTTGACCGTACAACATGCTGACGTTAAGCTGGTTTCATTCTGATATGTGTTCATAAATGAATTGACCTGATTCAACTAGATGGAAATTTAAAATCCTTATTCGTCCTCCACTGGGGATCATGAATATCCATTAAAAGAATATTGCAATCTGGAACGCACAGACTTGTACAATGATGCTTCAATTGATAAAAACAAATGAGCAAACATACACATCTATATAACACATAAAACATGTTATTGCTGCTCCTTATAGGGACTGCGGAGGGGAAGTAGCTAGTAGCTAAATGCTATAGTAAGCATCTCTTTTCACTGCTTGATACAAATAGTCCCTGACACACATATTTATTAAAAAAGACACAGGTTAAATGTGTGATGTGACGTATTTGTTGTAATAAAAAAATGTTATGTGCTGCGGATGAATTTGTCAGTTTTTGTCCCTTTTGAGACGAAGCGTTGTACAAGTGAGTCACTGGCCTGAAGCTGTTGACAGCACTGCTTTTTCATATTTCGCCTGTATTAGGAGTGACTTAAAGGGCGCAACCACTGTTTTCTGTGTTCAGTCTGGTGCAGAATATCAAACCCATCTGCTCACCCGGCTGGACCTCAGCAAAACGTAGGTTTTCCTGTCTCATTTGTTAGGTGTGCTACTACTTCAAAAGCGCACACAGTAAAAGTTGGACTTCTTCGCCAACCCTATATTAAAGGTTGACTGTGAATGTGTAATATGAACACAGACGGGATGGACAGATATATCCAGGGTGGAGGAAGGTACACGTGGTGCAGCGTCAGATGTACCCTGTGTTTGAAGCGGTTGGGGTCCCGGCTCTCTTTGCGGCTCAGGTCAATGAAGAAGTGCGTCGCCCTGGCACTGTCCTCGGGGGTCATGTCCCACATGATGCGAAAGGAGTCGCAGGTCACCTCACATATCTGGATGTTGCAAGGGGTGGCGAGGGGAGTGTCCATTTCTGTCATCTGCCATTAAGCCGAGAGATGAAGGGGGGATATTTAGACCAGAGTGCAATCCTGGTAATACGGCGGCCGTGAAGGAGGCAACATATGACGAAGACGGATTAAACCATTCAGTGTCAAAATGTGGACACTGTGCGACAGTGCAGAAAGACCATATCTGAATTTGCCCCGGAATGGTTAACCTTCTTCTTCCCCCCGCCCCACACCTCACCCACAACTGACATTAACAATCGTTACACAAGTCGATGGATGAATTTCATAATCCACCTCCAGCCGTCTCCCAGCAACCACACGTTCGCAGCCTCTTTCAACGACCTCATGTGATTCCCAAGGAAGCAGGTCAGCAGCAGTTTAAACTGAACGTAAGTTTTAAAGACTTTTGCCTCCTCGCTGAAGTTCACGTCCCTTCAAAACAGCTTAGCTGAGTGAACTTGCAGATGAAAATCTTGCTGCAGTGTTTGAAGCGCTTTAGCAGAGACAGAGGGCGTGTTGTGTAGCTATCAGGTGATGTATCATCATATTTCTATGCCCATCAGTGATTCGATCCAGACTGCTGCACATAGCCTCGAGTGTCGGGGTGCAATCTATTGGTGAGCCGCCTGTCTGTGTTTGATTACCTGTCACCATCCCTGTCATAAACTCAGGTCTCTGCAGCAGATGTCCTTCTCTTGTTTGTTTGCTTGTCATTTGCTTCCATCTTAAATGTGCCAATGCAACCATCCCTTTCTGTGTTGACAACTGATTTGCAAAAAAGCACTTTCTCCTCATTCTCAGCGCCACGCTTTATTAAAATACCTCTCACACTGAGAATATGCTAAATCACAGATGTGTCTAAAAATAGCTCGAGCGATAGTACAAAAGAATCACAGCGAGCTCCTTTTGTTTGCCTCGCGGGATCCAGATGCCTGGTGTAGTGTGGTTGTCTGACTGTCAGGTCTCTCAAGGTATGGACAGATGTGATGGACAGGCTGCAGCAGCTCGTTAAAGTCGGTCAACTGTAAAATCTGTGCGGCAGCTCGTTCGCACGCGGCGGCCGGGCGGTGAGGGCTGTTGCATCGAGCACGTGTGTTTCCCCGCATCCATTTTCCAGCTGCCGTTCTCGTTCCCCAAAACACGTTGTCTGCTTCAGAGATAGAAACTGGGGCAAGAAGAGCCTCTCAGGAGAAGTGATCAGAGCCCAGCACGTCTCTATGTGTGTTCCACTTTTGCATCGGAGCACATGTGAGCACAGTTCAGACAAAGGTTTCCGTGCCAGACGCACGATCCTGGGTTTATGAATCAGCCTGTAAAGATGAATGTGAGCTAACTATCTCTGCAGCAGAACCATCTTTGACGGCAATCAATCAACCGGGTTTAATTAATAATGAAAAGCAAGGATTCACACGTTACATCGCAGTTTATCTGGAAAGGTGTATTTTGTCTGTTGAAGCTCAGTAACATTTCTTTCACTAGCAGAAATCGAGCTGTCATCGGTGTAAAGGCAGAATCATGAAAGCAGCTGCTGTAGTCATGCATGTGGAGCAGCGCAAAGAAAACAACTCTGTGCCTCACAGTCATATTTTACCTCTGAGGAGAATACTTTATACATTTAAAAGATTGCAAGACGGAGCTAAAAAGGCAAGACTGCTTTGAACTAAAGAGGTTGAAGTGACCACAGCACAGAATGAAACCCTGGGCAATATTCAAAGTTATAAATATACACATTGTTAAACTGAGATTTTGTGCGTCTTATGCACTTTAAGATAAAAAATCTCTCCTGTGCAATTAAACCAACCATTGACATTTAGGAAAAAGAACATTACATGAAGCAGTTAATGATGCTGTGTGAAATTTCATCACAGTCTCGGGAGGGAATGTAATAAATGTCTAAAGTTGGCAATAAATATCGTCCCACATGCGTGTTTATATCAATGCGATAATAAAACACCCCCAACTACTGTTCATCTGACTCTCCTCCTAAATGCACAAATGAAACACGCCATTAGATTATCTGATCTCCACAGCTTCAAACGCTGAGAATAAAATACAATTGCTCTATTTTCTGAGCACTACAATCACATAAGCTGATACGTACTTGTTTGATGCTCAAACTGTCAGATGGTGATGGGGTAAAAATTACAGCCGAAGCTGAAATCTACTATCTTCTTTCTCTCGCTTTTCCACTTGCCTCCGCTGCTGCAGTCGATGACGGATCCCTCTGGCACACAACTGATTAGGAGGTGAAACGAACACACAGGCTCCTCTCTCAGGCTGTTTCCCTCTCGGTCTCCGTGTCACACAAACACTCTAACCCCCCCTCTCCCCTCCACTTCACTCCCTCCCCCTACCGGTCTCTTTTCTGCCCTGGGCTCTGGAGGAGGATGTTTACGTGACTCCCATGTGCAGCCAAACGGGATAAATGAAACCATTAACGGGGCAAGAAATGAGAATTTTCCAAGCGGCGTGTGAACCCCAGTGAGACCACAGAGAGACTCTCCCTCCACCTCGTCAGCATCGTGCTCTCGCCAGCCAGTCGTACACATCGCATCAGTTGCCAGTGAGCTACATACCCTGAAGAGCACTAATGTATAGTAACCACTTGCATCAACGTCTACTCTCAGATAAGGAGACATTATTGACACGAGGGCTGTGAGTGAAAAACATGAACCATTTGTTTACACGCTCTCGGTCTCATGCAAAGAAAAGATTATACCGAGCGATGTCCTAGTGGATTACATGAAGCTCCATTAAGAACTCAAAAATATACACGGCCCAACTGTTATGCCATATGGACTTACTCCACAGGCAATCGTCCCGCGGCCCAACCGGGGGCGAGGGATGCTACTGCGTAAATCCAAAGTAAGCAGATTTCCGTGCATTTTCAAAGGGATGTTTTGGTTAAACTCCTATGGTTGAACCTCGTGGGGACCTTCATTTAGGATTTCAGAGAGAGATTAAAGAGCCCCTCCCCAGATTAATGCCTCTAATCTGCTGCTAAAACCACGGATTTGGGCATAGAAGAAAGACAAATAACAAAAGGATCAAATATTTGTGAAAGTGCCATCCATTCAAAACCACATATTACTAGTATTGAAAAGCTTCATTTATGTCCAACCATCCACAGAAAAGTCATTCCCTCAGAGTGTAATTAAACTGCAATCATCCGTCATTAGTCATGCCGTGACAGTCCGGCTCTGCTCAAATGACCCTCTGAGCTCTGGACGTGGGAATAGTTGGTCTGTAAAGACCAGCTGTATGTCTGCGTAGAAGAGAATTTGGCTCCATATCTTTCCATAATCCCTTTTTGTTGTTTTTAAACGGGATGGTAACCAATGCATTCTAAGGAAGCCGCAACATTTGCATTTTCTTGTGGATCTATTCATCACAATCCAGCCCCTGCACATCAGGACACAAACCCTAATGTCCATGCACTATCAGCACAAGCAGACACCGGCAGGTTGTGACCTGGAGCATGAAAAAGTAGTCAGAAGGAGCCTTCAGGAGGGACTTATCTCTCGTTGTCCTTCCTGCGGCAGGAGATCCTACCAGAACAATTTCCACTTTACTTATGCACAAGCATAATATTTGCAATTCTTTCCACCAAATCATGCACACATTTAACGTGCTGACAAAATGTTTATTCACGATAATAATTTCATAAGCTGCATGAGCAGCTTATGAAATTATTATTAGATAGGGCTTTTGCATTAATGGTTTCACTCACTGGTATACACTGGAAAAACCATACACACATTGGCAAAAGTCGCCTAAAAAATGACAACAAAATTAACATTTACAATTATGTAAATGTAATATTATAAAATACAATAACGGGGAAAAAATATATTCTGTTTATTATAGTTGTGATGTGGAATAAATATTTTCTTTTCTTACTTGTTGCTGTTCAGTGAGGATTTCTAAGAGAAGGAATTGCCTCTGCCTTTTCATCATTAGTACTTGACTATTTCTTATTTGCCGGTAAAACTATGCTGGGAATACTAACACATTTTCCATCAACCAAATGTTCTTTCATTTAATAATATGCACATAAAATCACATAAAATGTTGAATATTGTAAAACACGGTGTAGATTAGAAAATGAATTAAACATGTGAATGTCATGTTGCTGTCACTCTCAAGTATTATTGGGCCTGTAAAACACAGGTACAGAGAAAATAATAGCTTACCCTGCTTACTTCCCACCCAATAGCAGGACGTTTGCGTTTTCATAATTGTTCTTTATACATTCATTTGACACCGTGTATGTTATTAATGTACCGTATATTATTACCTATCGCCATATTTGCAGGACTTTTAATGTAACAGGTGAGGTGTTATATTGATCTCGTATGTAGTCTTTATTGCGGTTATCTGTGTATTTGTATCTCCTGCCAGAAGAATAATTCATCTCTATATATCTATTCAGCGCATTGAATAGTGGGCCGTGAGCATTAGCCTACATAGGTTTCATTACACCGACTGCATTATCACATTATCATTATCATTAATTATTTTAATAATTACATCAGTAAAAAAATTAACTCCCCAAAGCCGAGATCAATATAACATTTATCCGCGCTTTAACGTTAATTGGATGTATTTCATGATGTTTTCAATAAGCGTTTTTTCTGCGCAGTTGTGATGCTCGTGAACTCGCCGGCTGATGACACTGCGGAAGTGTCATGGCGCCGCGCGTCATGCCGCGTCACAGCCTGCTCTAGCCTAAAACAACTTGTAATGACTCTTCTCTCACTCGTTAGGACGTGATATTGGATCCAGACATCCCAGTAAATCGCAACGTAAGTATCTAGATATGCGGTTCGTGTAAAGATTTCTTTGTGGCAACGTTAAAGTTCACTTACACTCGTTGTATTCGTGTTGTGATTTGGCCACGTGCTACTGAATGTTTGCAGCAGATGATGTACTATCATTAAAATCACAAGCCAAAGTCAAAGTATATAAAAAGCTATCATTGACTCTAATAGTTAAAATAGCTGTCAGTTGTTTATGTCACTGAATTATATCCGTAACTGTGGTAAAAGAGTCACATTTCTGCGAAATACACCGCTGTCTCCGTTCAGATGACAGATTAATATAAATAAATCCTGTTAATGAAGCATTGCTATGATCAAAATTGACCAAAGAGTGCTGCACGTATCTGTGCTTAACTGTTGAGAAAAACTTAAGGTCACTCCAGTGCATTGATGTGGCTTTTATACAGTCATCTGTAATGCAATGCAACATGAGCTAATCAGAAGGGGAAAAAACTGCATTTTCCAAGATAAAAATAAATGCATTGTCCTTTCTGTCCATTACTATTAATGGTTGTTGGTTGAGGAACCAGATACTTCTAAATATGTTAAACAATGCACTTAAAACAATAATGTAGCTAAGAACATCTGCCTTTGATTCCTAGAATTACTAATCCAGTCATATGTACACACTTTTTAAATTATTACTATTTTTTTAAAACTGTAGGATGGCTGATTCAGGCTCCGGGGACCCCAGCGGTCAACGTGTGCCGACCCCTGGAGGGAGCGGTCGGGGCCTGCTGATGGGCCGTCGACCTCCTGCTGCCATGTCGACCGGCCGTCTCCCCTCCATGCGCTCGAGAGACCTCACACTGGGAGGAGTAAAGAAGGTAATCTCCTTGTTTGTTACAATCACTGTCCAGGATTGATTCCTTTGTTTTCACGTCCTTAGTTATTTTTTTTGTATTTTCTTTTTCTAGAAAACCTTTACACCCAACATTATTGGCAGGAAAGTCAAAGAAGAGTAAGTTCTCAACCGATCTCAATGAAGGACGTCGAACGTCTGAGAAAAGCGAGCATTCAACTGACTTTTTGATTGTTGGCCAAATCATTTTCTCTGTTGTCGCAGGACGAAAGCAGAAGGCGGACCGAGGAGAGACAGGAGGGAAGGTGGTCGAGGCCGCGGCCCCAGAGATAGAGGCCGGGGCAGAGGCCGCCCGGAGGTCATACAGTCCCACTCTATTTTTGAGCAGGGCCCGGCTGAGATGATGATGAAAAAGAAAGGTAGGCGTTCACCCGGACGACCCCTCAACCTGAACGGCCGACGTTACAGTCTTAATAACACATGCCCGATTGGGTCGTCTTTTGGTTTAATTGTATCCCTCCATCATACACAGGTGGCTATGAAAATGAGAGAGAAGCTCCCAGCATGGGACCCTCACCCATCATCAATATTAAAAAGGAAAAGCGAGAGACGGAGGAAGAGACCAAAGAGATACTTGCCAAGCTGGAGCGGGATACTGTAAGTCCCTTGGTTGTCAACTTTATTAGGTTTAAGTAAGTTTATTACAAAGAACTCTGGACCGGTTATTATCAGTACCATACTGACGCTCCTATTTGGATTCTGTAAGTAGCGAGAATATTTTTCATTTCTCTTTCATTTAACACCTCTTTTGCGTTCTTTCAGTTTATAGACGACCCCTTCCTGAGGAGCGAGCGCAGGAGCTGCCCTGTCCAGCTTCCTCTTGCTGTATCGGGTTGGGGATTCACGGAGGAATTTAGTAAAGATGCTGTTAAAATTAAGAAGGAGGAAGAGGAGGAGGAGGATGGTGAACCCATGGAACATGCAGTTGAAGGTATCAAGATAAAACCGGAAGGTGTTGTATCTACATGGCAGTTTGCACGCCAGCCTCTTCCAATATATTTGCTTTTGAAAGCACGTTGTTCACACGGCTGCTCTCTCAAAAGACACTTTATCTTCTTTTCAGTGAAACAGGAGCCGGTGGAAACGGAAATTAAGAAGTCAGAAGGAGCTTTCAGGCCCCCTCCTCTCCCTGAGCCCGAAGTTCTCCCCGAGCTGCTGCATCGATGGAGTCTGAACAAAGGGGAGGAGCTCTTCTTCATGCAGATGCCCGACACGCTGCCCGGCCAGCCCCCGACTCAGGAGCACAGGCCCGTGAAGACGGAGGTGCAGTCAGAGGACGGACAGTCTGTGCTTCTGAAAACCGAATCTCTGGTAGATATATTTTCCCGTCTATGTGTTGAATATGCAATGAACTGTGGGTAATGTGTGTAGGCCATTCTTTGATTGTAAACAGGAGGATGAACCTGAAGACAGCCACTGCAATCTGAAAGATTTGCGGGAGGGTCTCGTGGGGAAAATGTTGGTGCGGAGGTCCGGCCGGGTCCAGCTCATACTGGGACAAGTGACACTCGATGTGTCTCTAGGAGCATCATGCTCTTTTCTACAGGTGCGATCACAGTATTGATGTGTGTCCGTTTGTCGTCCTGCTGCATCTTTTTCAAACACAGCACAACTTTTATAAGTTGACCATAGAGTAAATATTCATTTTACAGGAATTATTAACACTTCTGACGTGCTTCTTTTCTTCTCAGGAGTTGGTCTCTATTGGTACTGAGGGAAGAACAGGCAACTTGACTGTATTAGGGAATGTCAAACACAAAATGGTTTGCTCCCCGGACTTTGAGGCTCTGCTGGAGAGCAGTGCTTGATGCTTGAGATGACTGAATCCCCTGGATGCACTTCTGGTGGAATGTGATGTTGACAAGATGCTCACTTTTACTACGGACCGCTGGACCCTGACATCAAGTAAAAGGATCATGGATGTTAACTGTGCTCCTGTGATTCCATGAAGGCTATAATATGATGAACAAAATGAAAATACACTATAAATATAAAACGCAATTGAGTTTTACCTTCTTCTATTGGAATAGTTCTGTTAATTCAGGATTCAAGGTTGAATGTTGTGCCAAATTTCAGTTCCATCTGTAACTGAGATTACTTGAAAAGACTGTACATGAGTGTAAATGTGCAAATAAAAAGGTTTTTTGTTAATTCCTGTATTTTATGGGTCAATTTTACTGTATTTGTTCACTGAAATTAATTCTTCATAAACATAAAATATTTTTACATTTAAAATATGAAATCTAGCAATCCACACATTAGCCCTTTAGCTTCTTCCTAAAGAATAATTTAATTACACTTGAAGTAAAAGAACACACCTCGACCACCACCATACTGCTTTTCATGATATTCGTGCGATCTATTTGTGCTTCACTTCAATAAATCCGTTGCAGCCTGATTGTTCCCTCATCAATAGACCGCTATGACCTGCCGCTCATCAAAAGATTACTCTACAGCGCTCCTAGTGGTCACACTTTAAAATGGCAATTAAAGTGTTGTTGCAGTACACCGTTCTGGCAAGCAGGGGTCAGGGTGGAGCCGCGTGTCATCATCGGAGGGCAGGTCGTTTCTAATACGTAGCCAGTCCGTTGTCTGCCCGTGTTGCTCTCCGGGTGGAGTTACAGATCCGCAAGACAAAGACAAGTGATTGACCAGTGAAGCGCCCCGGCACCGGCGCAGGACGTAACGGGACCTGAAGGGTTAGTTAACTGTAATCATCTCAGTAACTGTTGATTTGGGAAAAGTAACCGGCGAGACACCCAGTGGACTCACTAGCTGAGCGTGTACCGAAAAGACGGTTCCTTCTCGGCACTTCGTGTAGCTTTTCACTCGGACGGTGCTCCCGTGGTGGGCTGAGCGCATGCTAGCCGAAGGAGGTGCAGCGCGCCGGGGCGGCGGGGTGGGCACATTGAGCATACCCGTTAGCTGCCACAAGCTAACTTCGGAGGCAAAGCCATCGGCCTTTTTTGAGTCTCAAAACCGGCTACTGTCCGCGGTCGAAGCTAACTGCGTGTGTTGGGGGGAGAGGGGGGGCTACTAAATGATTGTAGAGAGCGTCGGCCGTAAACGGGCGGAGGTGGGGAGCCTTAGCTAGCCCGCCACCCGGGATCCACCCGTTAGCATCACCAAAGCCGATAATGATGGAGGGCCTCCGACGTCATCTCTTCCCCGGTGTTGATAACGGCAACGTTGGCTAAACAAGTTTTCTGAGGAAACGAAGTAACAAAAGAATCCAGCTAGGCTAACCCAAAGTTCGCACTGTAGACCGTTCAGGGGACACATGGACCCGCTTTTCTGACTTGAACTAACACGATCACACGTCGTGTCCTCTTGAGAGGTGGGATCACCCCCTGACCGGTTCTTCTTTGTGCTTCTTCGCAGGTCCCCAGAGAGGCCGAGACACCCGTCCCGAGGAGAACCACCTGCTGTGCCTAGTTGTGACATTGTTTACATTTCTGTCCCCGCCGGTGGGAGGACATCTGCCTTTTGTTGACTTTACAGTTCTGCCCCCGGCGGAACGAGCTCGACTTGAGTTCCAGGACCCGGATGGACAGTGAAGATGACGCAATTATCTGATATTGCCCCAGAGGGCAACGTGGACATGGCCATTGGTGTTGGTTCTTTGTTGTACGCGAGGAGCTCCATCCCCTAGTTGTCTCGATGACGGCCTTTTTCTGACAAAAGACAAGGGCCACTTGGGGGGCCAGGAGGTGCTCCTTTTTCAACAGTGTGATAGACCCCAACTGAAAACATGGAGCTCTTCTTCAACCCGTTCGACAACCTGGTGTGCATCCTGCTGGGCATCTCCCTCACCGTGTGGTTCACCCTGCTGCTGGTCTTCATCATCGTGCCTGCCATCTTCGGGGTGTCCTTCGGCATCCGGCGTCTCTACATGAAAACCTTATTGAAGCTCTTTGAGGTTAGTGCTCGCGACTTGAAATGATCGTAATCTAATCTTTTTGGGGGTCGAGGCTGAGGGCGGTTTGTTCTTCAACAAACCAAACACAGTCAAAGTTGCCTCTCCCTCTCCTTCAAGGACATCCTGTATTTGCTTTTGCTGTGCACTTTGTCCGCCCTGAATCAGAATTCACAGATCCACTGGCAGTTTTTGCCTCTGGAAAGTAGCCACCGGCAGTTTGTTGAGTAAGTTTGTAGAAATGAGGCCAGCTTTGGGCTTTCTGCGTGTCTTTAAGCATCCGACCAGTGGCCATTGTCCTCGCAGGCAGATGCAAATTACCATTAACAGCCACAGGGCCATTCTTCCCTTGTTATGTAACTGGCTGCGAACAGTGCTACAGACCCTGCCCTTCCGTCTGTGACGTGGCACCAGCAGGCCCCTGGAATGTTACTGATCTGCGGGTATTACTTTACAGAAAAGCGCTTCGATCACCAGCAATCGCAGTCATGCATCGGCTTCATTTCCCACGAGACTCCACACCCAGTTTCCCCTGTTCCCCTTTTCTCGTGTAAAGCTGTCATCTCTTCCCGGCCTGAACCCTGAGAGAGCAGATCTTGTGCCAGAAATAAATGGACCAGTGGGAGATATGAGACGTTCTTGGCTCATGATTGCCGTAACCACCAAGCGCTACAGAGAAAAAGGTCAAAGGACAAACCCTTGTGCAGACTGTGTGCAGACCTGAAGCAATGTTTTCTGGTTGGCACTATATTGACATTATATCATTGGTTGCTCAACATTAGTCTAATTCTTTCTTGAGCCCACAATTATAACAAAGTATTTATGTTGAGTTGGAGTTTTTTTCCGGTGTAAAATGTATGATTTCACGTGCTGCTCTGGAGCCACATGCTCAAGATGTACCGGCGTTATTTTGTTTCTGATCTGGGAGCAGCTGTCTCCAGTCAACTGCAGCGGCGTGTCAATGTGTGTTTATTATTACGACTTGGTAGGACACGGTCCAAAGGTGGCCCAGCTGTAGCAAAAGGAATACTAGTATTGTGCTTATTTGATATAAGTAATAATGACCAGACTGTGTCCAGCTTTTGACTGATACTGTAGATCCACTGTAGAGATCACCGCTGTGGGTCAAATGTCTTCAGTCGTCCGCTTTCCAGACTATTCTATATTTACTTGGCTGATGTGCATCTCTGAAACAAAGTTGCACAACAAATGGGTTTCAATTCAGCCAGATTCATAAAACTTGTATTTTCTACAGCATATGAAAATATCTGATTTAGAGAGCATGACTACAAGAAATGTCATAAGATCGCTCTTTTCTTCTTTTTTTTTTTTTTCTTTGCCGTGGGCCAATTCCAGCTTTTTAACTTGCATGCCTGCTTACCATAACTGTATTTAGGAATACTTACAACCATGCGTTCAACTTTGTTGAACTTGAACTATACCGTAGTATTGTTTGGTGCACTTAAATCTTGGAAGCATTATGTTTTTTAGTATAAACTTTAATCTAAGACTGTTGGCCAAGGGAAACGAACCCACCACCTCCCAGTCCATAACTTCCTGAGCTCTCCTACTGGTCTCGCTGCTAGAACACTGTGTCCTTTTCCTGCCTCTCAGTTGGGAATGGACCAATCCGGTCTTTTCCGTCCCACTAGCTGAGCTCCGGGTCTCGGTCGGTAGTGAATACCGATCAAAAACCAGTTCTTAATTCAAACGTTATCCGCCTCACTTTGCCACGCGACCAGGATTGTTCTTCTTCGTCGTCATCAGGCCCGACTGAAACATTGCTTTCCCTACTTCTAAATTGGGAATGGGCTCTCAATTGACTTATCTGGTTGAATTCCTTCCTCAACCGTTGTGCATTGTGATGGTTTGCAACACTAACAATTCGACTGGGACTGGATAGATGACCATTGGGAGAATTGAGCAGGAAACAGCGGGTTATCAGCAGTTCGCTTGTTGTGGCTGCCGGTTGCTATAGAAACGTTTCTCATACTGGCTGCGCTTCCCCCTCATGTTCCATGTGTTTTATACTCCCAAAGAAAAAAACAGAAGTGAGCCGTTCCTGGTGTTGTTGTTCAATTTGTTGACAAAGTTGCCTGAGCATGCGGAATTTCCATGTATTATTTTTTTTATTACAGTGGGCCACTCTGCGGATAGAGAGAGGAGCAAAAGAAAACAACCACCACTTGTACAAACCCTACTCCAATGGTAAGAAGTGCTCTCTCTGTGTGCATCTCCACTGGGCGGGTCTGCTTTTAGAGACGAGTGTCGCTCACATCCTTTCCCTCCCCGCTAACTCCTCCAGCCATCATTGCCAAGGAGCCCACCTCCTTGGAGGAGGAGATCAATGAGATCCGGCGGAGTGGCAGCAACCGGGAACTGAACTCGGCCCCGGAGTTTGAGATGTCCGACATCTTCTATTTCGCCCGGCGCGGAGTGGCGAGCATCATGGACGACGAGGTGACCAAGCGGTTCTCTGCTGAGGAGTTGGAGTCCTGGAACCTGCTGACCCGCAGCAACAACAACTTCCACTACATCAGCCTGAGGCTGACCGTCCTGTGGGGGCTCGGCCTGCTCATCCGCTACGGCCTGCTGCTGCCTCTCAGGTACGAGCAGGGCCTCCAACAGAGAGGGTTTATGCTTTATGTTGTGTGATTTATGTCGGATAAGCCTGCACCGCACCTGTTGGGAGGAGAAGCAAACCCATCGAGTCAGAGCCGATGGATGCTTGGCACTCGCGCGAGTACTACAGAGTCAGTCATTAGTAGCTGCTGCGTCCAATAGTCAAATAAAGCCAGCGAGGTGGTGTAATTTGAATAAGATGACAGTTCGGGCAGTCAGGGGGGCCAGTGGCTCGGTACCAGGCCCGGCTGGCTCATTTCCCATCGCCAGAGGGGAGTCTAATGAGGACGCGGCGGCGCATGCAGACATCACTCTAGACAGCCGTCGGGTGGACGGATTCGCTCTCGTCTCGTTGAATGTTGAGCTGGCTGAGCGCTGCAGGGGAAGCCTTCACCTCCCGAGTGTCGGTCTAATCCGTGTCCTATTTAATCAGCTCCTTCTCCAACCTGGATCGTTGGTTCATCCAGATTATAGTCGGCCTGTTGGCCAGTTTAATCATCTCTTAATATGTCGCGGTGACACAGAGGAAACGAACATTTCAGTATGTTCAGCGGTGAGAAGGAACACTTTGGTGGATAAGGATTTGCGTTGTCACGTGTCATTGCCCACAAAATACGAATTGTTTTTTGTTTTAATCTGTCAAACCCAAAAGTGTAATCCGCGTTCATACAGGAGTGATGCTGCTTGTCAGAATGCAGTGGTAGAGAAACTGGGTGTAACCAGCCTGTGTCTCTTTTAGGGTGACTCTCGCCTTCACCGGTGTCGGCCTCCTCGTGTTCCTCACGTGTGTGATTGGGCTGCTGCCAAATGGAAGGTAAGGCTGACGAGAGGCTGGTCATCCAGAACAAATGGATTTTTTTTTTTTTTTTTGGACATCTTGACACACAAAGCGTCTTACGTATACGCTCCTTCTTTCAGGTTAAAAAACGTTCTCAGTCAGAAAGTCCACTTGATGTGCTACAGAATCTGTGTCAGAGCTCTGACTGCCATCATAACCTACCATGACAGGTAAGGGAACTACACCCAACTACACTCCACACCTTTTTAAATGCATGGGACTGGTAACTTTTCACTTTCTCCTTCTAGAACTGTATTATTTCAACATTGCCCTAGTGAAGGTCCGAGGGGAAAAAAGGTTTAGCGTCCTTATCAGAAAAGGACAGGATGTGTACAAGACGAAGCCCATGTGGGAGTTTCTTTAATGGGCTCTGGAATACAAACACATCGCATCTCATCTCAGATCATAACTCACGGTGATGACGTCAGCAGAAGTAATGGAAGCCAAGCCATGAATCAGCGGCTAGACTGGTTTCCTTACTTCACACACACCGACAGCTCAGACACAACGACTTGAATGTGCTTTATTTCATTGTGGCTCATAATATTCATGTTTACCTCCCAACATGGAGACTTGTTGCAATGTTCAAGCAATACCTAGTTCCTACTCTGATATAGCCACCAGTCAATCACCTTGACCGCCTCTCAAATTATTAATGTTTTCCTTAATAATTAATAATATTAACATGCAGCCCCACTCTCACACTTCATGCTCTGCAAAAGCTTTGAAAGTCGGTTACATTTTTTTCTTTTTTCTTTGCTGTGTCACTGTTGTTTGTTGACTTCACAAAAGATCCTGTTTTGTTGCAGCTAAGTTGGTTCCTGCTCAATTGGGGCCAATGGTTCAGAATATCATGAAATACTTTCGTCGAACGCCTTTTTTCCAGAATTTACCCCGGGGAACAAACTTTTATTATTACGAGAAAAGCATGTTGCAACTCGTAGCTTTCCGAAGGCCGGGGCGAAGTGAGCTTCTGAAATTCTAATGTTTCTCGAAGCTCTCGTACATTTGAATCCAGGAGGATATCAGGTTATAAACCCGAGGCAACACAAACGCTGCTTTCCTCCTTCTCAAACACGATCCGCAGCACTCCTCTCACGGCGATCATATAATGCGATGTCCCATCATTCCGGCTGAGGTTACGTGTGGAGGGAGAGCAGAAAGCCGGGCGTGTGAGCACCCAGCGTGTCAGAATGAACGGCAGGGAGCCCGAGGTCACACGCTGACTGGCTACACATTCGTGTTCATCGCAGCAGGATGAGCCAGTAACGCTTACCCAAGATTGGGAACATTTCTCGACACAATAACTGTATAATAATACTAATAATACACACTGTAAAATAACAACAGTAACTACAATCTTTATTATTTTTCGGGGTCCTAGCTGCAGGTTTCTTAGTGTTTATTTCCAGCGGTACTGAATGGGACAAGCCCCTGCGGCCATCTTAACTTAAAAAACATGCTCGGGCCGCTGAGTGCACATCGCTCGTTACAAAGAAACGTTTTAGTGAAGGATGTGCAGCGGTGTCATGCTCGGAGTGCAGGCTGCAGGCTTTATTGACAGCGTCAGAGTCTACGAGGAACAGTAGGTTAGATAGGAGATGGACGCATGTGACAGGATGTACAGGAGGAAGTTGCTGCTTTTATGTATTTGCTCATCAACATAGTCTACAACAGCTGGTGTTGTTTTTGGTTAACTGAATGGCATGTTTGACTAGTTGAGCTCAAACTAATGAAATCTTGACATCTGAGATTGCGATCAAGGGACTTTGGTAGCGAGGTTACTCAATGTTTGGTTATTTCGAGGTTATTTTGAGGTGCCGGCAAAAGTTTCTCATCTGATTGTGAGTTTTTTGTGAGCTGAATGTCTGTCATCACGGCCTGATGGTTCCTCTACTCTACTACCGGTCTAAAAATACACACATTAGAGAGAAAGTGTTGCTCGCTCTCTCTTTTTAAGACTGTAACTTGGAATATGGAGTCAGTAGGTTCGGATCATGCATGCTCGGGGGTCGGGGGAAGTCAAACCTCTCAACCTGTCCTATATGGCGTACGCCCACATTTTAGAGAGAATTTAACATTGTTTTGCGCTTCTTGACAATTAATCCTCTGGGAAGTGCGAAGCCTAACGGTCTCTCTGTGTCCACTGTTCCAGTGAGAATAAACCCAAGAACGGAGGTCTCTGCGTCGCCAACCACACCTCGCCTATAGATGTCATCATCCTGGCCAGCGATGGCTGCTACGCTATGGTAACTGTGCTGCCGCTCGCTGCTGCCGACTCTTTCTGCGGCAGCTGAATGTCCGTTTACAGCGACTGTGTTTGTGTTGTCAGGTTGGCCAAATTCACGGTGGCCTGATGGGGGTCATTCAGAGGTCCATGGTCAAGGCTTGCCCACACATTTGGTTTGAACGCTCAGAAGTCAAAGACAGACATCTAGTGGCCAAAAGGTACCATTGCAGCCTTTGTTTGTTTGTTTTTTTAAAGGTCTAATTTCTGCGTCACAGGATTTTTATGTAATTTGTCTAACTAAAATGTAGTTTTTCTACCTAAAGTTGTAGTTATTTTGTAAATGATGTGTTAGGAATCGGAGTTTTAATTGTAAACCACATGCACCCTGCAGATTGAGTGACCACGTGGAAGATAAATCTAAACTGCCCATTCTAATTTTCCCAGAAGGTGAGTATGTTCAATTATCTGATTAAGATATGAAAACTATTATCTAGTTTTCTAAACAAAAAGGCCCAGAAGTCTCATCTGTTACCATTCTAAATTCCCAGGAACCTGCATTAACAACACATCAGTCATGATGTTTAAGAAGGGCAGTTTTGAGATTGATGCCACAGTCTACCCTGTGGCCATAAAGGTGAGTACTTACTTTTCTTTCTGCAAGATGCTACCTTCTACCTGCTGCATTTAATTTGAACCATCAACATTCTTTTGAAAAATGTGTTCGACGTGATACTTGTGTCAATCCGCTGTATTTGATCCCCACAGTATGACCCTCGATTTGGAGACGCTTTCTGGAACAGCAGCAAGTTTGGAATGGTCAACTACCTGTTACGTATGATGAGCAGCTGGGCCATCGTCTGCAGTGTGTGGTACCTCCCCCCCATGTCCAGAGAGGTGAGACGCCGCGGTTAACTCCAGGCTGCCCAACCAATAGCTTTTTCTATGATGGACGAGCAATCATGTTAACGAACACAAATTGTATTTATTGTGTTTAATTTGATGGACACTTGACGTATGGATATGTCCTAATATTCATGTTCTCCCAACAGGAGGGGGAGGACGCTGTACAGTTTGCAAACCGCGTGAAGGCCGCCATAGCCAGGCAAGGCGGACTGGTCGACCTCCTGTGGTAAGAGAACACGCATTCAGCGCAATGACTTCTACCGCTTTCACAAACCAACCCGAGACTGACGAGGGGTTGTGAACATGCTTCAGCACAGAAATCTCTAGTGGATGGGCAGTTACACAGGTGCTATTAATAATATTAACAACTGGCGGCATTGTGGCCCCGGCATCACGTGTGTTTATTACTGCGACGGCTTATTGGGCCTCTTAATAGAACTCGGCCATCGTTAACGACATTGTTTGCGCCGGCGTGTTTCCTGCTATGACGCGTAGGCCTCCCCTGAGAGAAGATCATATCTGCCACTATTCTTACAGACTCGATACAGACCCTAAAATACAAGTGCCAAACTATTCTAATTCTAACTAAATTCTATAAATAAAGAACATGTTGACTAAACCGATCTTTTGACTTTAAAAAAAAAGGGTTGCTGCAGTATTTCTGCTAGTTTCATCTAGAAAATGTGTGCAAAATTTTGCAACTCTTCATCCCTTTCCTTTGACACTTTTAATACGCAAACCACCAGTTGATGCTCTCCGATCATTAACGCCATTGCACGCTACGAGTCACTGCTAATAATTTCTAGGGCATTAATCCCAAATAACTAATGATTCTAATTACTGACTGGTGAAAAGTGTAAGGTGAAGCTTACGAACTCCACAGGCGAACAAATCACAGGTATATCTAATAAGCTCAATTATGGCTGCGTCACTGTTTCAGTGAAGCGGTTCCTGCTTTGATCTGTGCTGACTCAGAGCAATTAAATCAAGTGTTGCTGCAATAGTTTCAAAGGGATGTGTTGACTTTGGAGAATAAAGCACACAGTGCTCAGGGGAGGCGTGAGAGGAAGCAAGGAGACGAGCTCAAAAGGTTGGCCTTGCAAACCATGCCATGTTCAACAGCTCACTAACAGCGCTAGGGAGAGCCAGCAGTGATTGCCGCCCCCCCCCCAAGATGTGCTTTACCCGGGACTGCAGGATGGCACCGATCCATCAATCCCCCCCCCCATCCAAAGAGAGAGATTTAAAGCTGTGTTATAAAGTAAGGTGCGGTTACTTTTTCCGTTGTGATGAATGGAAGTTCCAGAGAACACGACTAACCTGAAGGTCATGCAGGTAAAAACAAAGCTGTAGTCCCACTGATGTTGCTTCACACAGGAGCAGTGCAGGGCTGTGCAGTTGTTAGGTCACAAACACCAGGTTTGGAAGGTATTTGATGGGCCTTTCGTTGCTTGAGCACAACCTAATAAGCGATGCAATATGGGTGATTTTTCATAATTGTCTTATTGTACCTTTTTGTAGGGATGGAGGGTTGAAGCGAGGAAAGGTAAAAGATACCTTTAAAGAAGAGCAGCAGAAGCTGTACAGTAAGATGCTGGTGGGCACCCAGGAGGACCGCAGTCGCTCCTGAGGGACCTGTGTGGGGGTGGACTGGACCCGAGACCCACTTGGGCACCTCTGACTAAATAGGCAGTCAGCAGTGCTCCCTCGCCGCAGGAGCTCTTGGACTGGAAAATGTCCCTCTCTGATGTCAACAGTACTCCATTTGGCTTCCTCGGTCACTGCCTCAGGCTTGTTCGGTGTGCGTCGTTGTCCCGGGTCGTCCTTTGTTGGAGCAGCTCGACCGAAGCCCTGCTTGCGTTGAAAGTGAAAATAAGAAGCGCACGGAAAAGGAACATTGTCTTCCTTGCAAGCAGTTTTTTGTGGGAAACCATGTGTTATTATCTATCATGAGTTACTGTCTTTGGTAGTTTCAGCCTTTTTCATTTTCATTTAACTGTCATGTTTGTATCACACTGTGTTACAGTTACAGAGCTGATTATACATGGGACAAAACAAAGAAAGCTATTGTAATAATAACTGGTTTGTTCTAGAGCTAAAACCTGGGACTGAGTTGGAGTTTTGCATGACTGGCTTGGGCCCATGATTTGGGGCACAATGCCAGATTTTGTTACATTACAGATATTTTTATGGTCTTTTTCCAAGAGAAAAAAAATGTGTATTTTAAGCTTTGTGTTTTACATTAAGACTTGTATCAAAACATGTGATCACTGTAGGAGCTGCATCTCAGATGAGCTGTTCATATGTCGTCTGTTTCATTTTTCTCTTCCGTGGAATGTGTAAATCGTCACATTGTGAAATGGAAGTCGTGGATCCACAGTTACTCGGATGGAGGTTTGTGTATTGAGGTAGATAGTCCTCATTGTTAAAGCTAATAGTGAAGTGAAAGGGTATAACTTGCATTCAGTAAGAAGGTGTTCAGGATGCTTTTAGCATTACCACTTTGAAGCCCCATGGCACACAGGTAGTGACGTTTTCACCGTCACAATTCGCTAATACATGCCCATACTAATTATTGTCCTAACAGCCATCATGTTCTACATTGGCGTCCTGCTCATGCAGTGACCATCTTGCTTAATTTATTTTAAACCAACTCTAAAAGCTACTTTCTTTATCCCCCCCCCGTCGGTGGTGAGCTCCCTCCCACCGGCCCTCTGTTAACAGGAAGAGCCATTTGAGTTGTGTCGTTTCTGCTCATCAAAATAAATGTTCAAGAATGTGACTCGACTTTTGACTTGAGGTTTTCTTTTTTTTGTGTTATTCTCAAACTGTTGACCATGCTGGTTTTCCTCTGAGACAGGCACGAGCACAAAGGGGTCCAAAACATTCAGCAGCATTATAGACGCATAAGTTTCACGGCTGCTGATCATTTTTACCAATTCAAAGCATTTTCTTTTGGTATTTTCAGAGCATTGGTTTTGCTAAATAAATGTATTAATTAGCAGCTGCTTTTCAGTGCTATTCTTGGCCAGCCAGGATTTATTTCCTGACTGATCCCTTCTCCAGCGCGCACCAAGCTGCTATGACACCGTTTAACGTTATGACAGCTTTATTTTAGACTGTGTTTTGATTTTTATTCCCCAGTGTGCAATGTACTCAGGCTCCAGCCTAAATTTGTAATGTTGCAGCCTAAATCTCTTTTCTCTGGGTGTATGCTGCTTAATTCAGGCTTCATCCAAAAGCCCCGGCCTCCTCCTCCTGGCTGCAACAAGCTGCCTCGGCCCTTTTCACAGAGCTCTCCCCTTTCTTTGTTTCCAAACCGGTGATGGAAATGGCAGCATTCTTTTGCGTCTCCATTGCAATAGTTTCAAATGGATGTGTTGACGTTGGAGAATAAAGCACACAGTGCTCAGGGGAGGCGTGAGAGGAAGCAAGGAGACGAGCTCAAAAGGTTGGCCTTGCAAACCATGCCATGTTCAACAGCTCACTAACAGCGCTATGGAGAGCCAGCAGTGATTGCCGCCCCCCCCCCCCAGATGTGCTTTACCCGGGACTGCGAGATGGCACCGATCCTCAATCCCCCCCCCCCATCCAAAGAGAGAGATTTAAAGCTGTGTTATAAAGTAAGGTGCGGTTACTTTTTCCGTTGTGATGAATGGAAGTTCCAGAGAACACGACTAACCTGAAAGTCATGCAGGTAAAAACAAAGCTGTAGTCCCACTGATGTTGCTTCACACAGGAGCAGTGCAGGGCTGTGCAGTTGTTAGGTAATAGCAGTAATTACTGATGGGCACACACAGAGAGAAATATAAGGTGTTTCCTGTTGTGAAAAAGAACAAAAAAAGTGAGAACAAACTCCTCAGAAAAATGATGTATCACAGAAAGAATACAAGTAGCTTCCTGTTGTGACCACATATATGGAAAGTGAGTAGTAGAGCCAATTCAGGTTACCTGAATGTGCTCGTAGGTTAAGGTATGTGTTCAATCATACGTCATTGCGATAAAGCAAACGCTGAAGATGACCAAAGCAATACACAGGTGTATTCTACGGGTATCTTCGGGGGGGCACTCTTTGTTGTGACAGCCACAACTTTTGCTCGGCGAACGGGGATGAAGTTGAGCGCGAGCGAGCAGGAAAAGGGGGCGGAGCCGGATCCCCGGCGTTGACGACGATGACGCGCCTCCTTCTCTCGCTTATCTGAGCGTTCGCTAAAAGGGCGGCAGCAGATGCGCCGTCCATGCCGGGTTTAAGTCCGCTAAGAAGCCACTAGTCCAATTAACCGAGAGGAAGGCGGAAATACGCGCACGTAGGCTACTCAAACTAACTCCCTGCTTAGCGCCCGGACCATGGATATGCGCGCCTCCGCGGCGTATGACGAAGAACAGAAACGACGGCCCGCCGTGACCGAATAAGTTGGACCCCGGCAGCGACACCGTCCCACTTCAGTGATACGCATGTGTCTCTAGAGCGGTTGTAGGAACCTACCGGAGGCGTAGGACTCACACAATAAGCTCCCCGAGTGTCTGTTATCGGGCCGCCTGCGCGCGCGCGCGTCACCCGGAGACCCTCCGCAGCTCCCCGGGACCGTTGGTGAGGGGTGCCTTCGTTGACATGGAAACGTTCACCGACGTGCTGCTCGTCACCGCCAACGTCGGGTCGCTCTTTGACAATGTGAGTATGAATGGTGGGAAGTGACAGCGACGCTACGACCAGCGCGAAGAGCCTCCAGAGGATAAGGCTTTTAATGCCGTTTAGCCCGACAAAGAAAGAATGAGTCGAGAGGCGAACTAGAGGCAAGTTTTGCCCTGAGTGGACTGCGCTGCTAGCATGCACCGTCACATGCGTGCTAGCTTCTCCGCTCGCTCATTCAATATGACTGACGCTTCTCCTAATGGGTTGATTTAATTAAGTCACCGTGTTACTAAAGTGAAAAGGGCCTTTGTGTTTATCTCAGTGTTTTAATTGTTTATCTTTATTTGTAGGGGTCTTTCAGACGCTCTTAAATAGTGTTAGACACCCATCTCCCATTATGTAAATATAGAGTTCTATTTTTCAAAAAAAAAAAAAAAAATAGAAATAACGTAAAAACATTTTTTAATTAGGCTATTTTTGCACTTTTCAAAACACTGGTTTTCATGTTCCTCTTTGGCTGGGCTTCCAAGCCTTTTTGAAGGGAGGAGGGCTCTTACACTCATGGAAATTTGGCACAGGGCCACGTTTCCTGGTGCCAGACCTGGCTCCAATTTAAACACGTTGGATCCCTTTGTGGGGGATATGTAAACAGATGAATATCTGCCCCGGAAGACTTGATCTTTTCTGCTAATTTAGTCCCCCTTATTTCCATAAACACTCCTAAATGTTGGCCAGCCTTCGGAATACGAGCAAGACCTTAAAGCCCGTCTCCTGGTCAATCCGATTGCTTTGCAGAAGTGGGACTAGTGTCTAGTGTCATAGCAGCGGAACCGGTGAGGTGGTGTGCTGCTCTTTCACAGGGAACCTTTCTTTGGCGCACCATAACAGTATCCTGGAGATTATTTCCTGTTTGTTGTAAGCTTGTCTAATAACCACGAATGGACCCAGATGCATTGAATAGATGTTTTGTTATACAAACATTCCCAATAGCATTGGAGCATTGGAGTTGTCAGTTGTTGGAGCACACTACTGCAAACATTTTACCATTTTTCTGCTAATCCAACAGCTTGGAACCACAAAGCATTGACCGGATCATCCAGCTGGATTCCTAAAAGCTAACAGCGTCTTTAAAACAGAGCTGCTTAAGCTTGCTTAAGATCTCGGTTCGTTGTTTATTTGTTTATCTTCCGGGTTCTTCTTCTCGTTTCTCATCTAAGTTCAGTTTTGTCAGTTATTTACGAATGAATCACGGCCGGTGGACAGAGCCAGTGGTCCTGCCCTGCGTCCATGACTGTGTTATTAGCTAAAATGAGGAGAGGAGTCCTTCTGGTTTAAATCGGACACAGCCGCAGTCGTCCCTGCCAGACTGCCATGTAAATCCACTATGCAAAGCCGTCTCTCAGCAGGTATCAATGCGCCTGGCATCGTGGAAGTACACACACTTTGCAATGGGAAAAATTTAGGAGCAAAGTGTGTAAGATAGGACACGTTTAAAGGCCACAGCTTAGTTATTTTTACGTTTACAGCTACACAAGGCGACATTTGTGTAGCTGTAATTCTGCCCGTTGTTCCAAGGCAGAAAGATGTCTTAAGTCAGCCCCAACCTTGTTGGACAGATTTGAGGACTCATACGTGTTTCACAGTCTACTCGGCTGTCAAAGGGCCATTAAATATAAAACTCCATCAGAGAGGATGTGTGGAAGGTGGCCATATTAAAACAGGTGCAGCCACATTAATGGGACTACATCCTGGACCACACAGCTAATGGAACACCCAGGATTATATTGCCAGACAACATGCACTGTTGCGTTGTTCACTTCCTACAAATTCAATTAAAGCTGAGGATGTGTCCTTTCTGTGATTGATGACTTCCTGAATTCAATTTAACTTATAAACAGTGTACAAGTCAGAAGCTGCGATGACTTTATTTGTATCTTAATGCGCTTAAATTGTATTAAACCTCATAACTGGCTTCATTATTAATCAACAAGTGATAAGTTAATCAAATCAAATGAGCCGTTCAGATTGACACTTCTAGTTAATGTTGTGAGTGAAGAAGGAGATCTATTAGTAGACATAGCCAGTTAACTTTTTATCTTGTCAGCTAAAAGTTTAGGTTAGATTAAGGCTTTAACTAACCATTATTATTATTTTGTTGTTGATTATTCCACATATATTTTCTATGATTAACGAACATTAAAAAAATATATGTATCACTTTTTCAGAGACCAAGGAGGTCAATTTATGTCCACAACCCAAAGATATTCTACAATACTAACATTTATGTAGCACAGTATATCGATAAAGTAGTCTGCTGTTGGACATTTTTCTAGCTCGCCACAGACTGTTGAAATGTGGAAAAGGAAATGTGGGGAGGATAAGGAAGTGTTGAGTTAGGACAACAAAAGCTTGCTGTGGTAAATGTGTTCTTATACCGAGCAAATAGCCGTTAGCATGCAAATAAATAAATAGCCACATATTTGCTAACACATTAGCAATGATGTCCTTTCAATGTGATAATACCTCAGTTCTGTTTAGAGCTCGTTGCACTGTCCCCGGGTGACCATGGACTCCCAAATGTAAATGAAACAATGCATACCGTTGATGGTTTTTGTCTCTGTCATTTTACAGGTGGGTGAAATTCAAAATGAGTGGTTACAAGAACTGTATACGGTAAGTTTGGGCCTCCTGAATCTACTTGCGTTCCCTTACATTGTCAGGGAAAAAACAACGGGTACATAGTTGGTTCTGGCAACATTACATTGGTGTTATCCTCTGCACACTTTAATCACCAAAACCGTTGATAACAAAGGCACAAATTCATTGGCGGAAATGCCTCTGATGCCCCCTCCTGCAACGTGGTGGACCCCCTCAGTCCTCACTGCTCTGTAAAACCTGCACACTGAGGCCTGATGGTGGTGTTTTGTTGCAGACTGTCCACAGGCACAACCCACAGTTCATCGCCCTGCACTTCCAGGAGGTGGGAGGAAAGGACTACATGGTCAACATGGGCCACGCCGAAAACTTTTTCCGGTAGGACTTACGAGCTGCTCACGATCTGTGTTGCTCAGTAGTAATTTACAGAATTTGTTCTCATTATTGATTTGTCTGTCAAATTATTTTCTCCATTCATTGTTCGATCTATAGAATATGAAAAGAGTGACAAATAGTTGGTTTCGGCCAAAAAACTAAAATATATAATTTTTTATAGTCACAGAAGATTAAGAAACCCCATAAACATACACAGTCACATTTAAGAAGCTCGAATCAGTTCGGCCTAACAAATTACTCAAATGACGAATTCATTGACTTGCAAATTTATTTTGCACTACGTCAGAAAAAACAACTCTGTTGTTTACAGGAACATTGACTGCAGTGAGGAAATGAAAGACTTTGACAGGGTCTGCATCTATGTGGACAACCAGTTCCAGGCCGAAGACAGCTTCACGGTGAGAAACACCCTCACGTCACAGTCTGAGTAGTTCACAAGTGCTGCCACTAGATGGGGCTCTCCGCCACGTTAGTGCTCAGAGGTAGCTGCAGGTGTCAGAGGAACCCTTCGGAAAGCCTAGCGGAACATATGTAAATACAAATGAGTTATTCGATTTTTAATGTAAGAATTATTTTGCAGTTACAAAAGAATAAAAACAGAAGAAACAAGAAACACAACAAAAATATTGTCTTTAAGATTAGATTATAATTCCATGGGCTCACTAAATATCCCATATCCAATCACAAAGGAAATCAGACTTTAAAAAATGTATTTTATCAGGAAATATGTTTTTTTAAATTTATTTTTTAATATGTATCAGAATAAATGGCAAGGCGGTCATGGGATGTTTTCATCAAAGCAGGAATGATATTATATTTGGAATTATTTTACATTCGCAAAAACATTTGAAATACAACACAATCAGTGCAGAAGTTTTCCATCTTGGTAAATGTTTGATCCAGAACTGCACAGCCTCAGACGTAACACATTCTTATGTGAGGCTATTATTATCATTATTATTATGTTGCATTTAGCTGCCGCTTTTATCTAAACCGACTTATAATAAGTTACAGACCCAGAACAGACAAGAACCGAGAAAGTACAATTTATTCACGAAAGCCAAGTTTCAAAAGTGCTATAAGAAAGTGCCATCTTGGGCGCTGCTAAAGTGCTTCTTATTCAAGTTACCGTAGGAAGACGTGTGTTTTTAGTTTGTGGTGGAAGTTGTAAAGACGTTCTGCTTAGATGGCAGCATTCATCTGAAAGATAACGTTTGAAAACAATGTCGCAATAGTTAAACATTCCATATGCCCTTCGTCTGGGTGGAAGAGGTGGCTACTCTGGTCATTGGTTCAACCTCAACTCCTCACCTTTCATCAAAGACAATTCTCTTCTTTTAGTGACCTCATCCAGCAGGCAACTTTTCAGTCCTTCTCCTGTAATTCATGTCGGTGTTTGTCAGCGCTGGTAGGGAGTAACACCTCCCGGGTTGAGAAAGGGGGCTGAGTATTTCTTAAACTATTAACCCTTACTCCTCCCATGCGATACCTCCACACTGAAGGTCTGACAGTAGGGGTCAACGGCTGCATTTGTAGACTGAAGGTGTGTGAAGTAAAAAGGAGAAAGTCAATGGCCAGGTGTGGGGAGGGCTGCGGGGGGGGGAGACAGGCCAAAGTCAATACATTTAACTCTAGATTAAAACCATTGATCCCAACCCATTTGTGCACAATAAATAAAGTGTTGGTTGTTGGAAGACAGCCGGGGCTAAGTTTCCCCCGAGCTGGACTGTGCACCCTCCACTGTTTACCCTGGGAGGGTTGCTAGCCCCCTCTCCCTTTTTCCCCCCCACCTCTCCTAATGCCTCATTCTCATTTCGTCGGTGCCACCTGCATTGATTTTCAATTTGTTTCCCCCTGGCTGCGGATCATCAGTTATGTGGCCAAGAGAGAGTTTGGGGCGCTCTGCTTTCAGAGGGGCTGCAGGAGTAGAGGGGGCCGACCCCCATGCATTCCCAGTACAAATGGTGTTTTGATAAAAAATCACTTGTTAGTCAATATTTTTTTATTAAACTGTGCACAAACCTGATTGATGAAGATAGGTGTTTGGCAGAGTATGTGGAGGAGAATGTGGTTCTGAGTTTGAGTGTGTGAGCGTGTTGAGTGCTTTCGTGTGGGAGCTAACATCACCTTGGAAAAATCTAGAACGGTTCTCCTGAGCTAATTATCAGCAGTTATCCTCTTCCTCAAAATCCTAATTTCTACGCTGTTAACAATGAACCTACATCTCAGAATATATATTTTTTGTTCAGCTTTTAGTTGGAGCTTTAAGTTATCAGTCGTCTGTGACTCGGTCAAATGAGTCCATGGCTCCAGCCTTCATTTGGACAAGTTGGTCACTAATTGCAGCTCACTGGAGCCGACCACGGAGACGCTTCCATTCTATTAGACGAGGAGGACTTTGGCACTGATGATAAACGATCTCTTCAGGGAGAGATCTCTCATGCTCCGGCTGGATGTTTGTGTGTGCACAGCGGTCCGTCACGCCCCGAGCCCCGTGAGCGCTGGTTGATTTTTCTTCGGCCCCCAGTCACAGCGGCAGCGCTGGCGGACGGCAGGCCTACTGCTTAATACCTTTTAAATTGTTTTAATTTTCTGTCTTTATTGATCTCATGGGGCATGATTAATCAGATCAGTGGAGCAGGCAGTTAGTACATTAAAAATTGTCAGCCCCATGTCAAGGATGATTGGGTGCTGTGTGTGTGTGTGTGTGTGTGTGTGTGTGTGTGTGTGTGTGTGTGTGTGTGTGTGTGTGTGTGTGTGTGTGTGTGTGTGTGTGTGTGTGTGTGTGTGTGTGTGTGTGTGTGTGTGTGTGTGTCATGCAGTTGTGTGTTCAGGTTGAATGTCCCTATTTTTTAAAGTTTTGCGTGTCCTTGGTAGAGCAACAATATCCTGGGGATTGTTCGATAAAATTCATGCAATGTTGGCGTTATGAACCGTTGAATTCATCGTCTTGAGGTTGACTTGAGGAGATGATTGTGATGTTTTGGATCAGATCCAAACAGATCAGACAGCTTAGGTGTTCTAGTTAAAACTATTAAATACCGTTTAGGATTCATTAAGTGTATTGCTGCAATATTGAAAATGGAGGGGCACCTGATTTTTTTCTCTCTCCGCAGGCTTTGGGGAGCTTGTACTTCATACGCAAGACACTGAAAAACATCTATCAGTATGATTTTAATGGTAAGACCTTTACTCCTTGTCAGTCTCCTTATCACCAATCCAACTTTTTCAGTCTCTGTGTAGTCTCTCGGTATCACTCTCAGAGTGTCACATTATTAAGATGTATACCTCACTGCGTGGAGGAGACTGAGTCATGCTTTGATGTGTAACATCAGGCATGAAATTTCCAGAATTTTCCTTCATTGAAATAATGTAATCCGATACGTGCTGTGCCCATAGACACCAATACCTGACCCACTTGAGTCAGTATTCAGTGAATCTCTACTCCTCATGAATGATGTGCAATGATTTTCAGTATTTTATTATAATTTCTTGTATCAGGATCTTCAGGACATTTCTATTTATATAATGACAGTTTGATGGTTCTCTTTTCCTGGCCATGTATTTGCAAAGAACCTGAATTTAAAGTTGAGCTGCTATCTTCCCGCTGCATAGTCTAGTCACGTTAGGCGTGAAAAAGCTCCTCAGAAAAGCTTATGGAAGAACCATAAACATCGTGCAGCTGCCACTCGCTGTGTGGCCCAAACCGATTGTTGTCCACCAAACACAGTCTAATGGCTCGCTTATAGATCCTCTCATCACGTATCACGCCGCTCTGATGAGGTTAACACCAGTTTATTGATTGCTGTTTGCATGTTTTCTCACTCTTTTACATGTCATCGCCCCCTCCCCCACCCGCCTCTCTCTTACCCTGCCCCACACAGTTAAGGAATTCAAAGCGGTGTCGGGACGAAACAAGCATGTGGGCCCTCTGGAGGGGGTCGCCACCGTGGAGATTGAAAAATTCTCAAAGAATTTCTGGCCTGATGTGAGTATTTATGCATGAGGGTTTGTGTGTGTGTGTGTGTGTGTGTGTGTGTGTGTGTGTGTGTGTGTGTGTGTGTGTGTGTGTGTGTGTGTGTGTGTGTGTGTGTGTGTGTGTGTGTGTGTGTGTATGTGTGTGTGTGTGTGTGTGTGTGTGGGGCACATGAGGGCCAAAGGGAGATGTTGGGACAAATGAGTCTACTGGGGTTGACGGGGCTGTCTACCCACTGTTGACAGGGGGATGAGACAAATTATGTGAAAGAATCAATAATTATCAGTTTGGCCCTTCAAAGACACGGCTTACTGCTGTTTAGTGACTTACTCTCATTTGTCTCTGTTGCAGTTCAAGTGGTCCAGAAAGGGCTTCATGAGGACCCGCTGGATTATACACAACCAGTACGTACTGTGCACTAACCGTAACTTGATTGAAAAAAGAAACTGCAGCCTTGGGCTCACTCTAACTATCCCCTTTGGGATGTTTGTCGACTTCTGTCAAATCCAGTTACTGTAAAAACTCTTATGGTAACTGAGCTCTCCGAGCAGGTTGCTTCACTCAAACAGGTTTTGTGAATGATTCATTGGACTAGTACAGGATTCCTTCCTTTCGTTCTTCCAACTCCAGAGGAGGGCTGCGTATTGTTTCATACGTTTCAGTACTAATGCTGATGTATATTTTGAAGTAGATGGAGCCAAACATGGCTCTGACTTGAACCAGGATAAATCTGCTGCCACAGCTGTCAGTGTTTCCTGGCAACTCTAGTCACTATTTGCTCTGCTAGGTTGTCGCCTGGTGGTAATAACAAAAGGAGCCCACAATCTGTGTGCCACAAAATTGTGCCGTGAGTCAACCCGGTCAGCCTTTGTCCGGTACACATTAATTGTTTTCCATTGACAGCTGAAGAAAAAGAAAAAACGCTCGGCACACTAGACAAAAGTGCTTGTTTGTGGACTCGCCATTAACACCAGCGCGGCCCCCGATAAGATGGCTCCTCATAAGTGACACACGTGTTGGCACCCTCACACACAGACACTCACCTATCGCCATTAGGCCTTGGCGTTATCTAATTGTTTCCTGTTTCCTTCTCCACCTGCTGTGTGTGCGCGTGTGTGCGCGTGTGTGTGTGTGTTCTTTAGAGGTCTGGACCTGGTCAATGTCCACCTGTTCCACGATGCCTCCAACCTCGTTGCCTGCAGCTCCAGTCCGTCCATTTACTCAGCCAACCGCAAAAACGCTCTGCGATACGTCATTAACAGGTCAGACTTCCATCTGTGCACAACGATACAAAGTATGACAAAACATGGGTGTAAAATGTCCTACAGTCCTTTGAATGGAATATTCTGATGATAATATGGCATTCATGGTAAATTGTACACGCATCTCCGTGTGATACAGTGCTTTTTCCTTCCAGGATATCAGACAGCCGCTACACTCCTCTGCCTTTCATCGTGTTTGGAGATTTTAACTTCCGCCTAGACACACTTAGTCTGGTCCAAGTATGTTACAACCTCTTTTTTCCTGGATCTCAGGCGATGACGATGTGTTTCGGTCTGCCTCATTGACCTGGGCCCTTTTTGTGCTTGTGTGTCTGTGTGCAGCATCTGTCCACAGCGGCAGACGTGCAGACGGTGAAGAGGGAATGCAGCAATGAAGTGGAGAAGATCATCTGTGAGGAAAAAGACAACGACCGCCAGGTGATTAAACCGTCATCTGTTAAGACCACTGCCATTTCTTTTTTTAATTTGGTGCAGGATTCACTTGACCCGCTTTCATCGTACCGACAGGTGCTGCTCCGCATCGAGGAGAAGCTGTTTGTCTACCTGCACCACGCGGTTTTCCAGGAGAACAACGGCGGGGAGGTAAGAACACTCAACTCTCACCTACTTCGACGAGCGACATCACAGCTTCAAAGAACTCCGTCACTGAAACCTACGCTACACCCGGCTGCTAAGCAACTATCTGGCATGTCCTCACAGATTTCAGATTAGGTCGTAGCAGTGGCAAAACAATGACATGAATGACAGTAGAGTAAAGAGAAAAGGTCTGAGGTAAACACATGTGTGATAACTTTGACAGTAAAATGGGTTTTCACCCACACTTAAGTTGCACTCAGTCACATCACGTCGGTATTTAATGGGTTGCGATTTCCTGTGGTGCTAATCAGGGCTGGCTTCTACCCCTCAGTTATTAAAGTATGACAAAGAAGTTGCAGCCTTTCACGATGTAATTAAGGAAGAGGACATCGGGTTTCCACCCAGGTAACAGAGCCACACGCTGCAGCACACAGTCTTTAAACTCCTGCCTCTGCTCTTATCCCCGTAAACACAACGTTGGTGTCCCTCTCCCTCAGCTACCCCTACAGCGAGGAGTACACTAAACCGACCCAGTACATGAACACCCGCTGTCCGGCCTGGTGTGATCGTATCCTAATGTCGCACTCTGCCCAAGAATTCATCCACAAGGTCAGTGAGTCAAAGCCACAAGCCTTCTACTTAAAGCTTGAATTCATAACTTTCTGCAGGTCATCTGTCGTCACACTTCTGTTCTCCGATGGCAAACAACTTCATTTCAAGATTTGTGTCATTTATCGTAAATGCGATCCATAGGTTGTATTATTAGATAGTCCTTTCTACAGCTTCTTTACATCCCTTATCTTTCCCGGCGCTACGCCCAATTGTTACTGTCGCCACATCTGGTTTTCAGCTGTAACAAATTAGCCGATCAAGCTAACAGTAGTCTGACTTTTGTGATAGATGGAAATTATTACGTTGTCTTAAACATTCTATTTCTTGTTTCACTGAAGGACCGTCCTTCTTTTCAGGGAGAGGACGGAGAGAAGTGCGTTGTTTACAACACAGTGGGTCCTCGTGTGTGCATGGGAGACCATAAGGTAAACCGGTTTAAATAGCTGTCTATTGTGCAGACTAACAAACAATGTTGTGTAACTCCATTCTGTTCTTTTCTTTGTTTTTAGCCGGTTTTCTTGTTCTTCTCACTGAAGACGATTGACCATTGACTTGGATCCTTTCAAATGGTGAGAGCACATGCCAGTGAGTGTGTTCATAGCATGTCAAAGTGTATGTTTGTCTATGTCGCCATTCCATAGGGTTTCGGGGGGAAGCCTGTGTGTGAGAGCGATCACCGTAATCTGGCTTAGGTCCCCGGGGAGCCGTAACCCAGGCTGGCCCGCTGGAGTCGGGCTATGAACTAAGATGAAGTGCCTGCGGGACACGAGCGCTCCTTTGTGTCCAGCGCAGTCGGACCACGAGCCATCAGCACCTTTCGCTGATCTATGTCTATCGAATCCTCTCCACTGTCACTGTGACGCACCAAGTGCATTGCTGGCCCGCTTTTCATTAATTATAACTTGGATGGTTGACCAGAGGGACATGAACTGTGCCGGATAGCATATTGGCATTTTTACGGCCATGATTTCTGTTGTCTTGCTGAATGAATTTATCTTTTTAGCGATTTACTGCTTTTTCACGAGTGTCCTTTTTCAGGCGGCTGCAGAAATAATGAGTCCATGCAATGAAGGGACTTAGAAGATGTCCCTTCTCCTTTTTGTGTTTCACCTTTTTGAGACACAGAACAAGTTCATCCCAATATAGCAGTATTTCTGTGTTTAATTTGTGACCACATGGGATTGGTTAGCTTGTTTACAAAGTGTTTTGAATTACTTTAATTGGGCTCTTATTATTATGTAATTGGGTAGACTCTATTCTAATCCCATCCTGCAAGATACTGTGTCCAACACCTGCGCTTTGATTTATTATTTCCTTCCAGTAATCATCTCTGTGGTGAAGTAGAGGCCCAGCCCTGTTCTCATTGCTGTGTGTATGTCTGTCCGTGTCCTGCAGGTCTCTACCTACACCATCCTCACAGCTGAGTCTGCAGTATCAGTACAAGAGGATAATCACCATGATAGTTACCCGGAACAAACTCGCCCATCCAGCCAGCAGCGGGGGTCAATTGAGCGAACACCCGCTGTGAACACCCCGTCCTCACGTCCCACGTGTCTCACACACCGCTGTCTCACTGCCACGTGCTGTCCGATCACAGCCCGAAGGACGCAAGCGCGCGGTTATCAGCAGCTGGCGGTTGTTGTTTTCAGATGATCTGCTCGCTCTCAGATCTTAAACCCTGATACCTGAACGCTTGACATCACAGAGGATGTTCCTGCCTTCCTCTATGGGGACAAAGAAATGATGTAAAGACAGAAGTTATCACATGGACGTGTGTGCAGACCATTCCTACCTTTTAAAATTATGCCTTTTTCTTCCAGGCAGTGTCAGACAAACCCTGCCACAAATGTGCTCAGCGCTTATCGGCCCTGTATATTTTATTAAATGTCCTCAGCAAGTCAGACCTTTTTGTTCCAACTGAACTGAACTCCACTCCAAGAGGTTTTATGTTTTTAGTTAGTTGGCTCAAATAAGGCTTTGCTAAACACAAACAAGATTGCTATAAACCCACTAACCTTGTTGAAGACTAAAACAACATGGGATGTTTGATCAAGTATTGAACCAGTCCCACTGACCATGTGTGTATAATTTTATTATACACACATGGTCAGTTTATAACATGGTTTATAACAATTGTAGTTCAGAGATGTATACTTCAAAGGTTGTTTACTATCACTGTAATTTTACTCCACAGAGGACACAGAGAGTTCAAGAATGCTGCTGTTTTCTGTCAACACAAAAGCTTGTCCAGATGCCGTCTATAGATAAAACAATAGATTTGACACACTTGTTGCTAATGGACGTTCTCACACTGCACTTCCTTTTCTATAGCAGGTCTGTTGCTTTAGGAATGTACCAACCGTACAACAATGCCAAGTGCTTTATTCCACAACCTCTAACTCGGCAGTTCTCATCCTCACTGCCAGTTTTTTCCATCATACTGCTTCACAATATGCTGCATAAATACAGTGCATGTTTGCACACTCTGCACAGAAGGAGTTTGCTTTTGCATTGATTTGTCTGTTGACTCATACTGTAGCGCCGTGGCTGTATAATATTTTAAGGATGTGTTTACTTTACATGGACGTGTATGAAAACCATTTGTGTTTTTGTAGTTGTTGAATCTCTTTAAGATATGCAGACAGGCAGTGTCACACCAACCGTAACACAAATGTTCTCATTCCCTATCGGCCCTAAATCATTTATTAACCATCTTCAGTGGTCAGTCAGTCATTATTCTAAAAAAAACCTTCCACCCTGTTCTGAGTGGCATTAAGTTTGTTTCATGGCCAAAAAAAATGATACTCCACAACATGCTGTGTGTGTGTGTGTGTGTGTGTGTGTGTGTATATATATATATATATATGTGTGTGTGTGTGTATATATATATATATATATATATATATATATATATATATATATATATATATATAATTACAGCTCATAAACACGTGTGCACGTGCATACACACACACACAAAACCGACATGGCACTGTTTGCTTTGAGTTGATGTTTCTTTTTTCATTCATAGTCTCATATGTGTCCTGTATAATATTTGTGAATGGGGAATTATTTCAATTTTGTTTTCAATCTGGCTTTAATAACGACTAACTCAAAGAATGTTTAATATGTTTGTGTTTTTTACTTATTTTAGTCCATCACAACTGACATGTATTTTAACTTTCTGTGTGGAATGCACTTATTGTAAGTCGCTTTGGATAAAAGCGTCAGCAAAATGACATGTAATGTAACGTGTGTTTTGTTTTGACTCTGTATGTCTTAGTGGAACATTATGCCCCCTACAGTCATACTTACCTTGTATAAATTCACAGACATTGATATCAAATTTGGATTGTCCGTCATGTTTGCACAGTGGGACTGAAATCTCACCATAACAAAAGGAAGTGGTAAGAATCTGTGATGTTTGTGGTGTTTTTTTAGTAATAACGTAGCAATTCATGTTTTTCATGGGAGTGGGGGATCGATACAAAAAAGGTATACGGCCAGTATTACATTTAGTTTAAACACTACATTATCATATTTCGTTTTTGCTAATAAATTAAAATCTTTGCAAATGTTGCACTGTTGTTTACTGGCTTTACATGCACTGTGTGCACGACATGTTGCAATTGTATGTACACAATTGTGCAACACAAGACATTTTTTCTTGCAAAATATCAAAGTTGTTCCCCGTATGGGCTGATGAACCTGAATGGTTCGGTGAGGTGAATCATCTCCGCTCGTGCACGCTGCACCCGATCCGTTGGTGACAAGGAGGCTCGGATCTTGACAAATGTCCCAAAGTGAAACATCCATTTCCCATTGAATCCAGGTATGGGTTAAGCCGAGCGCAATGCCTGCCAAGAGAACGATGGCATATAAAACAGAGGACGTGGTAAACAGGCCCACTAAAGCTGGAATGAGCTGACTATCAAGGACACTTTGCTCAAAGTGAAAGTCACCAAGCGTCAACAAATCAAGAGACTGATTGTATTGCATTTCATGTTTCTACTGGTTCAATGTTAAGGCGGCAGCAGGTTGGAGGTACGCTCAAACACGGATTGCCTTCTGAAAATTCACATCTCGGAAACGTATAATGCTTGATTTATTTTTTTTATAGTTACATTGTGGACTTGAGCAACGTTTACGGAATGACCAAATTGGCGACGTATGATAATAACGGTAGTCTGTTAATGTTGTGCTGATGTGGGCGAGGAAACCAAATCATCTGGTCTGACATTTTGGGGGTTAGACCCATTGAGCACATATGGTGAATGAGCAGCAGTGGTGGTATTGATTTGATCCTAATGTGGCTTGTGGGGGTCATTGTCCTCAATTAAGCCGCTCCGCGTTCTCTGACCTTTGCACCCGTCTGTTTTTTTTTGCTTCCAGTTTCATTCTAACTGTCACTCAGCAGCAAATACAACGGCAGATCTATTAGCAATTGCACCAGAGTAATAAATGTTTCCCAAACTTTTTTTTGTGCGGCATCGCTTATATCTTATGTTTAGACAATGTACTTCAAAAACAAGTAGACAATAACAAAAGACTAATCTTTCAATTATTTTAGTCACTGTTCAATTTAAGCATTTTGCACACTGACAAATCAGAATATTATAACATGCCTCCTATTTAATAATTAACATGTGAGCTAAGCTATAAACCAGTATATCACGTTATCGCAGGATGTTCGGTTCCTTTTGAATTTCAACTAAATTGCATTGATTTAGTTTCGCTTTAATAGCAAATTACCTTAAATTTGTTTTAAAATGACGTTACCTCCCAATCTATCCATATTATATATTTTCAATAAATGGGTCAATAATATTTCCCACATATTCCTGTTTTCTTTTCTTCTATAAATATACCTTTTTGCCTGTACATTAGGTTATTAAAGCTGTTTTTCAGACATTTTTGTGATTTGAATCTTGAAAATTCAAATAATAACAAAATAATATCAACTGTTTGAATAAAAAGAACATTAAAAATAAAACTCAGATTAATCTTTTTTTTTATTAGTAGTAACATTACCGATGGCATCATGCAGTTTTTATGTAATTTTCATCCATTTTTTCAAAATGGTGAGTAGGCAACATCACACTCCCGCACACACACACACACACACACTGAACAGTGCAACATCGAACAGGCCAGAGATACAGTAACATATAAAAGTAAACGTCTTTCCAGCTTCACCCTATCAGCCCGTATTATCTACTGCAACGCGTGACGCTCGTCTGCCGGATGACACCACCGCTTCCCGGAAGTCGGTCAGACGTGAGGCCCGAGGCGCAGGACGGAGAAAGCCCTGCGGTGTTTGCGCAGCAGCAGCCGGATCTTATCGTCGTCCGAGTCGGGGTCCAGAGGTCTGTTGTACTCCTCGTCCTCCACCTCGTTCTCCGAGGCCTCGCCGCCCCCCGGCCCCGCGAGGCCGGCCTGCGTGGAGCTCGGCTCCGACGCGCTCTTCTTCCTCCACTTGGTGCGCCGGTTCTGGAACCACACCTGGACACAGCAGGAATGCGGCTTGTACACGTGCTCGTTGTTTACCAACACGTCGGGAACATATTGCATGGGTCGTGTCAGCACGCTGATATGTGGATTTACTTGTGTGTCTGCCTCACTGTCACCTGCTGATGTGATGGTATTAGATAAAAAGGAGTCAAGCTGTTTTTCTCCACATGCACGTGTTCTTTAAGTATGTGGCTGAGCAAAGAGTTGGTAGACACTCAGTTCGGTGTAAACACACTGTTGTCTTTACCTTGACCTGGGATTCGCTCATGCCCAGAGAATAAGCCAGTCTCGCTCTCTCGGGCCCGGCCAAGTACTTTGTCTGCTCGAAGGTTTTCTCCAGAGCAAATATCTGATGTCCACTAAATGTCGGTCTGGTGTGTTTCTTCCTTCCTGTCATCTCTCCCAGAGGACCAACACCTGAAAATGTCAGAAGACAAAACTATACTCAAGACAAAAATACTACTTTATTTTAGTTTTTTTAACAGTCACGGGTGGGACGTTATTGTTCGATGCTCACCCAGAAAAAAAGTAATTATTACATATTTCTACAGTATTCTACAGTTTCTACAGTTTTGGGATTAGGGTTTTTAAGTCTTACATTTTTATTTCCGTCCTTAGAATCTCTTTGTTAAAATATGGACTATTGAAGATGTTTAATATCACCAGTAATAAGATGCAATCAATATTTTAAATGTCACACACACTCATTAACCTGTAAGTCCTCGGCTTTGTATTTTCTCATTAATTCTCTCGAATGAATGACAAAATGTTCACTTAAACCTTTAAAATAACATTTTGAATATCATATTGTATAATCTCTTAATTATTGGTATTGGTAAGATATTGATCAAATTAGTACATCGCACAAACGTATTGATGTTGTGTATATTTCTTTGTCTTTTTTTTTGGCTACATTAAATCCATCATCTTTAGTAAAGAAACAAGACACACTGGCAGCACAAAGTAACGCATCTTGTTGATGCCTCACACACACACACACACACACACACACACACACACACACACACACACACACACACACACACAGAGAAGCTGCCACGTGTTGTGTCCACGCAGCAGCGCTGAGACTCACTGTTGGCGCACTGCTGCCTCCCTCCCCTCCAGTCGCAGCCGCTCTCCGGCCAGCAGCTCGCGCTGCGACCCTTCATGGGGCACTCGGCGCCGGGCTTGGAAAAGCCGCCCAGGGACGGGTTGTATTCTCGGTTATAGTACATGGACGTGCTGGTGACGGACGGGCTGAAGCCCCCCACGGCGGAGTACCCGGACAGCAGGGTGGTGGTGGTGGTGGTGCCCGTGGAGCCCATCCCCATCATGGAGCGACTCAGGATGTCGCTGATGCCGTGCGGCGTCCCCGCCTGCAGATGGCTGTTCAGGCCCGGGTTGAGCTTGTAGAAGGAGTTGGGCACTGAGTACTGGCACACCGGGGCCTTGAGCTCCGAGGGGAATTGGCTCAGGCTGTTGTTGAACAGAAAAGGCCCCTGGATGTTTGGATCCATGGGAAGCACCGTTACTCTGCCTCCAGGTCCCAGTAACACACCCAATAAGATCCAGGCAGGAAAAGGACCTCTGGATTGGCCACGAGGAGTTCTCTCACCCACGGCCGGACGCCTCGGACCTGGGATCACGCTCGCCGTCCCCAGATATTCAAATATTCAAAAACACTAACAGACATTTGACAAAGTCCCCGGTGTTTGCTCAAGTTGCTACCGCATGGGGGGGAGAAAAAGCAAATACACTCTTCACTCTGGCCCTTCGCCTCTTCTCAGCCACGGTGCGAGCTGCGATAATTCCATATCTGGCGCCTCAGTCGAGCCCGGCGGTCCCCCGATTTTTTAGCGTAAAGACACAAAGTGCCTCGTGCCGGCTCTCTCCTCAGAGGTGATAAATAAATAGTATCTGGATACGGAGTGGCACCTTGATAAAGATAGGCCCCATTAGAATGCAGCCTGCGATTGGCCCGGGCCTCACAGCTTTATGGCCTCTCTATTGGCTCCTCGCTGAGAACCAAGCCTTTTATTGGAAGGCAGCAGATTAATGGTGTTTTGAACAGGTGGAGTGGGAACAAGTTGATTTTTTGATGGCCTGCCATGTCGGACCAAGTGTGGCGGAGCAGCGGCAGCTGAGCCCGGAGTATACAGAGGAGGAGGAGGAGGAGGAGGAGGAGAGGGAGGAAGGGGAGGGGGAGCAGGAGAAGGGCAGCCCTTTTTTCATTTCAGCATGCAAAAACCCTGTATACTGCATTTTTCATCACGTTAGCATAACCCAAATGGAACGAAAAATACATATGCACCACATGCGTACCACTTCATGCAAGCTTATTATATTACAGCAAAGATCTCGTTGAAAGAGTTATTGAAGGTATTAAATCTAAATCTCAAACCAGCATTACCTTCTTCACTTTTCAACATTAACAAACTCTCTTTTTTTCAGTTTCAATAAACTGTGACAAATGACACACTAATGTTGCGATTCTTTGGCACATGTCATGTTCTTTATGGGCTTATTACGTCATAGAAAATGTATCTGACTTACTGTTATGCATTATGAATTGGGGTGGCTCTATATTGTTTAACTGGTCACAGTCACCTTTGACATATTTCAACTAATATTTCAGCAGGCTGATCGAGAATAGTATTTCCTTATGAGAGTAAATCATTATAAATATGATGACTTACTTTATAAATATAATGATTTACTTCAGGTCATCAGTTGCCTGTAAAAGCACTTTTCACATATTTCTGCAGTCACGTGCTCCATGACCCACGTAAGAAGAAGCCTGCACGTGACCTCACCGTCTAGATGCGCTCTGCAGCGTCTGTCCGCTGGCAGGATGTCTGGTGAGCGCGTGGGACGGTAGCTGGTAAGTTTCCACGAAATGAAATCCCTTCACGTTGTCCTCCACGCTAACCAACCAATGGTCGCGCGGTGCGACATGGCGCGTGCGCAGTGGAGGTCGACACGCTGCGCGCACACATGCTGCTTTGCATGATCTCACCGCTCTGCCCCCATAGAGTGTCCCTGACCCCCCCGAGACAGTCACTGGAAAGTTTGGGGATTGTTGTCAATGCTACTTTGAAAAAAAGAGGACTTTCCCAGTATTTTGTCTTCAATAAATCGACTTCGCATTATATTCCCTACGGCAGTGTCAAAGCTCCAGGGGGGATTCAAATATTGGATCCAAACTAATAATGTATTTGATATATTAACTCCATCCCGTTTTCGAGTAAGCACAAGTGCAGGACTCGCAGGCGAGAGCGAGGTAAACACGTTAAAGGGTAAAAGAGAGGAAGTGGCAGCAGATTATCTGCAAAAACAACAACAGCGCCTCCGGGCTCCGAACTAAGACACGGATTTGCAAGTCGCGCGTTTTTATTACACTAACTTCTGCTCTGCGGGGGGACAAACGCGCAAAGTTCAAGGCATCACTTTTTGATTGTATTTTATTACTGCTGCATTTCATGGCAGTCAAAATGAAACTTTTTTTTGTTTGTTTTATCTGCCGGTACATTTCCAAACGCTGATCCTCCCTCACTCCGCCTCCCTTTACTTTCGATTTGATGCTGGGGGGGGAGGGGGCAGGGAGGAGGGGGGGTGTTTTTTTGGTGGAGGCTTCCCTTCCCCGCAGGGATTATAAGAAACCAACACTGTCTCTGCATCGCAAACAAATGAAGATACCAACGAGAGCACGTCTTCTACCAAGAAACCAAGCAGAGTCTCCTCCTGAAGATGGTGAAAGAACGTGACAACCGGACCTCAGGTAACATATTTGCTTTTGCGCTTGACTTATTTTGCAATTCACTATCCATATTTACATGTCAATAAGATGCTCTTTCATAAACAGTTTGCCAAGTTGCATTTAATAAGTTTGAATTAATATTAAGTTGGTTTTATATTACTGTTAGTCTAATACTAACACTTAAAATAATGATATAGTGATTGATTTAAAACTGTTCATATTTGTGACACAACTTATGTTTTAAGTTCTTCTTTTATGTTTTTTATTTAAAAGTAATTCCTTTAGTGTAAGAATACTTCCCTAGTTATGTTTTTTTATGTATACATGCAACGTGAAAGCATCCCTATTTGTTTAAGAAGCTACTGAAAGTCTCTCTGCGTGACTAAGTGAGATCCGCAACCGGACATCCTTGATAAGAGCTGTAAAACCGATAATAAGCGAACAATAAGAGGCATCCGGGAGGAATGTTTGATATCCTGAGCTGTTACGTGAAGATAAAGAAGATGACTAGAAACAACCTGAATTATTGGAAACGCTCAGTTTGTCCTCACAGAATAAAAAGACTAACTTACAGTAGTGAGTTGTGTCTGTCAGTCAGATCCACTAGTGACCCTTGTATACAGAAGCTATGAGACATCAACTTGTTTTTAGTTTTTTAATTTCCGATTAAGAGAAAATAATGAGCATTTCTATCCGTGTTTTGGCTCTTCTGCAGTTGTTGGGTCAGAGAGGTCACACAGATGTGGCAGGTCCTGCCTCGGCCCTTTGACCTTCCACCCTCTGGCTGTCGGGGACAAGATCCGGCTGAGCCATGAAGGTCGGTTCGCACAGAGGACGGCGGACACGTTCAGGAACGGCCTGGTGTTCAGCGGCCGCCCGGTGAAGATCCAGGAGAGGATTCGCCTGAGGATTGAAAAAGATTTGCCCAACTGGGAAGGAGCCATGCGCCTGGGCTTCACCAATGTGCCGCCCTCGGACAGGTCTCTGCCTCTGCCCCCCCTGGCCATTCCCAACATCACCAATGTCCAAGGCAACTGGGCCGCTGCACTGCATCAATCCTACTGCCAAGAAGGTTCAGAGCTGGAGTTCTGGCTCACTAAAGGAGGCTGCGTGTTCATGAGAAGCATCAACTTCAAGCAGCATAAGCTACTGACAGGAGTGGATCTCAGCCGTCCGCTTTGGGCCATGATAGACATCTACGGACAGACATGCGCCATTTCCCTCCTGGGTATGTTTACTATACATAACAATGTTTTTCTAGTTATTTTGTCTTCCACATGCAGTGATAAGACCAAGGTTAACGCTGGTTATTAACAGATGAAATCATTGAATACTCTTTGCCATAGGATCAGAGAAAAAACAGTGTTTTTTCACACGGCGGTCGTGTCCTGCACCCGGATACCTCCCCTCACCGGAGGCAGACAGCCACAACAGTTTGATCCCTCTCTCATGTCTCCATGGAAACAGTGATGGATGGATCTCCCACCTGGACATAGAAGTTCCTGCAGGTAAAGAGTCTTTTCTTACCTGTGCAACCAAATGCTACAAGATTTCAGTGTTATTTACCTTCTTAACCCAACAGAACCCTAATGATTATCTCGTAACTGTAATTTTTTTCATGTGATTGCAGCTAAAGGCAGCGTAACGAGCTGTGTGGTGTGCATGGAAAAACAGCCCAAAATCACTCTGTCTTGCGGCCACCAGTGTCTATGTGATGAGTGCGCATTAAGAGTCTTCCATCAGTTCGGCACCTGCCCGCTGTGCCGACACGAGATCAGCGCTTCATTGGTGCAGCTCCTAGAGGCGGGAAACACCAAATACAAGCAACCAAGTGACCTTAAGGCAGAGAACAGACAGTGTTAGATCATTTGTTCTTGGATGGTGAGGAGATTACCTGAGCTCTCTGTGTGAAATAACTGCAGGTTTGTTCTGAATTCTAAATATGGATAATTGCAAGTATGTGACCTTTGTTGAAGACAGTCAATGACATTGGCATCTGGGATCATCACTAATTTTGTAAAAATAAAAATGTTATTTGTTTATATTTTCATATTGTTTGATTACCAAAATATGACTACATCAATTAAATGTATTATATCTCTCACATAATTTTGTTTTAAATTCTTATTGCCAAACTTGTTATGGTATTTATCTTAAAATGTGGAGGGTGCAGCGTCCTAAATGTTATCTCCTATCAGTTTATTGGAGACATATAACTGGAACTGTTTGTTTTAAAAGCGGGATTGTTAACAGATACTAAAATACTCAATCAAGATGTTAAGTTTCATTATTACTTGGTATAGCAATAAAATAATCAGGTAGTTCATAACAATTCATGCTCAGCGTCTTTGTGTACATTTCCAAACGCTGATTCCTCCCTCACTCCCCCTTCTTTCACTTTCAATATGATGCTGGGGGAAGTTTTTGTTTTGGAGGCTTTACTTCACCGCAGCGTTTTTCACTCCATCGCAATCAACTGGAGCCTCAACAAATACTGAAATACTCAGTCAAGAAATCGGCTTACTCCACACTAACAACTACACTGTTTATTAAGAATGATCATTATTTGCATAAAGGATGTGTGTGCATCAGGTGCAACAAGATCATCATGTGAAAGTGTATCAAGAGGTTTCGTTATTACTTGATATAGCAATAAAATAATAACTTGCTTAACAAAGCAAATGATTGACAGAGCTGGTTGAAATAAAAAGAATAATTGCAGCGTTTGTGGTTGAGGGTCAAATATGACTGATTTTTGCTTTGTCAGCTATAATGTTCTAGATTATTGTGATTAGTTTCACCAAACTCATTTTCAATGGCGGCTGGTGCAAAATGTTCTAGATAGGGCTATCCAATTAATTTCAGCATCCCAGAATGATCTAATGCAAAGCCGTAAATGTATCATAAACGCAATACTAATATGTAGTTTGATATGCAACATTTACGGCAATATTGTTATTTGTGTCACCCTCAGGCATTTCAGTTTAACATCTATATGATTTGTGGTCAGAGGGCTGAACTGATGTATTTATGATTATTTGAGAAGGAATTTTGCTCTCCTGCACACATCATACTTCACCAATATTACTGGGTACATTCCATACCTCAAGAACACAAATATTGACGTTTTTCATCAATTTCATATGATCTTTTGATTTATTTTTTGGGCTCAAGGAGGGGTGCTCCAGGTGACGCCCCATTGCCCCTTATTGGCCAGCCGCCACTTCTTCTTTCTCACCTGCTGTCACCTGCTGTCACCCCCTCAATCAGGCTGCCCCCCCTTCACAGCCTTTCTCCTTTGTACTTCCTGCTACCTCCCAAAGTGGAGTCTATCTTCGGGTGCCTCGTCTGCTAACCGACAAATGGTGCAAAAATGTGCACCATCTGCACTAATTATGTCTCTGTCACCTTTTAATATGTTAACTATCGAAACTTGACAAAAGATCAACCAAGAAGACGGTAGTCCTCATTTATTTTCGAGCCAAATCAGCTAATTGGTGGAGTGCACTCTTCAGTTACACCTGATTTTCGCCACAATATAATGTCCTGTTTTGCAAAATTGAAGAGGAGGTTACACAATAGTGATAAACTAATGCCTGGGTCAAAGGACGCACTGTCTGCTGTCATAGATAAAATCATTGTTTTGCACCCCATTCACATAATAATAATAATAATAATAACATTTATGGGCCGTTTTTGTGTTGGAGCCGTATTGCAGGTACTGATGCTTTTGTTTATGTTGAGGGAAACACCGGGTGATTTGGGACATGCGCTTCCTACCTTTGAGCACAGAGTGGCACATTATCAGTAAAATGCATACAAGTAAGTTCCTGCTGATGAAAACAGGAGTGGATTGGAAGCGGTTTTGCACCGTGTCGCGGGTTTTTAACGCGTCGTGTCAATGAGGTGGCGTCTTATGCGGTGAGGTGCCTCTAACCAACAAATGTAAGGTAAACTAAACTCACATTGGTAATTGTATGCGGAGCACGGATTAAAATGACTAATAGGCACACAGCGCACTGGAACGTGCTCTAGTGGTTTCAGCATATAACTTTGCATTGAGAATGTGTTGGAAATGGGTGGTGTTTTCTTTGACTTTTGCGACATCTGGCTGTAGTCATGGTAAAACATAAACTCTGCACACTTCTTTTAATGCCCACCAAGAGGCAATGCTGCGCCACTTATTATGGGAATGTCCACTGCAGTTTTGGCAAAGTGCATCTTGTTCACAGATGTTTGGAAACAGGGTATGGATTGAAGGGAAGGATCCATTTACTAACATAACAGAACTTAAATACATTATTAGAACAGTGATGGAATAAAATGTGCAAAAGTATTTTATTTCCACATCTACTTATACTTTCTCATCTGCACTGTAATTCTGCTGAAAATGACACGTGGATGTGGAGTGTGACTGGTCATCTCCTGAGTCCCTTTGACCTTTGCTTGCTGATCTTGCAGCCAACCTGTTAAATATTTATCTTGGATGATTTCCGCTTCTGGATTCAGAGTGCCGGAATCCAGCCGGCGTCTGCTGGCCAATATCAAAGCACAAGGAAATGTGGGAGTGGCGACCCAATGATAAGCCTCCCAGGAGCTCAACCTAAGCGTTACACTGTTACAGATAATATAACCCAACTTCTGATGACACTGGACTTTAAAAGGAAAGCAGTAGCACTACTTCTCTTGGCTTTGCTGCAGGGGTTTCATCATACTTGGTGAGTTTTCCTGGTGCTGGAACAGAACACGGAAACACTGAGACGTTTCTGAAGCCCTCAATTGTGTGTGCCCGTGTGTGTGTAGAAATCTCCATTCAAATACTCTTCTCTTTGAATGTAAAGATGGATGTTGCAGAGTGTCAGGTGAGCAATAGAGCCACCTGGATCTCATAGAAAGCCCCTAAAACTGACTTCTTTGTCTGATGTGAGTAATACAACGCTCTAATACAGTGACTAGGCCACGCTATTATGACACGTGTGTCAATCAGGCCTGTTTACCGAGAGGGCCTGTATGGGAATGGCCTCCGTTTCCCCTGCATGTTGAACACTGGAGGGTGGTGCCACTACGCTTGTGCCTGCATGGGAATCTCTATTATTTCCAGCTGCGGATGGAAACTATTACTGAGTGCCTTCTCCCTGATGAGCTTTAAAATGCATGCTCACACACAGACACACACACACACACACACACACACACACACACACACACACACACACACACACATGCACACGCCTACGTACGCTCAGTCAAACATTCAGACCCACGCTGAATCATTCACCAAAGATAAAAGACACCCTGTTGGCCTGAGAAAGAGAGGAGAAAAAAGGGAGGGAGAGTGTAGAGCAGCAGCGATCCCTTCCTTCTCTCTCATTCACTTCCTCTCCCGCTCTGCACTGAGGAGACCTCACTGCTCCGCCTGCACTCGCCTGTAAGTACTGTTCAACTTGTGCTGCACCTTCTCAAGGGTTTTGTCATTCACAGTTCCAGAGACAGGGAGCGTTTTTCCAGCCTCAGTCGTGTGATTGATTTGCTCGTTTAGATGTGGTAGTTGACATTTTTTCTTTCTGAAAGGAAGCTGAATTGAGCGTCATGTGTTTTTCCGTCATCACTCAGTCCGTCAGTGGGAACCACGGAGATAAACGAGATAGGCCTGTTTATTATCTTTACTCATTGTTGTGACAGTTTTTCTCAGAGTTGCTGAGGACAGAAAAAGGGCGGCGGGTATGTGGAGGACTCAGCAGGCCGCAGGAGATGCCAATATCTGTGGTTTAAAAGTTCATCAGACCTCTGTCCAAAATCTGCCTCCTGCTGGTGCTTTAGTTGTTTTTTAGTTGGGAAACATTTTAGCGTGTGAATATTTACCCATCAGAAATGTATTAAATTTGAGGCTACGTCGCTGATGGTTTTTGTCCTCGTCTGCCAGCAGTGTGACCCAGAGCCCAGGGACACGCACGGCTCTAAAGAATGTTGTTTACCGCTCAAATAAAACACGTGTTTGTTCTTGGAGACATTCAGCAAGTACCTCAGAGCCCAACCTTTGCTACCAAGGACAGGGAATGACGACAGACCTCCTTATCTGTCCTGCATTGTTATGTTGATGCTCGTACAGATTCGTTAGATAGATACTGATTTATTTACCGTAAAGCGTGGTAGTTTTCACTGGAATCTTTGACTGTCATCTTCTGTAGTAACATACTGTCACTCACACCTGTGTGAAAAGACCACGGCTGGCCTTTACAGCATGGTAACGGTCCATTGGAAGCCAGGCATCTCCAATAGACTTGTGTAAAACATCATGCCTCTCCCCTCCTGTTCGGACATTGTATCTATTATTAAATAAGGGGAGCCGGCATCAGGGAAGCCCTGTCCTGTTTAGGGACGTAGAGACGGAGTGAACAAGGAACCAGTGTGTGGAGAGGGGTCGGGTCCTGGGCCAAACCTGCAATCGCCTCTCGCATGATTACCTCATTTAACCGCAGAGAGCGACAGGGCGTCGGACGTGATCACTGCTGGGTTGAGAATCTGCACAGATTATTAGTCGGAGCCTCCACCTGAGGTCTGCAGCCGCTGGGCAAAAACAACCCTCTTCGAATAGCTCAGGCTCTGTAAATGGATACCTGCCACAGCGAGAACACTGAATTATTAAGAAAGAACTGAGTTCTTTATTTTGGAGTTGGAACTGGCCCACACTAAAAGAGAGAGAGACCTATTCCGTGTCCTGTTTACTTTATTGCTGTAGCCCAAAGTGCAAATGAGCAGGAACGCTGATTATGTTTGTTAGCACGTGACTGGATCCCTCACCTTGGAACTCCTTCTACCTGCTGCAGACTCAGCGCCAAAGAATGCCTGTCAGCACGTTAGATTTCCAGTTTTGCACTGTTAGTGTTCATTGGCGAAGACTGCAGGCAAACTGGAATTCCAGGTCTTATTTGGGCAATTATTGTGTGCAAGAGTACGATCTTTAGTAAGGTTTGAATAACATGACTGACTTTTCTTGGCAGATACTGCGTTACCTAATTTGAACACTTTTTATTCTCTCGTGTTTTTTTCCTTCAATCTTGAGATCCAACTCCATATGCTGATTCGTCTGTTTGTGAGTGTGTGTGTGTGTGTGTGTGTGAGAGAGAAAGAGAGGTATTGGGAGGAAAACCACAGGATTGTGCTGCCAGTAGTGGACTGTATGTTGTGCAGATACACAGCCTCTGCAGAAAGAGCTCCTATTCTTCCTTCACAAGAGAGATCTTTCTCTCGCCATCAAACACATAAACACACACCGAGAAGGAGAGGGAGCAATGGGAGAGACGGTCAGGAAGGGGGTGTCCCTGGTCAGTGTCTGGGCGGCGAAGGTGATGAGCCGTTTGCATTCCCCTTCGGTTAACCCTGCGCTGTGAAATATCACCTCATCCCAACAATAGGGCTGCCCCCCCCCCCCCCAAACTGACAAGCCAAGAGCACAGGGTGGCTTTTGAACAGGGACCAAAGTCGGTTGCTATGGCGATGCCTGCCAACCGGGAAGTTCTTCGTGGAGGCAGGCAGGGCGAAGGGCTGAGATAGATAGAGAGAGAGAGAGAGAGAGAGATTGTGTGTCCTGGTTAGTCTCATTAGTGAGAGAGAGAACCAGCAGGGAGGGTCCACAGCCACGTTTGCTGCAAGAGGCGTTGGTTCACTTGTCGGTGCCACCAACTTTTAAGGTGAGTACCTTTTTTTTTAAAGAAAGCACATATTGGAGTCACATGGCGTCATCTCAAACATTGAGACTGTACAAACGTGTGTCTTTTGCGGGTTGAGTAACCTGTCTGACTGCTCAAGGCGGCTCTACGGGATTAGTGCCGCAGATCTGCACCTGAAAACAAGTTGTGTGGTTCTGATGTTGAAACCTGTGGGAGTTAACTTGACTGGGCTTTCTGGCCATTAAAGGCAAAAGCAGCTGTGAGATACAGCTGGAGCGCAGGGAGAGACACATGTTACCCCCGGTTGGTTTGCAGGCAGAGCTCCAGAGAGTCGAAGGAAATCATCTCCCATCCTGCTGCAGATATCGAGTCCAGGGGCCTGAAAACAAGACCATGCAGTCAACCCTGGTGGCTCCTCTTCCTGTCAGGTTGATTTGCACAGCCGGCTCTGATTCCCTTTGTGATATCACTGAGGGTCCAGCTGCCGGTCCTTATAGGCTGCATTCAGCTTTGGAGATGCAAAATGACAGGCATGAGGATTTGGGAATATTTTTCTGTATGCTTTTGTCTGACACGTGGTTTAACTCGTGCAAAATCCAACCAAATAAGGAGTCATCTTGAATGATACAAAGTGTGTTTGTTGTTAGGACATATCTGATAAACTTCACCTCAACGTTTGACGCTTCTGGGGAAAGAGAGAGAGAGGGGTTTTGTTTATGGCCACGATGCTGCTCCTGGAAACACATTGCCTCTCCATTGACAAGAAGCACGCAGCTGGAGGAGCACCATACAAGGATGCGAAACACTTCCCTACTGATAAATGTCTGCATCCCCCAATAACTGCATATCATAAACTGGCGGCTCCAGGACCTTGTATGGGCCGCACGTTTGCAACGTGGAAGGGCTGCATGGTTGCGATGATGAACCTCAAAGGACCTCTAACATTTCTCCAACATAACTGCAGAGTGACTCATTTCATTTGTTTAGAAGAAAATGCCCACTTTATTTATCTTGAAAATGTGCTTGTGATTACCGTCTAACCTCTTTTTAAGGCAAGATTTCTTCTGGTTCTACAACCCCGTTATGCAACCTGTTCCGCTTCGGTGATGTAGTTTGTACGTGCAAACCGGCGATAAGACTTCCACGTTTGTTGTTGTTCTCAGCTCAGGAAATATCAAAGAAATAATAGTGGATGATTGTACAGCAGATGTGCGTTTTAAGGCCAAATGTAATGCGGGTCAGTGCTCACCGCAAACAAAACGACCACCGTAAACAATATTGAGCTGGCATTTGGGCCGTTGTCTTGCGTCTCTGGGAGCAGGACTTATAGATCCGCTCATGTGCAGCAGTTCCCACCTTATGGAGTCAATGATTAACTCTGCATTTCTCCTCACTGCCCTGCACACAGAAGCTCAGTAGAACCCTAGCGCCTCTGAATAGACATTGTTTAAGCGGTGACAGTTTTATTTGTTTTATTCAAGTCCCAGGACTTTCAGTCATTGCCCCAGCTCATTACTGACACATTCAGTGATTTATGGAGAACACGAATTGTCCTCTGACCATAAGTCACCACTCATTCAATGGTGTGCCAAGAGATGGCTGAAGTTCACAGGTCAACATTGTGACAGTTATTCATTGGTCCCCTTGACAGCCTTTTGCTGCGTGAGAACAATGCAAGGAGCTCCGTATGTTGAGGAGTAGGAGGAGGAGGTAGTCGTAGGTCAGTGTCTTCTTAAAATCCCTCTATGGAAGAAAAACAACATTAGAAGACATACTTTTGATGACTAATGATTGTTGAGGAATACTGACCTGACAGCAGGTCCACTCCTCATCTGCTGCTGTGATACTAAAGGAGAACTGTTGATTGAATGCGTATTTTTTACACGTTTTTTAAAACATACCGGTTCCTTTTTGGCAATTATGTTAACAATTGCTGGGGTGTTGCTACTACCGGCTGTGGAAACACCCCATTGTGATTCACAGGAGGAATCAGGGGTGTGGTAAAGTTCACTGACCTCGTAGCTGCTGTGTTGGTCTGATCTGGCTAAGCAACTTCTCATAACAGTCTGGTTCCTCTTCCGCTCCTTTGGGGTAAAAACAAAAGAGTAAAAAAGTTAGTCACTAATACAACGTTAAATAAGGAATATTAATATATATATTGCAACACAAATGTCTGATTTGATTATGTTGTGAAGCTGATGGACTTCTGTTTTGTGGATCAGTTTGCAGAGTTTAACATCTGGCACCGTGTGTCTTCAAGACCGGATGAGTTTCCTGGGGAACAGAAACAGATATTTTGATACTAAAATCCCCTGACATTTTTGGATGCCCTCAGCTGCCACGTAACAGATTAAATGTAAAGCAGGTTCCAACAATAGATGTTAATACTGAAAAAAGAAAGACAAGACATCATCTCATTGTCAGCTGAGAAGCACTTAAACTTTTTACGGCTTTATTTTTCCTTCCATTCCAACACTGATCCTGTGGTGATAATGGACCTCTCACTTAGCAGGGGTTCTACTAATTCCTGGGACATGATGTTCACACATCTCAGATGGCATAAACACAGTTTTAAACCCCCTGTTTAAAAAAAAAAATACTTTTCTGTGAAAGTTTATAGCGCTGTTGAGTCTCAGTAATGATGTAAGAATGAACTCAGAAGCCAGACAAAAAAAAAAAAGAGATTTGCAAGATAATCAACACAGATTTTCCCTTTTTAGGTAGGATTGTATTTGAGGCTCTGGATGGGAGGACGCTTGCACTGTCGGAGGAATTCCCTCTTTGATTCAGCTTCCCAAAGAAATGAGAAAGCAGAGACTGTTATGACATGCGCTTACACATCAGGATGTGACGTGGATACAGCTGGGCTTCTCCGCCCGTTGGGTGGAGTGAGCCTTTAGTCATTTCTAAATGTGGTCCATAATACTAATAGCATTTGGGAAAATGAACGTTTTTAAGAGAAAAACAAAAGAGCTATTAAGTAACATTATGGGAAATGTAGAATTTTTATTCTTAACCTTTCTCTTGAAGGATGAATCCCCAGTTATTACAGTGCACTCAATACTATGACGAGCTACTCTGCTCTTTCTGTATTAAAGAGGCCTTTGTGGAAGCAGTACTCATTAAAAATGCCAATTAACTCCTCATATACTGTAGTTTTTCAGTGTGGTGGGGCTTTTAAAGGCATGGTAGCCTGGCGCGGAGAGATCTGGGGAAATAAGACCCAGCATGTCAAACACATTGTAAAACAGATTACTTAAGCCCTTACTTGTAAATGTAGCTTGTTTGAAGTGTCTCCTGTTGTTGGAAGGATAATTGTGTGGCTGATGTTGCTTTGGGCCATAATAAATCATCCGTCATGCCGAAGCAGCAATGGTACTGATGTAGACACAATCCTCCGGTTGCCATTTTCTTCCCGTTATGTGAGGCAGTTTATTGGGAGGTGATGACTCAGATAGTGACATCGTGGTCTGGAAACAGGAGCATTGACTCTATCAGTGTGTGCGCTTTGTGCTATGTCCTAATTCTGTGCGCAGTTTTTTTTTTTTCAGTTTTCTTGGAATTAACCACAAGCGTTTTAGGCTCTGATGCTCAACTGCAAATGGCGCATGGAAAAGTAATTTGTGCAAACTGTGTCTGTAGCTCTCAGCCTGGAGCAGCGCACAGCCGCTCACTACCTTCCTGTCAAACTACACAGATATAGTTTGCATCAGAACAGGGGAAAAAAGGCCTTATGTCAATCACATCGTTTGTTTACAATTGGTGTTGTTTCCCCTCCCCAAGATAAGTTTTGACCGCGGTCCAAGACCACCGAGACTAGGATCACCAGACAACCTTGTTTCTGAAGAAGCCGGGGTCACACGAATGCCGGCCTGTACACGGCTGGGGTTTCTATGCCAGCAATGTTGTTATTGGCCATTTATCCACTGTAGATGAGGGGGCCCTGCCGCTTACGGGAGCGGAAATGGTCTTTCTCTAATGTTCCCCAGGCCTTTGATGTAGAGCAGCAGGCCCTAATCTGTTTTTCTGAGGTGCAATTGATTAGGAGCTGGTCTCCACTTTCACTGGCCGACCTCCTCCGTCGCCCAGCCCCTTGTTGGATGACTGGGAAAAGGGAAGCAATGAAAAATATAACGGTGCTCTTAACCCTATAATTAATCTCATTCCGCTTCTTCGGTATTTCACAAGAAGGATTTCTGTATTTGTGTTCCACTTACTGGTGTTAAGCTCTTTTCTAATAAATGTGACACATTTGAGTGTGACGTTGTAGATTTCGGAAGACTCGCGTCAACATTTGCTTAAAGCAGGGAGATTGTGACATAAACTGAATCTCATTATTTTGTTCTTCAATCTTTCAACACTATTGTTTTTTGCACACTTCTGTAATACAACAACAAAATAACATTTAAAATTCTTCCTCAAAATATGGCACCAATGAACTGGCAATGATAAAGCTTAAAGATAAAGTTACACACAACTACACATTTGAAGTAAGGACGAGAGAAAACAGCCACAGAACACTTCAATCTTTTGGATTTGACATCTGAAGCCGCTGGTCAGTTTCCATTTCCTTATCAAGGGTCTGAACCCCTCTGGAAAATATAAGGGTGCGATCGTGTAACCATTTGCTTTCTGAATGTCTTTGCAGGTACTTTTGATGCTGGACACAAGAATTTCTCATCCGTCACAAAAGGACAATAACAGATCACATGCAGTCGCAGGTAAAACCCTTTTTATTCAATCATGCACATTTTTGACGTCTTTTTTTAAGTAAGCACATTAAACCCACGGAATCAAGGAGTCGGACTGCAGTTCTACTGTTAAGGCACAAGGCACATGAGCTTTCCCACGACCCTCGGCACCAGCGCGGGGGGGACCAAAGCACATGATTCAAATACGTAGCGTTCCAATGGACGGCCCGGACTTGCCATCGTGGATGAGGGAAGTAAAACCATCGCTATGGAGACAAGAGCTTTCCCCGCTGGACTTTGAAGTTGACATGAACGGCCCCTTCCCAACCTCCGTGGCCTGGGCTCCACCCCTTGGCTGGAGATTAGGGAGGCCTGGTGAATAGGGAGTTAATGGGCTCATAATGGTCCTCTCCTGTTTCTGCGGCCCCGGCTCTGCACCTCGAATGAGGCCTTTCTGCCATTGTGGCAGGAGAGATGATGAAGTGGGTGGAACACAACTTCCCACTTGTGCTGCTTTAAATAAATTAGGAGCCTTTTCATCACAGGCTCCCCCACTGAGGCCAGTTGCCCTCTGGAGAATAGCCGGGCCACTAATAAGAACACATGACCTCCCATAGAGTGCAGTGTTCACCCTGGGCCGTCGGGGCAGGACACGACAGCAGAAAAGTTCCCGTGTTGTTTCTGTTCATACACATCTCTCATTTCCTTTCCGTTTAGCGATGTGTGGAAGCGGCTGGCGATCCGAATGGCTCCTCCGCGGAGCCCGGAGATTCATCAGGCCAACAATTCCTGACTTCCCCGGAGCTGGCCCATGAGGTGGTCATCTCCCCCGGACTCCCTACGCCTCCTCTGAGCCCTTTTCGTTCTGCAGGATTGCCATTTGGGGAGTGCAAGGTGTGCACAGAAAATTTCCTGTGTTAATAACAATGTAGAAAAGTCGAGTGCATGGAATTTAATAAACAAGAGCTCCTCCGTGTGGAAGAACGGTGTATCACAGACTGCGTGCTGAGCCATGTTCTGACAACTAGTGGTTGTATTACTAATATACTGCTCTAATTCTTTATAAAGGTGTCGGACGTGAATGGAAGTGGAACAACAACTCTCAGCTTTGGATCTTACTATGGCCCTTCACAGTTGTATGGTGTGGTTATTATTATCATTTTTAAATCTTTGCATAAAATAAGTGTTTTTCTTAACATCTCGCTTTTTCAAGAAAGAAACATATCCAGAAAGAAGTTGAACTGGCTGTTAAGCCCTAAATCAAAACAAGAGTTGTTGACTTAAGTGTAACCCCTGGGAAGTAGCCAAGATAATGTTTGAAGAGCAAACACTGATTTTCTTTTGTAGAGTAAAATGATAAAAGCAGTGAAAGTTGAGTGCATTTGAAAAGACAGCGAACGTGTAAAGTGACACACGTCGCTTTGTAATAATCCAGTGATGTGGTAGTTTAAAAGCAGATCAATGGATGTGCACTAGCTGAATCAGTAAATAATGTGACTTAATGAAATCTTATTGTGGTTGTAACCCAGGTGGACTGTCCAACGGTGTCCAGGGTTCTGCCACTGTACCACACAGCTGGACCAGGGAGGAGAGGCTCATCAAGTTCTCAGGAATCGGTCCAGTGGATGAAACTGGGATGCCCATTGCCTCCAGATCAGTAAGACAAAGACACACAATAAATAATTAATAAATTAGATTTAGTCCTGTCCGAATGCGTTGGCGCCGTAACTTTTTATTCACCAGAATTTTTTTACCCTCTACACCTCTCCCTCTTTTTTTTTTTTATAACAGAGTGTGAACAAGCCCAAAGACTGGTACAAGAGCATGTTCAGACAGATTCACAAGAAGCCAGAGGGTAAGGATGCTCCTCCTCCTCCTCCTGCTCCTCTTCCTCTTCTCATAAACACAAAACCAGAGTGAATTCCTCTCAGGCAGTGTCAGGTACCACAGAGGGGATCCAGCGAAACGATTATCGCAAAGGCAAAATAAGACATGATGAAAGAGCCCTAAAGTCTTATGTCATCTCAGCTCATCAGCTCGGGCAATAATCCAGCTTCTCATCGCAGCCCCTCCTAAAGTCTAGCTGTTCATTTCTCACGCGTGGCGTAATAGAAGCGCACTCCGTGCTATCCGTGTGCTTAAGGTCAACATCGCTGCACTGAGGTGGATTTAGTGGATCGGTCTGGATCAGTTTTATTTTAGGGGAATATTTTCAACTTCCTGCAAGTGATTTGTGTTGTTAAACAACGATTCCAAAGCGCCGAGGAGGGCTGCTGCAATGGAATGTGTTGGCATACAACTCACTGAGGCCCAGCTTTGGTGGAGCAAAGACAGGATTTCGTGCTTTTATCTTAATATCAGTGTTATTAACAATAATAATAGTGGCAGTTATAATGACGAGAATGATGATACATTTTATTTCTGGGCAAACTTTCATGCCACATCATGTAAAATCTGCAAAACTAAATGCAGTAAACAGCAGGCACAAAGAATAATAAAGGAATTAAGTTACCAATTACAGACACAACGGGCAACATGAAAGAGCTCAATACGATGAAGGTGTCAACGTGATGTGTTTCAAGAGCAGTTTTGAATTCTGAAATGAAATTGAAGTCCAGTATGAGGATGTGAGCGGAAGTGTGTTTTGACGTTTAATTAAATAGTCAATTAGTACTTTTCCACTGTAAAATATTTCCTTCTACATAAGTAAAGGATCTAAACTACTAATAAGAGGGTTTTATATATTGTAAATAAGCATAATAGTATTAAAAATAGATAATAATAACAATACACAATGAACTAGTTTTATCATACGTTGTCAGTCCAATCAAATGTCTTTGCTGTTGTTCACCAGAACCTGATCCGATGGATTCGGAGCGATGGTCAGACGAACGTAAGTGAATCCACCAAAGTCCACATTGTTCTCCTGTCCAGTCACATAACCCGCTTTTACTGAAGACGGATCTGTACCGATGTGCAGGTTTCCAGTTATCTACCAACACAGAAGAAAGTAACAAAGCAGACGACAAGCTCTTCAGACTGACGCCTCATGGAGCCCTTCCAGACTGGTGGGTTCACGCAGGGTTTTGATGTAGATGCTTCGGGGGCCACGGGACACGGGATGGCACGGAGACGGGGGTCAGACCTAAAGGAATAGCACGACGCTTCAGGAAACACACTCACTCGCTATCTTACAGAGAGACGGACGAGAACGCTGTGAACACTCTTCACTCTGTCCTCTGAACAGCAGTTGTGGCCGGCAGCCAGTTAGCGTGTCTCAAGTCCACGTGTACATTCACCTCCTGACATACAGCGTTTTAAATGTTGAGCAGCATAGAAGATTTGAGAGTGTTTGAAAGTATTTTTGAGTACTAGTAATTCATTCTAATGTGAATACCAACCAAAAGGGTCCAAGAGGAGTGGAGGGAAAAACGTGTGGGGCGGACAAGTTTGGATTTGTTGTTACAGGCACTTACAATGAACCATGGTTGAGCTGCTGTCCGTGGTGTGTGTGTGTGTGTCGGGGTGTTATGTTTCAGGAGCGAGGATGTAGATAAGCTGTCGGACCCGGGAAGGCAGCATCCCGAACCGAGGAGCGTATTTGACTTTGAGCCTGGCAAGAGCAGCGGCTCACAGCTCCACAGCCAGGTGAGCGGCCATGAACATGTCTGCATGTCTGCCTTGTTATTCGACCTCTTGATTCATCCAGCGTTGATGTTGTCTCCAATCACTGGAATTATTTGTGTGAACTTGCACTGTTTTCTTAGTGTGGAGGATCAGGAATACGTTTGAGTGGGTGGGGGGATGGGAGGGTGGGGGGGATTATAGCCTAATCCTCACATTTCATCTTCTTACGTGAGGCAATTTGTGAGTTGGGTCTTTTCACAGTTTACCTGCAGCAGATTTGCTCACTTTCACGTTCATTCATTTATCATTTCAGACAAAAAAAAACACAATCGATGCAGAAGTTTCTACCAGGGATTGTTCTGAAAGTCTGTGATTTACCAGCTGCTGACATTCTGACTCATACAGTATTTATTTTACCTCCGGGAGACGTTATTTATTACAAACACTGCATCGTCCCGCTGCTTTAGTGAGTCTGCAGTCCGATTGTATGTGTCACTGTGCTTGAGTTACACAGCTGTGTCTTGAGTTTTTCCTTTTTTTTATTGGCTCCTTCAACAATGTCCCTGATCTGTTGCATATTGTGCCTTGTGTCTGCGCTTGTAATGAAAAGGATTCTTTGTTTGCACCCTCCTATTGGTGGTGCCTTGTGATCCGAATTATGGCGTTAACCTCTTCTGGTGTTTAATGGCTCACAGCATGGAGGCTTTATTTCAGCTCCTCTTCAAGACGTTCGATCCCCTGGACGGCATTTAGAGAACTGCTCGCGATTAAAGTCTGCGATTGAAGTGAGGATGTTGCCCAGCTGAGAGGAACATTCAGCCAAAGATTTTGCAAAAAATAAAGCATTTGGAGAGGAGGGTCCGTAGTGTTGGATGGAATCAGCTGCTTTTTTGACTTCCAGCAGTCTTTGGAGTTTTGAATTATGGTCAAATCCGGTTTGAATCCCTTAACACAATCTGAAAAATAGAAGGGAAACGTGGCCGCATGGCTGGATTAAACTTCTATAGTGAAACTACTGTTCAATGTTGTCACCTTTTCTCTCCTCAGGTTTACGTCTCTCAGAAGAAACAACCCGAAACTCAAAAGTCCCCATCAATCGAGGTGAGCTCCTTTGACAGAATTTCCATTTCTGAAAGAGGTTTCCTCTTAGAATGCATTAATGAGGGACGTCCAACGTCGCTTCAGTGCTGCAGTAGTGCTTTAACTGTGCCATTCCAACTGGTCTCAGGCCAGTCTGGTCTCTGAGCTGAGTCGGTTTGAGGCTGAGCTGGACTCGGACATCCAGGGCCTGGAGAGGAGACTTTCCCAGAAGAAGCAGCATCGAGGCCGGGGTGAGGTACTGAGCCCCCCCGCCCGTCTCTCTCTGCTAGAACCCCCCCCACCCGAACCTCACAGAATCCTCACCCGCCCTCACCTTTACTCTCCCACTCTCAAAGACGGCTGTCTCAGAGAGACCCTCGCTTCATGCTACCACCGCCTTGGAATCGCCTGCCTGCCTTGCTCTTGGATTGATCTTCTTTTGTTAATTGCCTGCCTGCAAATTGACCCCACCCCCCCCACCCCCTTCCGTCCCACACCCAAATACAAATTTGGTTGCCAGAAAAAAGAACTTCCTATAAACGTCCTTTCAAATAAACTGTTTGATCAGGTTTTTAAGACTGCTGGTTTGATTCTCAAGCATTCTTCTGTGATTCAGTCTGCTTCATAGTTTGTGATTCGCCTGAAACGGCAGGCAGCTCACACAGATCATGAAGGTGTTGTTCTCAGCAGAGGAGGGTAGGACCCAGGGGATTTCCTGCTCCTTTGGGAGTGGTCAGCACCTCCACTCTGACTTGTTGTGAGATTTCCTTCCGAGCTGTGAGATAGAGAAGGCTGCAGGAAGCAAAGTGTGTTGAATGTTCGCTCTGCTTTCAGGAGGCCGGACGCGGGGATCCTGCGACTGTTTCAAAGACTGGGACTACATACCACAGGTCAGTTACTCAAGAAAGCCTTGTGGATTACAGATCATTTAAAACCTTGTTATCATATCACATTCCTTTTGTTTCACAGTAGAAACCACTAAAAGTGTTATTCTACATCGCAGCTTGTGCCATTGTTCTATTACATGACAATGGTGTCTTTTAGTAAATGTATCGTATGTATAAGTATTTGTTCACAAACAAACATTGTTCACTGAGATCTTCTTTGTTTTAGTTAAACTAAATGTAAACGATCTAGTGGTGCTACTTTGAATGTGATGCTTTTTACAATAGAAGCACATGCTGGATCGGCTAATGGAAATGCCCGGGACAATCCCCACATAACAGACCCCCTCTGAGCCCAAAGCCAAGCCTCTTAATCCACTTTGACATTGCTTCGTCAAGTGGGAGTAACCGGCCATCGCTTCCTGCTGTTTTAAGAAATCCTGCACAGTGATTGGACAGCACGGCCATTAATACTTTGCAGAGTATCTGTTTAGCTATTTGGTCATGTGACTCTCTTTGCTGGACTCTGTTAGGGAGCTGTTGAAGTTTAACAAGTGTAGGTGAAGTATTTGTTGCCCCAAACCTCAGGCAGCATTCCTCGTTGCTCACCACGTGTGTAATGCTCTCCTGCAGGATTCTCTCTGTTGTTTGCTGAGTTGAGGTCATGGTTTTGACCTTTTTCCGGCGTGGTGGGATCAGGGGGGGGCGGGAGGCTTTTTTTTCTTAAGAACCTGCTGCTAAGGAGATATGACAATAAACCAAACAGCAAGAAGTTGACAGGTTTTATCTTTGGTGCTTGAATATGCAAATTCCAAGTTCAAGTTCAGAAGTTCAGGGTTTTGGATTAATTCTTAACCCAGAAAAAAACTGGACTCAACTAGACTGAGGTTTGGAGTTTTCAATCCAAGAGCGACAACACGAGACGTCATCTGCATGACAGATTCTATCGGTCTCATCTCGGTCCAGTGTGGAAGACACACACATAGCCACACCTACACACAGACACACACACAGTGTCCTCCAGCTCAATTGAGTATTTCAGTTTGTGTGTGAACCTTGTCGTCATTAGAAACTCTCCCCACAGTGACAGTATTATAAACATTAAAGCCTTTTTTCTTGTTTCTTTTTCAGTAATTCCTCAGCAACAAGGCAGCCGGTGCTTCACTCTGTTGGTGCTTCACTGACCTCTGCTCCCACACATGGTAAACATGGAGTTCTTTGACACCGTGATCATCACCATGTCTCTGCTGTGGAACCCCGACATACAGATTGTAAAAAGTGTATTGTTTTTATTGTCTTTCGCTCTGTATTGTTCATAAGTTCTGCTCTTTCTAGAACGTGGGAGACACTTATTTAATCCAGCAGCATATATTTGACGTCGTCTTTCAGTAATCTAGTTGAAGGTCCCATGATTCTCTTTCATCGCCCGTGTTGCTTTCTGCTCCAGTATTTCACATTTGAAATGAAGCTGGTGTGCACAGGGAACGCTTCTGTGTTTTTTATCCTACAGAACTAGAAGGTGGTGTAGCTGGGTGGAGAGGAAGTTCACAAAAATAGGAAGTGGAACTTGGCAGACCTGATTAAAGATTACGTTTTATCCTATTGTTTTTCCTGGAAATTAGTCCTGAATGGAGCCAGCCTAAATAATTTCCAAGATCCGTTTTGAATTTACGAAGCTGTTAAGGCGGTTACTGCTTTTTCATTGCAACACATCCAAAAACAACATTTTCTGGACAAACAGAGAAAATGTTTTAGACTGCGCTCATTCCGCTTTAACTTTACTTCCACAGTAGAACGTCTTTCTCCTTCTAATGACACCATGGAGCTCCCGCCTAAGAAAGAAGAGAAAAGGGTTTGTTTCTACCATTGTTAGATTCAAGTTTTTAAATGGCATATTGGTTCATTGTTGTTCATGTAACCGTACATATCTCACCCGTAACGCTGTGTGATCGCTATATGTTTGTTTTTCCAGATGAAGGCAGCACGAGCCAAGTTCAATTTCCAGGCTCAGTCCCCCAAGTGAGTTGCAGTGTGAGCTGAAACGATAGATCGGCCCGTCGCGTTCCTGTTGTAGCACTATGAGATTTAAAGCTGTCAAAGCTGGAGACTGAATTCTCTCCATAACGCACATTTGAAGCAGTCGATTCATTCATTCATTTGAACTGTTTGACTCATCATTCTTATTCCTGTGTTTAGGGAGCTAACGCTGCAGAAAGGCGACATTGTTTACATCCACAGGCAGGTAGACGCCAACTGGTTTGAAGGAGAGCATCACGGGCGAGCTGGCATTTTCCCCACGTCTTATGTAGAGGTGACTTTCTCCCACGTGTCTCATTTGATGCTGTTTCTCGTCACTGTTTATACGGCTTTGCGATCTAAACCCTGTGGTTAATGGCTCACAACTCTCTGCTTCGTCTTCCATAGATTCTGCTCCCCACAGAGAAGCCGACACCCATTAAGTCCCCCACGCTGCAGGTGTTGGACTACGGCGAAGCGGTGGCTCTGTTCAACTTCAACGCGGACCTACCTGTTGAACTGTCTTTTCGGAAAGTGAGTATTGCAGTACGGTGCTTTCCCTCCACATTTATATGGAAGATATTTTAGTTCATTTTTTAGAAGTTAGATGGAATGATCGATACTACTCCTGATGTGTGTATGACAAATGGGAAGCTACCAGCAACCGGTTAGCTTAGCTTAGCATGGAGACTGCAACAGAAGGAAACAACCGTCTCCCTAACATCTAACAACAATGATACGGTTGGCACTGTTTTTAATCTGCATAAAAACTGTGAGAACATACAAAAATGACTTGTGATTGCACTGGGCCACAGTTACAAGCTTTTAACAAGTATATAAGAAGACTAGATACTATACTAAGCTTACTAGAATCCTACTAGAATCACGAGTATCTGCATTCTGTTTTTTCCGTAGGGCGAGACGATCGATGTGACCAGGCGCGTTGACGATAGGTGGTTGGAGGGGAGGATCTCAGGGACTGTCCGGAGCGGTATCTTTCCGGCCAGTTATGTCCAGGTCAACAAGATGCCCCGCACAAAACTCTCCACGGACGACTTCGCCCCGGGGCCCATGTCCCCGTGCTCCCCTGGACCCCAGAGTCCAGGGCGTCCCCTCCACTCACCCGGCCCGCGGTCACCGCTGTCCCCCTTCACCCCCACTCCCCTCAGCCCCCAATCCGAGCACTACCCACCGTCTTCCCCTTTCCCTTACGGCGGCGCAGCTTCGCAGTCGCACTCCCCCACGCGGTCACCTGCGTCCAAAGAAACGGCCAATCGGTGGCCCTCCAAAAACGCCACGCTCACCAACCAGAGCGGCCAGTGGATCGGAACGAACTCCGCCAACCACGGCTCCGCGGCTGCGGCGGCGTCCCCTTCCACTCAGCCGTCGTCCGCCGTGCACAGAGCAGGAGCTTCCACAGCAAACACGTCCCCCAGATACACTGACCCCCCACAGGTCTGCTTCCACTGTCACTGCATGGCCGCGCCCAGGGTGTCACTCTGTAGGGCTGTCGTTTATCTGTCCTTATTTCATAACGCCTGATGTGAAGATTACGTGTTTTCCAGGGTGCGACGCCGAACCAGGCCGCTCGATTCAGTCCACACGGTAACTCCCCTCCACAACCACGAGTGCCAAACAACCCCGATTCCTCAGCCGTGCAACGGCAACCGTACGTTTGTTCGTGTCTTTGCAGCTTCGGTGAATCTGTTTCGTGCAACATTTTGTTTTTTTCAATGACTTTGTCGATCTCTATTTTAGATATAAAGCTGTTTACAACTACAAACCACAAAATTCAGATGAGTTGGAGCTCAGAGAAGGAGACGTTGTAAGAGTGATGGAGAAATGCGATGATGGCTGGTTTGTAGGTAAGAAATATTAAAGTGTTCATTGTTTAATTAGCTCAACACCTGTCAATCTATGATGGAGCATTTTCTCATACCTCAACAGGGAATAAATCCAGATTATCCATGAAGTAAAAGATTTCAAAGTCGCTAAATTACATGTAATGTAAAGTCTATAGTCCGTAGTTTAAAAAACAATCCTAACATTTTTGTAGAATCGTTTGAAACAAGAATTCTGAATGTATTAGTACATTTTAGCCACAAGGTTATTCAGAGTGGTTTGCATAAAGTACATTTATATAGAATTGAAAGTTATCTAAAGAAAGTTAATATGAAGTAAAATAAATGGAACCAGACAGTTGTAAACGAAAATGATTAAAGTTACAATGTTGTGTAAGAAATGTTTTAATAAAAGGCAGCGTCAAATAGAAAGGTTATCGTGGATTTAAAGGGAGTTACTTTAGTTTCATTGTGACAAATAGCTAATCAAGCGCTCCCTCTAGGGACATATCGCCACATTGCAGATGTAATTCGGCACAATAAACATAAAGTAAACTGCATTTCCTTTGTTTCTGCTGTGTGACCACGGTGTGCGCTTTGTTCTTTCCAGGTACGTCAGAACGGACTCGCGCTTTTGGGACTTTTCCTGGGAATTACGTGGCACCTCTTTGACCTTCTCACTTGCTGCTTGCCCACATCCACCTGAACTCATAAGAGCCCAACCAACCACTCCCTCCGCTCCCTTCAACAGATCACACTCCAGCATTGGTCCGTCCTGTTATACCCACCACGCTCCCCCACCTAGACCTGCATCTGCACCTCTGTCTCCCAGCACAGAGGTGCAGATGCCTCCCTGCATGAGTGCATGTGTCTATGTGTCTATGTGTGTGTGTGTGTGTGTGTGTGTGTGTGTGTGTGTGTGTGTGTGTGTTCCACCGAGTCTTGGAGAGCGTTTTCATGCACACCATTTGAGAGGACGGAATCAATGCTTATTATACTGTTTCGGATGTAAAGAACGGACTTTTTTGTTCCACGACTATTTGCAGCTGCAGGAAATTAGCATTTCTCCCCAGTGAACAGTGCTGTTCCTTCTGAGGAGCTGATACAGTATGATGCTTGTGTGTCACCACAGTGCCATCACAAACCACTGCTGAGAATGAATCCATAAGAAAGTCACATTTTTCCGGCACTGCCATTGATTAATGTTTCCTCCAAATATCTTACTCGGATTTTCTTTCAGATCTCGGAAAATACCAAGGGCAAGTTTGAGGGAACCACACAAACATGGGTGCTTAGAGTAAAGCACTTTAAGGTCTTGGACATGTCAAGAGAAGTTTACAGGCTTTAACGAGGATATACAGAAAAGCAAATATAATTAATGTGTCTACTGTTTTCATAAGCATGTTATTCATTAAGGGATATTTTTGCTTTTTTGTATCTCCAAATCCATGGTGTGGAATGCCAAATGTTGATGCAATGAGATGGATGGTGTATTGTGCCGTAAGAGGAAGTGCTTTGTTTTTCAATGAATCAGCTGCGTTGAATTAGACATCGACATCGCATCTAAAGAAAATCGTTGAATGATCCTTCGTATGATCCTAAGTATTTGAAGTAAAGCTAAAGGTGCCAAATCTAACCTTTCATGATATTCTTCTTTTTTTTAAATGATCCATTTAACGTTCCCAGCTTTATTTTCATTACAGCTGCTTTCACAGTGTTTTCTGCTTACAGGGCTAACATTCTCACTTTGACTTCTAAAATCACTTATGTTTGTACCAGTGCAACCTTTGACAAGTGGGGCATAGTTATACATCCTTATTTTGAGGTAATTCTGCAAATGTATATGAATATTCGTGATTGTACATACTGCAACCTTTTATTAAATTTAAAGTATAATATATATTTGCTCATAAAACAATGTGTGTATGTATGGTACGAAATCTTTTCATTAAACATTACAGAGTGATACTGAAAGAAGCTTGTTTTCATTGCTTGTCATTTATGATAATCACTGTAGTGCTAAAATTCGGTGGGTAAACTATGAATTTTGCGATCATACAGACGTCGACACAAAGCGCTGCGACTCTGTAAGGCTGTCTTGCCTATATTGCATTATGTTATCAGTTAAAGTCATATTCAATCAATGAGTGAATAAATGTGTATGTAGTTTGTAGTTTATTACATTTCAAGAAAACAGTAAAGAAAAGTATATGGAGGTCTCAAAAAAAATGAAGGGGGTGGAGGCAAAAAAAAGGACCTCTATTAGGACCTTAAAAGAAATGAAGGCCTCTGGAAACAGGCCCTGGGTGTTACAGCTGAACCGTGTAATATGAAAAAAGCCACCCTGCAAGTTCCCAAAACTTCCCCTGCTCCTTAACCATTAAGAGAACGCTCCAAAGGTCAACGTAACTAATGAATCCATTCCGAACAGGCGGGCTGTGTTTACATCCTGATTGGTGGCGCCGCCGCAGATGAGAATGATCAGACTACAGTGTTTATATGTTCAGCAATATGAAACGTAGCCATCTGTGTTTTAAAATGACACCAAATTTATTTGGATTAATACAAGGTGTGCGGAACTTTGATGTCCGGGTGTGTGCGTGGATATCTGTTCACACAATGACTTCACTGGCTTTTTTTGCATCTTTTGCATTCTACATTTGTTTATTTGTTTAGCGCAAGCTGTTGAATGCAACACGGTTATGTGAATGGAGCGTGTCGGTTCTCTTCCCGGCCTCCATGATGCATCAACAGTCTGCTGCTCCACGACACCTCCTCGGGCCCAGGTTGGGGGTCAACAGTAGTAAGGAAAACGCCATGATGCCCCAGAGACCCCTGGGATCCTACCGCTGCGCACAGCCAGGTAGGTGGCGAGCCTTCTCCCCCCCTGGATGTGTGTTTTTAGTTTTTGCACTTCAAAAATGTGATGTGAAGTGAATGAGGCCATCACAGTCATCTTATTAGTGCAACTTGCGGGCCGACCGCAGATGCCTCACCCCTGTCACAGTTGGTTTGTGTCTTTGTAAATCACTTGACTTGGGCGGTGTCAGCTCGGGCCTAATAAGACCTCCACCCCGTCGAGTCCGTTAAAGGGTGGAGACTATGACGAGGTGTACAAAAGGACGGGATGTGGTTTCCAAGGCAACGTGCCATGATTTCATGTCCTTGTTCACCCTGGTACATTTATGTTTTTGGAAACGCCAGAGCCAATTGTGGTTCGTAAACTATCAATTGTGTGTCTCTTCCAGAGAGTTGTTGTTCTGTTGGATTTGTGGGTTTGCTAATCTCTCTTGTCAATGCCAGTGACCGTTTCTTGCCACTTAAAGCACCGCTAGGCTCAGATAGCTGCCAGGCTACTTCCATCTCAACATTCACGCTGCGCAGCGTCAGTCAGAGCCTCAGAGAGGCAACTCTGTGGTGCATAAGTGGCAACTCGAAGTCTGATATAATGTGTCTGAACACATCATTACACAGTTTAACAAAGGGTTTAGTATGAAGCCTTCAGTTTCAATGGCACTATTCATTGAAAACAGAACAAACAAATTGATCAAAAAATAACCTTATAAATTGTATTTTCTTAATAAACTGTGACATCTAGTGGTAGTCTTGTGGCAACAGGACAATCCTCTGAAAAAGAAAAATAGGCAGAAATAAGTGGAAAAAACTCCCCAAAAAATGAAAACCCTTCTATGGAGAAAAAGGGGAAAGAAACTGCGGAAGAGAGGAATTATCCCGGATGTCATGTGTTCAGAATGAACAACGTAAAAGATGTACAATACAGTCAATTCCTACGACAAAAATGATTCAAATATTGTGAGTAGTAAGCCAATCAGAAGGGGGTGAGTGATGACTGGCAAACGGACCACTTAAGCACTGATAGTGCACGGAAGATCAAGACAGAGCTGCTCTGGCTGCTTTACAAAATATCAGACCAATGGAGGATACCATCCCCAAAAGAGATCATATCCTTATCACCAGGATCCAAGAATTAGAGGACAACAAAACAGTCCTTGAGAACATCTGCTTCGACTTAAGAAAAACAGAAGAGAGGCATTTTTGGGAGACGGCAGACGGAGATGAACAAAATGAGGCGAAAGTTGCAGGACAAGGAGACAAAGAAATAGGAAAGAGAAGAGAAGAAAAAAAGAGACCTTTTTCCAGGACGTCAAAATCAACGTGCCTGAGACTGGACGCCTGTAAGAACACCTTTTCTTGAGACTGTAAAGTTGCACAGCACGGCCTCTGAGGAATCTTTTTCATCTCATCCATTTTCTTCTTTGGCGAAATGCGAGGCTGCAGATGAAGATGAGGGGATTTCTGTATTTGCGCATACACGATATATGAACCTGGTCATTCGACCGGTGTTTGGATGAACTACCACGGCTGGTTTGACGAATCAATGGTAACAGCGTGTGAACGTTGTCCGATAGTTTCATTCGGCCATCATTGGAAAGTCCAAAGTTATATATTTTGCAAGGTATGTCCCCCATGTCCCCCACTACTGGCAGTAATGCCATGCCAATATATATATAACATATTATCATACATTTTATTTCTGTTTATAAACTAAACAGTAATAAAATGTCTCTTACAGCCTAATATCTATATTTCCCCAGTGTTTAAAAAGGAAAAAAAGAAAAGAACAAGCCACAGGACAGCCAGGTGGGCTCTAGCCTGTATCTTATCGCCCAGGATCTAAGAATACAAAGCCGGAAGCCAGTTCGAGGCTGAGGCCTCCATCCTGCATGGTGGCAATGCAACCACACTTAAGGCTTAAGAATGAAGCTGCACGGCAGGGACCACTGAGTCAAAGCTTCAGTATGTGGCTGCACATTTAAAGCAAATTCAATTCAATTCAATGACAGTATTCTTCTTGTATTCTACATATAGATTAATTCATACGAATCACTCTCATGTAGCTTAGATTTTCTAAATGCCTTTCATTGTACAATTATTATGTTAATATTAGGATGGGTTACTTTGCCTCTATTTACATAGCAAATATAAAACATCTTTACTTATGATGATCATTTCAAAATTATACGTGAATACTATAATTATCGTCAAATGAAATATAATTACTTCAGTCTCTTGTATGCTTCAGTTCGTCACCTGCTACATCAATTTGATATATAGACTCATATATGGCTCAAATCGAACCATCTAATCAGCGGCCTAAATGCACGTGTGACACCAGGTGAAGGTGGTTAGCGTCAATTAAAAAGCCAGCAGAACAAACGGTGGATGACGTCACTGGTTAATTGACGTGGCGCACGCTGCTCCTGCTTCGCGCCGCCAGCAGGTGGCGCGAGCACACACACGAACAAAACAAACAAGTGTCTTCAAGATAAATGGCTCAATCATCACTGCTGCACCCTCCTCTCACAAAGTCGTCTCCTCTGAAGCGAAACGCCCAGTTTGTGTGTCCGTGTCAAGGCTTTTGTTTTGGTAATAGCACGTGGCGCTTTGAGCTCTTCCCGCTGGTCCCAGTGCGCGCACAGCTACAGGCGGCGGAGACGAGGACTAACAGCGCGTCGCCAAAAAGCGCTTTCTGCTCCGTTTGTTCTCATTCTGGACGCGGTTGTTGTTGTTGTTTCAGGCTGAGTGGAACGGGGAATAGCGCTCTCTCCGCTTGGTGTGTTGTCCAGGAGCGCGCCGCGGACTCAACAGGTGGAGAAGAAAGGCCCCTGAAATCACTGCTACTCACCTTGGTGAGTAGAATAAACGGGATGCGTCTCAATTAATCAAACCGCATTAAACTGGCACGCAAAACGAGTGTCCTTTTCACACTGGTATCGTTAAACCTACATGCCACTTTTCTGTTTTGTAAGGAATGTGACATGAAGGTTTATGCCAGGTATTGTGATTTATTCTCTTGTTAATTGAAGTCATTAAACCATAGACAACTGTATCTCAAAGTGTGGGAAGCTCAGAGAATGAAGTAAAGTCTCGCTGATTTATGATTGATACCAAATATGGATTAACGCGTGATGCGCTCTCACGCGAGTTTTTTCTTTTTTTCTTTTTCTCTAATGATGCGTGATATTTGTGAAAAATGAAAAGTCAATCTAGCTGACAGTGAAAGGTAGGCCCACACACGGAGCTTCCCACCTTCTTTTGGAGACATGCACCCTGTTAAGGAAAGCAGGGAAGGTTACTCTTTGCACAATAAGCAGTCCTTGTGATTTTTGGAGCGAATGGACTTTGTGCAACCTCAGGAATCTTGAAGTCAGCATTTGCATCGTATGTCACATTGAGTTTTAACTGGTGAACCAGCTAACATTTCTCTCCTACAGTAACCTGAATCAGTTCTGGTTCAATAATGAACCCTGAATCCTTGTGTGTTGAGACATGGCCGTTCCATCAAATGGATCTTGTGAGTTGAGCAGGCGTGAATGCACTTTGAGGTGTTGCTCAGAGTTCAGCTTTAATCTACAACTTTCTCAATGAAACTTCATCCCTTCCCCAGTCTGATGAATGCTCTACATAACCCTTCTCTCACTTTATGGGTTTCCTTCCTTTTCTTGTGCCGTTTATTGAATGGAATCGGCCTGAAGCCATCCAGGAAATAAAAACAGTCCTTTTTAAATAGAGAAAAGTGGTGGTTTTTACCTTCTAACACAAGGGAAGAATTGTTTGTTAATCAAAACTGCATTTACACTTTTAACTTGCGCAAGGACCATGTTGTTAGTTATAACCGGTAGGGTACTTCTGTGAGGAACATGTTTGGAGTTATGCAGGAAGTTGGTTAAGTCTGGATGGTGAAAGTGTTTTTCTTGTTTCATTTCATTCATCTGTGGTTTTTACTGCGGCAGAGGCCTTGCAAGAGATTTGACAGTTGGTTCCTTCACATTACATGGAACCTATTTGCAGCGACGTGTTTTCTGGGGCAGCGGATGTTTCTCGCACCGTATCTAGCAAGCTTTTGAAGGCACTAAGGTGCACCGTTGCAGAGTGTGCAAGCAATGAACAAAGCGTTGGCGGGTCTTTGGTGAGAAAAGCCTAATTGTGAATGCAGAGGATGTGGTGAACCGGTCTTCTTGCCGCGCAGACAGAGTCTCGATCCTGAGCATCCGCAACATGATCTCCTGATAACGATGATGCAGGGGAACTGAAGCAATCGTGACCTAACCGGCCATTGTAGCAAAGCTGCATGAAACGAGTAAGAAGGGATGATGGGTAATCTTGTAAATTGTCCTTTTTATATAATGCAGAGGGTACGATTATAACATTTTCCTACAGGGGCGTGCCTCCTTAAAACTGATAAGGGAGTTACCCACAAAGTACAGGTATGGCTAAGTGCGTAATTGCTTGGATGACACGAGCTATTCTCAATACGTTATACAGAAATGACTGTACAGAAACTAATCAACCAACACCCTATTTGACATCACTTGTTGGGTGATGTTATTTCTCCCTAGCGACTGCTGCTAAATCTAACCAAGTGGGTGTGATTTTTAAGATTTTTTTCACTCTGCTCAGTCCAGGGAGAGGCTCGCTATTGCATTCCTTTCCTTTTTTTTTTTTAAAGTCAGTGTGTTTGTCCAAGTCGATGCCGCCTTGTCAGTGTAGTGCGTGACACACAGGGTAGAGTCAACAGCCGACCGCATCGCCGACGAGAGCTGTGGAGCGTTGGCGCTGGTGTAGCATCAGTGAGAGCTTTGACAAGCGTGATTCACATGAGGAATATTCCCCCTCAGCCGCAGCGGATCATCTGAGCGCGAGAGAGTGCGTGTCTTCGCATCAAAGCTCAGCCTGAGCTTTCCGTTGGATTTACAACGTCTGGTATGTTCATCAGCTGTTCGTTGAGTATTGGCATGTCAGAGACTCTGTGCTTGTTCATTCAATCCAGGGGATTTCTCCTCCGAGTTCAGGGAGAAGAAGAGAAAACATTTTCAGCGAAGCGGTGGCGAGTCGACGTAGGTGGCCGGGTTTGACTCTCAGATTTTATTGTATAGAGCTTGAGTCAGCAATCTTCAGTTAATCTGATGCCTTCCACTTTGTGAATATGTTTAACTACCACTGCAGTAGAGATTCTTTCCAAATGTTACATTCCATTGCATGAATGAGGTGTTAATTCTTGGGATCTGCTAAACGCACTGATGGAAATATTCATCGGATGGCCCTTTTCTCTCTGGATGTTTAGCAGGCAGTGTGCGCGTTCCATCGACCACTGGTTGCTCGAGCTGTATTGTGATGACGTGCTGAACCAAGTTAATGACTCATCAGGTGTGCCGCATTACAATTCAGTAATTACACAGTGTCAGACTTGTGTCAGCAGGTTTAGCTCGTTCAGCCTAAACAAGTTTAGTTACAGAGGAGGATTGTAGTCTTTTCCCATTCAGAGTCAATATAATAGTAAATATCCTAAACCAAGAGCAATTGCCAAACTACTCCATCTTTGTTCAATGTGTCAAACATCTGGCTAATAGTAATCTGTCGCTCATATTTGTTTTGGCTTCACTAATCAATTTAGTTGACACAGCGGTGTGTGTTTTTTTTTTTTTTTTTTTTTTTGGCCTTGGTTTTCCCCTCTGAACAGAGAATGTATTATTGAGGTTTTTGCAAATGTAAACCCTTGGGGCTTTGCATGTTGGGGCAATGAGCCTTGGAACCAACATTCGGATAGACTCGCTCTTTCCCTTCATACCTCCACTATCTCTTCTGCCTGTAGGGACAATCTCTCAGATGTGACAAGTTCCAAAAGGCCTTAGACACACAGACAGAATATACATGACCGGTTTGGATTTCTTCTGGAGGGAATGAAAATGTGCCTTACAGAAGCTGAATCTGAGCTCATTACATTCTGGTCCATCACCTGCCACACTGAAGTGTACTTTGATGTGATTTAGCAGCTCTTTCAGGGAGAACGATCCAGACCCACAAATCTATTTTGTTTGTTTAATCGCAAGCCCAAGAAAAGCTGAAAATGCTCAACATTAATCAGCTGGGGAGAAATGTACAGGTGATTGATTCAACCTCAATATTTCATATTCAGAGCTACAAATTAGTAGAAACTACTCGTGAAACATTTCACATGCACAGCCTTCTAAATCCTTCAAAAATGAGTCTTCAGTTAAATGGCTCAACTTAAAATGTAGAAATTGTAGTATATTACATTGCAGTTTTTCGAGCTCTGTTTACCAATTTAAACACGTAACTTCATAAATAAACCTCTTCAGGACATTTGGTTGCTACTTCTTGTAGTCTTTCTGACTTGAAAGGTGGCTGTTTGTTGGAATGCAGGTGAGACGTGAACATGGCAGCGGTGGGAGTGAGTATGACGTCGGCCTTCAGTACCAGTTTCTCCTCTCCTGCGTGCTGAACGCCTGCTATGCCTCGGCTGACCTGCGAACAATGAAATGGCTTCATCACTAGAATTCCTTTCTTTTGTGTGTTGAATTGTCCCGTCACATTGGTGTGGCCGCGAAGGCAGATGTCACCAGGACCGAACTTCCCCATTTAAAAAAAAAAAAAAAAAAAGTGAATTGGCAGCTACACAAACATTACTTTAGTGCGATGTTGTTTTATGCAAGCAGCCTAAAAACTCAAGTGTCCAATCACGCCGAGGGCGTCCCTTATCCTCGCCACCAGCGTGCGCTTTCCTTCTCCGCTGTTTGTCTACTCATCGCATACTTTCACCATCCGTTCGCTTTGACATTTTCCACCACTTGCGCTTTTACGATGCTTACAGTCAACGTTTAGGTGGGGAATTAGCAGGTTGCTAATGGCCGCTCTGTGGGAGAGGCTGCTGAAGCTCATGAGACTAATGGACACCCCCAGCGGCTGGGAAACTTTGGGGCGGCTGCTCCCTGTCATTATCACAACTCCACTTACCTCTGGAGGCCATCGCAATTAAGAGACCCTAGTGGCGGTGAGCCCGGCAACCCTGCTAATTGGCCCAGACTGTTAATGGCTCACTGGGTCGGCGCTGCCTGTCCCAACACTCGTGGAATGTGCGGCCCTTGAAATGGGCCAGTGTTTGGAGGGATTTAGGAGAGCAAAATGTGGCCGATGTCCTTGAGCCACTTTGACTTCGGTCAAAGACTTTGCGTTTTGATTATATCTTTTAAAAAACGTATCATGCACTGCATGTAATCATTGACAGACTGATCTCTATAGACAATGAGCAAGATTATTTACAATGTTGGCCAAAGATATATTAAGGTTTGGTAAGCGGTGCTTTGGGTGACGCTGGACATTGGAGTGCGGTAAACCGTATTTGGATTGTCCGCTATTAACAGAGTTGCAGTACGTATTCAGCAGTTAAAAAGGGGAAAAAAGGTTTACGGCTGAAATGACTTGACACTGTTCTGCTCAACGTCCTGTGTGACTGGCTTTTCTCTGAATTTTGAAATGATGGCAATGATAATGGTACAAAAACGAGAGGTCACAATGACAATGTTGTTGCGTTGATGACTACGAACAAATTCAGCATGTCCTTGTGTTTCTGTTTTTAAAAAAAGCTTGTCTTCATGTGCCCCTAATAATATATTATAATGCTAAATGTTTCAGACCCAGCGTCTGCGTGAATTGTTCAGGTGTTGATGAGATGTTTATGGTCCCGAGTGCTTATCCCGTCATCACCAAACGCAACTCTTGTGTCTCCACATGCAGTCCTGCAAGAGACGAGCTTCAACTGGCATTTAAATTGCAGGTTACCCCCCTTTTCAAAAAGCATTATCATTATAACTACAATCACTCTCTAGTGTGGGCCCATTCATATTCTTGTTTTGTTAACTTGAACAGGATCCAGAGGAGGCAGATGATTGGCGTTAATGGGTTTAAGTACTTGATATCATTTATACTTTGAACCGTTTAGGTCTTTATCACCTTGTTAATCGCATTAATGTCATACTTGGCAGGATAATAATTGACACAATTAGTTTTTTGGTAGGACTTTTTAAACACACACTGCTGTAGTCAAGCAACCTAAAGCTTTATAGCTAATAATGCCTGAAATAGCATCACTTTTAGCACACTATATTTTGTACTAATTTCTTTTGTAGGTCTACACAGCTGAGTTGTTGCCAAAAAACCCTCCAATAAGCCAGACGGTAGCACACAACGCAGTCATCAACAGTTGATACAGACTTTGCAGTAGTTTGACAGCTCATTCTTCACTATCAATTTGAAGGGCAACACGTGAAGGATCTGTTCGTTGACGGTCTTGACGTGAGGCTGCGGATTTGTGATTGGATAAAGATGATTAACATCACTGTTAACCCCAACATAATGTTCAGATGAATTGTTGTGTCCCTATCGAAAAGCAAAAGACACCCTTTGCTCTTATTGCATTATTTCTTTGACTTGAAGAGTGTGTGTGTGTGTGTGTGTGTGTGTGTGTGTGTGTGTGTGTGTGTGTGTGTGTGTGTGGCCCCCTATTCTCATAAATAGTATAAGTCTTAAAGGGCTACCATGTTGTGATGTCTTACTACTACATTGTAAACAATGTCCACAATGAAGCACTGCAAAGCACCCAGCTCCTTGCGTGCTCACACAACTTTTAGTTTGCAAGTTTTATGAACAAGCATTTGGAGTTAATGTAACTCTTTGGTGTTGCAGGCACCCTAACAATGTTGTTCATGTGTCTTTGGTTTCCGATTGTTCCAATTCTTATTTAATGTGGTTGCTCAATCTTCGTCAAGGGGACTCAGGCCTATGTGTGTTGCTGGAGATTAAAGGCAGATTATGCAAATGTCCGTGGTCTTTACTTGTTCCTTTAAGCCAGGCCAGCAGAGACTGATTTAGACATGTATGTTGCACAAAATATATATATAAATATATATATATATATATATCTTTAAAATTCATTTATTTTCTTTTTCTCCAGGAGTTTCGACACCTGCGTGTGTGCTGACCTGATCACTAAATGGCACTGACGGTGAACCTTATCGGTCCTTCGCCATGGGGCTTCAGAATACTTGGAGGACGGGACTTCAAGAAGGCCATTACTGTGTCAAAGGTACTCGTCAAAAGCAGCTCTGTTGCAGGAAATGGTCCCACTTTATCAAATCATGTCCTCTTTTTTTTTTTTTGTCCAAACGCAGCCTGTAATTGCATGCAATGTCGACTTCCTCCTCACTACCTCACTTTTCTTGTGTTTGTTTTTGTCCCTGGGCTGCCCCGTACCTATTTCCTTGACTACCGAACCCGTTGGAGAAGAATGGAAGTAGATTACATTAGAAGGAAACCACTGATTACAGTAGAGGTGGGAGGTGAAGGGTTCCTGATTCCACAGTGCAGAATGTGGGTTTTTGTGATCCCTCGTGCATTACAAGGTTCATCAGTAAATTCACACACAATACAGACTAAGCACCGTAAACACCATCAGGAAACCTTCTGCATGCCAGAAACACCCAGTTCATTGTGGTCGCACAGCACCAGCTGCTTTCACGAGTGACACTTCCCCAGTCGCTCCTCAGACTATAAAAGATGGATAAAGTATGAACCACGGCAGAGTACCAGAGCTTCACACCAACTTTGACTTCAAGCGTTTATCGTTGGCCTCCTCTTGACAACCTCTTTGTTGGAAGAACTATTTTTCTATCATGAATCAGATTTCGTTACTGCTACCTAAAACAACGCCAGCACTTTTACTTGTCTCAAGTATCAAACGGGTTCTCTGGATTTACGGGGTGGTTCCTGCTGAGAAAGAAACTTATCACTGAAATCTGTTTGCGAACCCAGTTTGAGAAACGACCCGTCTCCCCTTGTCTGCATCCCTCCCTGCAACCACAGGGTTCATCCCATCTGAAGTGGTTAGCACTTGGCACAGAGACGACATGGGTGCCCTCTTTTATTCCTGTTGGCCTGAACGATAACTAGCCTCCATTTCACTCTGGCAACAACCCTGGAAAAGAGCCCCCGACTGCTTAGTTTATGTGAAACCAGGCGTGTCCTGATCAGAAAAGGCGTGCACCAATGTGGGTCACCACAGCAACACTTGATTGCCTCTCGAGTGGGCCATCGGATATTGCCTCGCTGCCCTCTTGCTTGACTGAACTGACAAACGGCCTATTGGCTGGCATTCTATTTACCTCCATATTGTACTCCAGAGATGCAAGATTGAGTCTTTCGTCCTCTCTGACTAGCTCTTCATTCGGTTTGTTTTGCATTCTTCAAGTTTTATTGCATTTCTGTTTTGTTTTTTATAGACGATGGCAAATGTTTGTGGCAAATACATCCACTCTGACGATTTACCAGCGGCATCAACTTCATTTAGCCTTTTGTATTGGTATGCCTGCGCGTTTGGGTGTGTGTGCCGGGGACAAAGGAGCCAGGTTTAAAGCCGTGGCAAGGATGTTATGTTTCAGCCCATTAGTGTGGAATTCCCTCTGATGTGGTGATATTGCATTGGCTTTGACATGCGGTGAGGCCGGCTGCAAAGGTCAGGCCTTCAAGTAGTGTCACACCAATAACTTTCCCCGAGGGTGTCGTGAATCTGTCCGCTGTTGACCAGCACCACCGTGATCCATGTGGCTGGAACGCTTTGGCGTTGGATGGGTTTCGCTGTGGAAAGACTGGCATATTGGCGGTTAAGAGCATTTTGAGGCAATTTGCCAACAATTTATTTGTTGATGCAGAAGTTTCAAGAAAACAAAACAAGTGTCTATGACCATAATCCTTTAAGGATGCCATCCATTTGGTAGAGGAAGACCCGGGGCCAGAAGGACCTAACTGGAGCTCATTCTTCTGTTCAACAGGTCACCGGGGCCAGCAAGGCAGACCAGGCTGACCTGCAACCTGGGGACATTATCTTGGCGATCAATGGGAAAAATACGGCCGACATGCTGAACGTGGAGGCCCAGAACACGATCAAGAACTCAAAGACCCAGCTGCAGCTGGTAGTGGAGAGGTACGCTGAAATGCATCACAGGCTGAAAGGGTTGTGCATATTGGATTTACTAACATTTAATGCGTACAGTTCCAAGCAACTTTGTGCACGTGAGTATTCCTAATCGTCTGTGTTTGTGCCAAGACCAGATGCCTCGGCTTCCATCAGTGTTTACTTTCTTCTTTTTTTTTTTACACGTCATGCGGACAGGGAACAAACAAAAACAAGTGATTTCAATCAGGGGAAATGCCAGCATGTATGAAGGCCGCAGTGTTCCTTCCCTCGTAATAACTTTGTTTGGATGATGTGGAGTTGGCTGCTTAAAATGCTGTCCTTTGAGCCAGGGCTGCTGTTGGCTGGCATTCTGATTTAAAGGTCCTCCCGACATTCTCATTTATTGTCACTGTTTCTCCCAAAGACTCTTTCTCTCTGCTCTCTCACGCACGTGTGCTTTCCCATACTTCCTCCTTGGACGTCTGACTGTTTTCCCCCCTCTGGATTTTTTCCTGCTGAAGTCATGTCTCTCTCAAGCCAAAAAGGACACCTTTTCTTACTTCTTGCCCGCCCGGTGCAATGCCACTGTGTAGCCCTGCCACGTCTCTAATCCCACTCTGTTAGCTGTCAGCGGTTCTCCTTATCCAAATGATTAAGTAGCTCCTGTCGGAAAACCACTCGCGCAGCTTATCCATTTGAATTGTGTTCAGATAAGCTTTCAGGAGGTCTGCCATTGAGTAGTAGAAATCAGTAATGTTCTTGCTTACTTACTTTATCCAGCTCAACATCTGGCTGGAAGAAGCCGGCATCAGCGGTTTTTGCTGCTGTGTCCCGAGGCAGTGGTTTATTGTCGGTGCTTCCAACGACATGTTCATCCTAGACAAATGCTATGTGGGCTTATTTTAGCATAACAAAGCAACTACAGCATCGCTGTCTTGTCATGGACCCTGCAAACATTCGTCTGCCTTTGTTCGTGCCCCCTTGTTTGGACTTCATTGTTCGTTGATGCCTTGCGGATGATGTCATGTTGACCAGAGCTGTTGTCTCTCTGTAATGGAGTTGGAGCCCAATGGGTGTAGTTTTACCATACGGCTATACTGGTTCCTCTTTGATGCTGTGCATGTACTGCTGTGTGTGTTGTGCAGCTGGCACCATAATTTAATCACCAAAAATTCAGGACACTTACTGTTTGCCGCAGCAGCAAATGCCATATGAACTGGAGTTTGCCTTGATTAAGCAGCAGTGCTACGCATCAAACCGCAATAGATTGTTGTGCTTAAGTCAATTTTTATTTTTTATCTTTTATGTTGCCCGAAAACCCAACATTGGCCTCAGAGGCCTAATTCTTTGAAATTAACTTACTGTTTTCCGGCCAGTGCAGGAATACACATTTGCAATGACGCAGAGTCTTATTGAGTAGTGGCTTGTTTTGTCCTATATACCAGTGTTTAACCTTTTACCTTTGTGGGGATTTGAATCCTTGAACTCAGGTCAACATTATGTTCTTTTAATGTTTGATTTATCTTAACAGAGAGGTGTTCTTACAATGCACATGTTTAAAGAATCTGCTGCGGGCGGTTTAACTGCATGTCTTCTCAATGTTCAGAGTTAGTATCTGCATGTTTGGCATATCTGGGCTCTAAAGTTACAGCTTTAATTTCACCAGCAGCTAAATGTTTTTCTGTATTGAAAATGTATAAACAGACACTGATCTGATCACTGAAAGTTTAATTTAGCTCACTTCCTTTTTAAAGTGGAAGTTTGGCGCACAGTTGGGACATTTTTCTTGCATGTGGTTCCTAATTCGAAACTGTTTTTCAGACCGTCATTTTGTCTTCTTGCCATCTCCTCTACTTAGCATGTAGAGCTTGGGCCACGAGAGGTGTGTTTCTGGGTGATTTACCACAGGCATCCAGGCCTTCCTGTGTGCCTCATTACCTCGGGCTCAACCCATAGCCAGTCAGCCAGGGGGGCACTGTGTGTTTATATAGCCATATTTTCCCCTCCAAATTCAATAATGGGAATTGCTTACAGAATATTTTCAGTTTTAGAAAGTAAAACAAGTTACTAGTTGGAAAGATGAGATCCATTGGAATATGGATCTCATCACAGAATCTGCAGTAATGGTCTCCTACAGTAATTCGTGGCCACATGCTGATTTGATTAAAGTAGATTAGGAAAAGGGATGTCAAATGATTTTTTTTTTTTTTTGTAGTTCGTTTTGAAAGTTTTTACTTTGTTTCTACAGTCATCACCTTCTCTTGTAAGTGTTTTAGTTCAGCAGTGATGAGATCAGACTTTGTTCCAAATGCTACATAACCTGCAGTTTCATTCTGTCTTATTTGATTTCACGTGGTTTTCTGATTTTCAAGACCTGAACCTCCCAGTTCTGGACGGACTAACGGCATCAGCACCCCTGAGCAGCTCACAGGGCGCTTCCAGGTCAGATTTGGATTTCAGTACTTTTTCCTGTGTTTTATTGAGATCATAATTTATCCCAAAGCACCACCTAAAATAAATGTTGATGCTGAATGCAAAGTCTTTAAACCTTTTATTACACTTCTCACTCAAGCCGTTCACTACCTGTGTGGCAAAAATGCATTGGTAATGAGCCAATTACTTTCGAGTAATAATGCAATAACATTCCTCTGATGTGGTGTTTTGAAGGAGGCGGTGATAGTGAGTAGAGATGAGAACCAGAACTACAAAGAGTACACAATCTCCAGCCCCGCGTCCCCTGGACCTTATTCACAAGATCCTTTTATCAGCCAAGGTGTAAAGAGGGAGAGCCTGACACCGTCCCCCAACAAGAGGTAACTCACTCAACTTTACGGTGTTCATAAATTACTTTTCATGCCATTTCTCATAGACATCAGTCCCATTGGCTGCAATGTAAATTTGATTTCTGAGGCAGATTACAGTCCTTTACTTAAGCATCCACTCTGGACCCCAAAGTCTTTACATAAATAAACGTAACTATTGTTTGTTGGACCGATAAGGATCCTTCAGCCAGCTTGTCCACTCCTGCACTGTGGCCGCGCTTATCAATGTTGTAACAAAGGAAAAGGATTATACAGTCTGGAGACCTGCATGTGATCTGGTTACTTGTAAATTACAGTTTACACAGTCTGCCTTTCAGCATGAATAGGGTCTAAAGATAAAGTCCTAAGGCTTTTTAATTTCAGGTGGACAGTTGAGTCTCTTTTCAGAAACCGGTCCATTCACTACTTCAATAGGCCTATATGTGGACAAAGGGTTGCAACAAGTGCTCTCTTGACTCCACAACAGACCCAGAGTCAATGGGTTTGGGCATAACTGGGAGAGAGAGAGTCAAACCATGGGATTGTACTGCGGTGACAAAGGATATGCACAGGATATCACATTCCACCGTTTGCATTCACGTTAACAAAAGGTAGAATGTAGAACGTTCTCCTTGCCGCTCTCTGCACGGCCATTTGTCGACTCTCCCGGACAACTTTAGTAGGTCAGTTAAAACCTAAATATCCTTTTAGGTTACCCGGAGTACCATAATTATATATTCCATACAATAACTATGAAAAAGGAAATATGAAATCCTTTATCACAGTATATTTGTTTACTATGATATTGTATTTTATACTATACATGTGAACAGAGAATTTACTACATTTGGAAAAATGTTTTGAAGAACTTTTTAATTAAACGACCCGACAGGAATGTCTATTTCGGGACCATAACACTATAAATAGAAGTGCTCAATTCAACAGTCCCAGAGGGCTTTGCCAGTCTCATGTTGTATATTGATTTCCCCAAATCACACATATCTGTGTCCCTCTGTTAGTGTCCTGTTGCGTCCATGGTCTCCAGAAGAGAAAAGTCACAGGCTGTCCAGACCGCTGTCACAGGTTGGTTTCAGTTTTCTTAAATGGGACAATCCACCTACTTTTGAGGTGGTTTTCAGTTGAGTTTTATTTTTTTTATTACATTTTTATTTTATTGACTGTCCTCCATGCTAAACAAATGCAGCTGAATTCCCGCTATAAAATAATTAGAATAAAGTACATGGGAACAATTGGTTCTTAGCGAGCATGAAATGACTCCTCCAACCAGTGTATAAAATATGTCTTTGCTTTCATAATTAACATTAGTTACTGTCAAAGTGAGGTTTGTGTCCCTTTTGCCAGGTCACGCAATATAAAAAACCTATAGATTTGTTCGATTTAGAAAAACCTGTACCTGCAAACATGTTTAACACAAGCCTGATGACTTTCTAATTAATCTATTTTATGGGAAAGAACGGCACCAGATTGAGAGGCTGTGTGTGTGTGTGTGTGTGTGTGTGTGTGTGTGTGTGTAAAAATCCCAGTTCCATTGGTCCCATAGGTTTGGCATTTAGAAGGGCTCTATGTGGAATGCGGTTCCATTTTTAGATGGAATTGTAAAACACCAGAAAGGTCAAACTGCCACACATCTGTAGCTGCAGACCAGGTCAGTGCAGCTGAAGGCCGTTGATCTTTAGATCTGTGTTTTCCCTCCACGGCTGCAGTCTGCAAGAATAACATGTGTGAATTCTTGGCTTTTCCTCTTGAATTGTTACACTCTGAAGCCAGAAGATGCCCAACAAAAGATTTGTGCCCTCTAGTCTACTGTATGTGGACTTAACGGTAACAGCCGGACGCAGATAGGGTTTGACACTTTTTTTTTTTTTTTTTTTTTATAGCCGGGAGTGTATAAACTTCAAAGGTCAGTCTTTGAAATTTTTGACTTTAAACTGAACAACAGTCTGGAGCCGTTGCATTCAGAGCCTGCTTCAAGGGAAAAAAATGATAGTTTCTGTCAAAACAATGGCCAAAACCTTTAGTTGTCTGACTGGATCACTAGCTCTAAAATATGAGTGGTGAAATACAGACTCGGGGTTATCATAAGAATGAATCTAAACTATGCTTTGCTTATTTACGTTCTAACAACAAAGCCAAGAAGTGGGAAGCCGCGTCTGGAAAGACTTCAGTGAGTTGGAGAGAAGATGTTGTGGGAAAGTTCATCATGAGCTATTTCCGCTATGCCTACATGCTCCGTCTCATGCAGGGGTCCCACTGATGGAACGTGTGAGATGACGGAGCACGCAAGACCCTCTTGTAATCGCTCAAGGAATTCTGGACATTTTTATACCACTGGACATTACTGAAAGTTTGCTAAATATGCAGAGGTTTGAACTTAAAAACATTCAAGCATTCCCTTAAAAGGGGCCGTTTGCTGAGAAGGTTGATTTTTAAAATATCACTTTGTTTGGAGTTCTTTATACTGTTTACACGTTAAATGGGATTCAGGTGCACATGTTGCACACAGCGATGTCCGCCCACTGAGACTGGCAGCCTGCGTTGCTTTCTTTCACACTGACGGAAAGATTAACGACTCCAGCTATGAAGTCATTGCAGTCTAAGTGACTCTTTGGAGAATGCCCTTTTTACTTTTGCGCCTTTTTTATTTAGTTTCCTAAACTACAACTTGGTTGGCAAAGGAATACCACTGCAGGCCGGTAATTCTAGTTTTATCGGTCTCTTGTGCACCCCCGAACTTTAAAAAATCTTAACTTTAACAGAGACCATTTTGGCCAAAAGTTCTCATCTTGGCCTACTTGCCATTTAATTTTCGATTTTCTCTCTGAAGACGTCGTAAGCCTCCGTTCAACATCGATTCAAAACCACATATTAAAAATAATACTATGGAGTTCTAGTGAGGCGGCGGCAGGAAACTATGGTGGAGAAAACCACTCCAAAAAACACATCAGGATCTTTGTTATGGCTGAAGGAAGAATGAACGATCCTCTTAAATTCGTCTCACAGGGACAAATTTGCATGTTTGCGGTATTTACGGAGTCTCTCATCCCGCTTTACAATCTTTTTTTTTTTTTTTTTAATTGACCATTTTGTCAAATTTTTCTGATGTTGGAATCTGTATCCTCTGGGATGCTGCATTCCTTCAATCTCCCTCTTCTCCAATATAAATGTGGCCTTTTGTTTTTTTCTTTTTTAAGCTTCCTTGAGAATGTTTGGACTAATATCGAACTACATGTTGTGGGAAGGATTCATTCTGAGATGTTTAATCACTGCTTTGTCCTCCCTTTCCTACATCTTCTGGTGTTCACGCTGACTTGGATTGCTTGCTCTGCTGTCTCTGCATGACAGACTGTGTGTTTACTATCATCCAGCCCAGTGGATGGGATTTTAGGGTTTTTGGCTGACCCCATCCACCAAGGGACGCCTACCCTGCTTTTTAAAGTGGTGACGAGCCTCCCGCCGCAACGCTGTGATTAGTGAGTGGAGTTCTTTCAAAGCTTCTCGTGGGGAAACTGCTGGGAAGAGTTCTGCCATGAGCACATGGTGCATTATGCTGCTTGGGCTGGCAGTAACACAGCGGCCCAGCCAGCACCAAGATGTGGAGCTTCAATGACAAGGGCCTCTGTCCTGCCTGAGAGGTGCTGAGTGCTACCGTATCGGGTGATCGGCCTCTCAGAAAGGCTCCTAAAAGGCTTTTCCACCCTTGTTTTGGCCCACTTGGTGAGGCGAGGGGGACTCTAACGGGATCCACAGTTTTCCGGGGTGTTGGATGTCCTGAGAAAAAGTCTGTACAATAGTGTCTGTGATGGAAGAAGCTGTGGAAGGCTGGTGCTGCACTTTCCCTCGCGCGTCACAAGGCCCGTCGTCCGTGGGATGGAGCTGGAAGAGACGTTTACGAGCACCGTATCAGTCCACTCGAACACGGCAATGTACTTTGTCCCTCATCGTCGAGTCCAAAGTGTCTGCGTGTTGTCACACGTGTTCGGTCTGTTGCTGATTAAAATTAAATTCCATTTAAAAAAGAAAAAAAAATACACCTGCACTTGATGTCTTTCATATACGAAAGGCCGAATGACTTGAATGTACTTCATTGTTCACGTTTTTAGTATTGTTGGGGGAAACTTGTATTTGATTTATCTTTTTTTGACTGGGTGTGTTCACTGACTTCTCAACTTCATAATGTCCACTAGCTCTCAAAAGGAGCAAGGGCATCCTAGATTCCTGCGAGCGGGACATGAGATAGAATCTGAGCTGGCCGCCACGGTCATGATTCAGAGCATTTGTTTATATCATCAAGCAATGACCACATCGGGATCTGTTGCACAGCGCAGAGCCGAAACCAGACTGCTTTTCATGAGACGCGACCCATTGCTGGGCCATTAGAACCAGGGTCCATCTCTGGGTTTGCAGTTTCTGAACTTTGAGGTTCCTGAGGGGCTGCCTGATCCTGTGCAGGCATGAGGTGGTTTCTTTATAAATATACATCTTAGTTGGCCAGCTCCTGCAGGGTAACACCCGTGCAGACCAAACGTTTTCCTCATTTTGCTAAATTGGGTGGAGTGGCCTTGGCTGTGTGACCGATCTCTGTATCCAGTGAGTGCTGGGTAAGTGTCCTTTCAACACCGCCTCCATCCCCTACGCCACCATGTCCAGTATTCTTGCAGCCTGTATGCCAGCGGCTGGCTTTGTCCCGCTCTATTTTGGAGATTGTGGTGGACTGGAGTGCAAAGCTGCGGCCATTGCTTTGGCAAGAAATGTAGACTTGGCATGGAGAAATGCAATTGCGTTCTTTTAGTTGTGTTTTTTTGGAGTCCAAAATATAAAATGTTATGACTCTGTTGGTTAAAGATTGCCTCAATCAAAAGCTTTATCTGCAGGACTTTGATAAATGCACATTACCTGATTAGTGGCTTCTCTTTGAGCCCTACATACAGACACCCATGTTGCTCCTTGACGATGGTTCCTTGGAATGATGTACTATTTCAGCTCTGACATGCGTTGGGCTGTTTAGTTTGGCAGGCCGGCGGCACGCCGAGCCAGTGTCAGGGGAGCGCTGCTGGCCGTGGTCACAGTGGAGCAGTGTGTTCTTCTTCTACCTCTCTGTGACTGGACAGCAGGAGTCCTTTCCACATGGACTCCGTTGAGCCTGGGGTCCATTGTGGCCACTGCGCGGGCGGCATGCTGCTCTCCTCAACCCCACCGATGGATCCGCTCGCCCTGTTTTTCTTTGCCTCGGAGTGGAAAAGCAAACTACAGCCCTCTTGATTTCCCCAAGCTTGCTTTTTTTTTTTTTCAGGCCTCTGGGTGCACTCGCGGGGACAGTGATCCCTGCAAGTTTTATGGGGAAATGTTGGCCAGAGAGATGGGTCCTTTTACTAGTTGATGCGGTTTACGAAGGTGGTTGAACGGTATGTCAACATTCCAGAAGTTGTCAAGGAAACGTATAACTGCCCGCCAGTGTGCTAATGCCAGCAAAAACAGACATGTGAGCCTACTTTGTATCTCCTTTTTATACACAGGATGCCACCTACATTTTGGAGTGATGGTTTCTAAAACTCAATGTTTGCCCTAAATCCTAGTTGTTAAACAGACTTTGTTTTAGCCACATAGAATTACTTCACTTCTGAAAATGATTTGTTTTCCGTCTACTGCAGTTATGATGCTGTCCAGTTTATATTCCCTTATGCAACTGAGAAGAGGTGCCTGGTGACTATAAATTAAAAGTACCAGGAAGTACAGTAAATCAGTTCAGCCCTAATGAACTCCAGATGTCTAATGAGCTTGATATTCTGCCCTGGTTGGACCCTTATGGAGAATTTAATAGGGATGAATAAATGCTCAGACTCTTATTCATTACTCATAAGGTCTTTGACTTTTTGTGTGTGTGTGTGTGAGCCTCCCTGAGACCACCTACAGTATGATCACATGAGACGGCTTTGCCTTCTCACTCACTGACATTTAAATTCAGGCTTAATCAGTTTCATCCATATTATGTGCTGAGCTGCAGGATTTATGAACATTACTGTTCAACTTTAACCTGATATAGTTTTTGCTGAACAGTTCTTCCTACTTCCACTTGTAAAGCCTTCAGTGTGTTTTCAGAGTAAATTACTGTATACTCATCTTGTTGTCTTCATGTCTCTGCTGCTCATTTGGCCTCTAATCTTCTCCTCTACATATGGTTTATATCTGAAGCGGTCTGATGGTGTGTGTGTGGCCATGGTGAACGAATGGAGAGAGGGATGTATTAGAACTTGCATTACAAAGATTTCATGTTATTGAATGCTGCAGTGTAATTCAGGGCCAGGGATTTATACATATGAAGCATTGTAGAGGATTGAGAAGCTTGTGCTGGCTGTCTAAAGCTTACTCCATGTGCTGTACGGACTGGATACTCTATGAGAATATATTACATCCCTATTTAGCAAAGGAACTCTGCATGCCCTAGGTTAGAAAACTGGATACTCTATATTAAATGTTGGGCTTAAACACATATGAAATGTAGGAAATGAACTCATTACTTGAGCCAGCCTCAAGGTGATCGTATCATTATTTAGTCTTGCGTAAAGCAGCTGCAATGGGAAATGAGGCAATAAAGAAGCTGAAGAATGTTAATGACATAATTTTGATACAAAACCTAAAACAATCATGTTTCAGAACATGGACACAGTGATGCACCGTCACTTAATTACAAGGCAGGGTCCATCTGTGACTGGATAATGAGTAGCTCCGTTAGCCTCGGGTCTTTGCACAGGACCTCCACCAATGCACACCGCTGGATAGGAAACGCTGTACGCAGCGCTGTGCTGCTCATTCCCCACCCCAGGATATCTGCCCCCACCTTCACCACCTCCTTTGTGGAGCAGCAGTCATGTCTGGGGTGGAGACGGCGAAGAAGCAGTAATGGCACTTTCTTACAGCAGCGTCAGGCTTCCCAAAATAAAAGCTCCCCAATGCATTGGCGCAGCGCGCTGCTGGCTCATGCCCTGTAATTGAAGCTGCAGGGTGGTAATGACGATGATGCAGAGTGGCTTGCTTGGAGCCAGTCTGAAGGCTCCACCCCAGGCAATGTCCCTGACGTCTTCTATAGTCCTTGATATGATACCGCTGCCCTAGTATCTCTTCAGTTTCCTGTTTTTGTACCGTGACGTGGCCAATGAGCTTGAGGCGTGTTCCTGTGATGGAGCGATTGTCTTCTCCATCCCTTTCCCTCCAATACTGACTCTGTTCCAGAACTTTTTTCTTTTATTTATCCGTGAGTTAGTTTCTGTAGTGGTCCAACTGGAATTGCTCCTTTCAGCTGCGTCACAAGATGCAATTGCAGTTAAACAACTTTTTCCACATACCTACAAAATCTGAAACACCCGTCCAAGAGCTTTATTTCATTAATTGGGTACTTAATCTTGTAAAATGGCCAAATTCCAGTTATTATCTTCTGATATTACCCTCTGTTCATGTGAACGAAGACTGAGCCTCTGAGCGGCATTGTTAAAGGAAACCGTAGAACGCTCGCTCTGTGGACCAATGGCTGCAGAAGCTCTAGGAGCGATCCGGGTAATTTCATAATTATGATTCGAGCCATTTTATCTCCATGGGCCGCTGAACAACTTTCGTAGGAAGGAACACCGTATCCAGTTCTGTTACACATACATGGTGTTCCCCCTTTGTCTCCCTTTACATGCTGGGATAGACATCTGGCCCCTTCCAGGAATAAAGCAGTTGGATACAACATGGATAGATGGAAAATTAAAATAAACAGCAGGGTTCAACACAACTCGTCTGCCACCTTGGCTGCAGATGTCTTCCCGTGCACATGCTGCAGGAAAAAGATTTCAAAATTGAAGCCTCTGAAACTTTGCATCTGAAGCAATCTCTCAATCATTTCCATAGTTTTATTACAAACTTTTAAAAATGTTGTTTAAGAGATTAACACAACTAATCTGTTCTATCTGTAGTGTATAGTTTTGGTAAATGTGAGCTCCTGAATACACTTCAGTGCAGCCAGCCAGAGGAACAGGAAGAATCGCTTAGTTTTTCCGTCTCTCTCATCTGACACATACCCCCATGCGAGAAAGAATGGGCCTTCCTCTGCCTCCCTGTGTGCTACTCCCTAAACGTGTTCATATGAGACGTGGTGCAGTTGTACAGCGTATTCTGCATTGAAGCTCTGAGATCAGCTGTGTGTAATTGACCGATGGCTCACAATGGAGCACTGATTTTAGAACAGATTTGTTTTGGAAAGCTTGTTTAAGGCCATTACAAACATGACACGATGCTGCTAGAAAAGGTGGGCCTTAGTGGATGATCGTGATGGAGGAACTGCTCTTGTTATGCAGTTTTCTTAACCTTCCTGCGGTCAAGCTCAATCACTGCTGCATTCTCGCTGTCAGTGACGTGGTTGTTTCTTCTCTCCCATCTCCCTTTTTGTTTTTTCTTTACTTATTGCATTCCTCTTAAGTCTTAATTGTTATCTGTACTTCTTCTTCTGCTTTTGGAGAGCTGGAAGATCTCTATTCAGTAGCCAAACACTTGTATAACAAGAGCTTGGTTTCATCTGCAAATACTGTGCAGCTTTACTAGGTATTCTTGAAATAATACCTAAAGTATGACCGTCCATCTGGTCTATGGCTGTGAGATTGATTTACAGCAGGAGAGGACATGTGCGTCTCTATTCTGTGCTCTGATGACAACGAATATGTGATCGTATGAGCCTGTAGTTATTATACTGGGTTTATTTTGGGAGGAATCAGTGAGACGTCCCAATGATCATTTCTGGTAAAGGCTTCCCGGCACGCACCACAAATCTACCCACTCACTAAAGAGGAAAATTGGACTTGATTTGAGAACGGCGACCTTGTTCAAAGAGTTTCTGAATTGGTAGCGGGTGCTTGCTTTGAAAAAGGCAAGTCTTTGACTCAATCACTGCCCTTGCGTCTGCATGGAGCTCCAGCATCACCTCCAACTTTAATATCAGACATCCAGTGGAAAGACCTGGTTGGAGACGACTCTCCGTCGGATGGAGCCTGCGTAACACTCATGCCAGCTGGGGACGGTTGAGGAAGAAAAACTCAGCGAGCCCAATTATAAAAGCTAAACTGCTGAAGCTATTTGACTCAAACTCAATGTTTTCCTGGACTCGGCACAGACCTAAAACAAGTAAGGGCTTTGTTTCCCAGCAAACAAAGTTGTGAGGAGTATTTTCTTGTTTCTCCTTGTTTTCATATTTTGTTAAAATGAATATTACAGCTGTGCATGAGTATGCTTTCTGAGATCAGTACGTGGTCACTGTTACAGGTGGACATTGTTAGATGCCTGACAGTTTGTTGGAATTCCTGACGACAGTAAAAGTGTCTGTGTTGAGTTATGTGCTGTGCAGACTTGGTCCAGGTGTGCTGAGTGTTTACTGGGAACATGTGCCTGAGCTCACTTTCACTGGTTGCTTCCTCCTGCACTCTTGTAAAATAATTGAACTTGAATAAATCAACCTTTGCCCACAGTGTTGTAACTGTGTATCTTGCCTTTGAACAGCTCCAATAAAAAAAAATGTCATTGGCACAAATGCTGAGACCTTTTAGTTTATGAGCTTCTTGTGCACAGGTCAAGTAGAAATATACTCTGGTTTTAAAAAGACTTCTGTAGAAGCACCAACCAAGCTTTTTTACTTAAGTAAAAGTACTGGTTTCAAAACTACTTAAAGTATAAAAGTAATGTAAGGGAAAAGTTTGTCCATGATGGCATTCCATCATGGACAAACTCTTCATGTGTAACCTCGCTCACAGAACATGTCAGTCCATTTATCAGAAGGTGTCTTCAGGTCACGTGACCTGCAGTTAGAAAAAATGGCGATATCCAGAGAAGCAACGCTGAAACGGGGACAAATGTATCGACCCGCATGCTACATAACTTAAACATTTCTGAAGCCTCTCATGAACGGTCCCCTTTTGACAAAAAGGCAAACGCTCACTTAACATCCAGATTGCCTTCCTGAATTACAGTATTGTTTGTGCTCAGTTTGGCTCAAGAGGTTCTGGTAGTGTGGAATGTCTCATTTGGTGGTGACTGACACTGTTTATAACTACCATGAATAATTATGACATTTGCACAACATCTGGAAGCCATTGATGTGCATGCTGGCGTGGTCTTTCCTATCAGACCAACACTGGAGTCTCTATCAAACATCAGCTGAGGGGCAGAAGTAGCTCTGATATAAATGGTAATCAAGAAACCAAAGGATGATGTGGGTTGCTAAGACTGATCCTCAGTAGAGGAATCTTGGGTGTGACTCATGCAATAGAGACCTCGGGGCATAACACCCAAGCAAACGATGACAAACTATTGTTTGTTTTGTGCAGGAACATTTATGTAGTGTTTCTTCCTAATGGAGCAGTTTTTAACTTACGGATGCATTTTTTTTTCTTGTGGTCATAAAGGGTGCAGTTCAATCCGATTACTGCTTACTAAAATGAGGGAGCAAGATTTATTCAGTGCCAAATTGCTGCTTGGAGCAGCCATCCAGAAATGCTGCGTGTGGATTCATGCCTCTTCATTGAACATGCCGTAGCTGTTATTATAACTTTTTTTTTTTTTTTGAGTAACATTGCATCATGATCCAAGCACTTACACGCTGTCTTAATAGTCCGCCGCTACGAACTTCACACTTTATTTCAGCTGCTAATGTCGAACTCACTCTTGTCTCTTTCCTTTTTGACTCTGTGCTCCACAGGAGTTCTCCCCTTCAGACTACAGGAGCAATTCAGTGTCCAGCAGAACCCCGACGCCACCAGGACGCTACTCCCCCCACAGCCCCATTGATCAGGACGTACCCATGTCCCCTCGTCGAAGGTAGAGACCACTCAGCGTTTTTACACCGCTAACGGGACAAAACACCATAGATGTACTGTAATTATATGCTTGAACATGCAGAACAACCTGTATATTCTCCATTTTGGCCAATTACTCTAGACCTGTGAGTGTAAAACACATTCTAAAGCTTCTTCAAAGTTACAGCAAGAAGTTTGTAATCTTACAACGGTGTGCATCTGTGTACAGGCGCGTACAGTCGTTCAGTGCCATCTATAGGCCAGAAGGGGTTACGCCCCCATATTTAAGCCTACAAATCAACATTTGATAATAGTCATCTCATACACAGGAGAAAACGTTAAGTGAAGCTTTTACTATAAGCTGGTACCAGCAGTAATCACTGCCTTCGTAAAGGAATGCATCTAGTTCTTGTTTGATGCTCTATTTAGTTCTGATTTGTTTTTCTGGCAGTGTATAATCTCTTCTAACAGCTCAAGGGTATCTACTTACACCTACAGGTCAGTGGAGTGAACATAACTTTCCCCATAAGCCTGACAAAAGGCTTTTTTTATTTTAGAGATGTTCTCTGATTACATGAGGTTATTTCACTGGTTGTTATTTCCGTTTTACCTGTATTTGGAATTCCGCTGGTAGCACAATCTGCAGGAAACATTCCTTTGTACATTTGGAATACTTTTTCTGCCTTTCAAAAGGTCATTGTGGGAAGTCAATTGAAAGGGCAAATAGATTTACAAGTCTGTCAAAACCACACATGCACACAATTGTGTGCGTTTTTTAATTTCCCGCCGTGTTGCAGCGGACCGTTGATTCTTTGAGCTGTTAGCAGCTGCACTGTAACAACAAATTTATTGTGTCCATCATCTGCACTACCATTTCCCCTTCCTGCTTCGCCCCAGCTGATGAGGGGATGGTGCTGTAATTTGACCGTTCATAGTGTGTAGGTGCTGCCCTCTGAAATGTTTTGGAGATTTGCGCATAGTCCCCAAAGCGTTTTGTCTCTGCAGCAATGCGAATTTTCTTTTAGTCAAACATAATCCTCCGTCCACTGCCTCTGCTGGAGAGCCTGGTGCCTGTTTCCACAGTGAAGGATGGTTGACTTTGGCACCAGTTTCCCCCCGTGGGTATCCACCGCTGATATGACATTTCAACAACTGCAGGCATAATACGAGCACCCCTATCTTCCCCCAAAGGTCTGATTTCTTTTTTTATAATTCTTTTTTTACTTCTACACTTGATTGGGCTGCTGCAGACCAACCCTCTCCCAGCTCCTTCCCAGCCAACCCCAGACTCAGTGACACTCTTTTCCCACCCCTTCATGTCGCCCAGAAGAACACCTTTCAGTTAGACTTGTGTGTCTTTTCCCCTCTCGTCTGGTTAGAGGGGTGCGTGAGTTGCTTGAAATACAAGGACAATTACTGTAAATTAAAGCTGAACTATCTTTATTGGTTTTCTTTCCGTTTGAGGTGAGTTGTCATTTTGAGTTTCATTATTTATTTTTGATTTCATTGGTCAGAATGTACAAACTGATTGTACAAAACTAGTTGTTGTGCGACTGTTTCAAAAATGGGCTTGGAATGTGGTTGATGTTATGCTCATGTACTATGACTAGATCTTTATCATCGCAGCTCCGTGCCAAGTCTTTGCATGGAAACCAGCAACACATATTTATCTACATTGCTTAGACGTTTCCACATTTGTCACTATTCTCAGAGGACCTACTGATACTTTTCTGTCCTTCATCCTCACTACTGTAGTTTTGTTTTTTTTTTCTTATTATTATTTCACCCCAACTTTCCATTTGGTATACAAATGCAATTTCAAAAGGGATGCTGAGCGCGGCGATAATGGAAATTGATTGCCGGGGTGGAGCTGCTGAGCATGGAAAACTTGGAGGTTGTGCTTCAGAAGTCTGTTTTCAATTTGAACAATGTTGTGTGATTCAGAGGGAAAAGGGTCTGAGCGGTCACATGTTCTGTTTTCCATATCATTTTTCAGCCATGTTTATTTAGTAAGAAGTGCAGACAGGAAGAATACACAGACACGTTGAGGAAAGTTGCATAGAAGAGGGGGGCATCATTTTTTTTAAGGTGTTATTTATGTTCTATTAATGCTGACTTTGACCGTAAGTGGCCATTTTGTGTTCCTTTTTTTTGTTTCTAATATTTGATAAGACATTGACAATAAACAAGTGTTTTTTTGTTCTTCGACCAAAAGACCAAATGTTCTTGACTGACCATGTCTGTCATCTTACTTCTATACAACTAAGCATGTGTTTGCCAGAATAGTCAAATGCCTGAAACGAGAGAACTGACTGCAGCAGAGGAAACCAGCGAGGACAAAGTGTTTTTCTGTGGTTCATAAATACCAGAAACCTCAGCGGCTTAAAAGCCAAATGCGATGAGACTTGTTCTTGTCAAATGAGTTAATCCAGTATCGTTGATTGTTTAGCAACGAATACTGTCCCTGCCCTGTTCGCCCAAACTCGAGCGTGTGTTTTTTTTATTTCTGATCCCGTGAACAAGAGTAGAGTCAACACAACTCGTTTGTCAAGCCACTTGCTTTTGTCGTAGTACAACAATGTCGGAGGGCAGTGATGCCAAAATGTTTCCATACTAAGGAGGTTGTCATGGTCTGAGTAGATTCTTCACAGCACGGGTGTTGGTTAAAGAGTAAATGTTTTTTTGGACGATGTGTTGCATGGGACAACAGAAGGGACAGTCTGCTGCAGGCGGGAGGCATCGAACTACACCTGGCTCTGCTGGTGTACCGGGCCGACCGGTTCCTTCTGACAGCAAACGCTCACCACCTCCCTACAGGCAAATACTTTGACATGACCACGTCCTTTGTCTATTTCTGTATGCTCGTGAATCATCGCGATCGAGTACGGATTTTCGTACATGCAACATTTTAAGAAGCTGTGAAAAATGACTGCTTCTCCGCCGGATAGAGAATCTGCTTTCTTTAATGAATTGTCGGCAGTTACTCAAAGGTAAAGCTTCCCCTCCTCCTGGGCTTTGACAGGTCGTAATTTTGTAGCTGTTATCAATTCAAGGTACAAAGCTCGTGTCTATCATGCCTTGCGTTAGTCACTTTAGATTTGGCACATTCCCTGTAGTTTGTAAGTGGAACGTCGGCTTTTTTTTTTTTTTAAGTGTCCTTTTCTGGGACCGATGTTCGATTGGACGCTGTTTGGCCGCATGGTCTCCAATCTAGACTTAAAGGGCATTGGTCAAAGTCTCAAAGGCAGCTGCTGCATATTCCTTCATTTCCTGTGGATTCAATGAAACCAGACTCAAGTATTTAATAAATGGACATTTTCTCTGGAACACATCACCGAGATACCATGGTATAACTTTTGTTAACATGATGACCTACAGCCTGTGGTTTTTATTTCCTCCTCCTACAGCAGTTCGAGCTCTGACTCTGCCATGCAGAAGTTTGACAGGGAATCCGAGGTGTACAAGATGATTCAGGAGAATAAGGAGTCCCGCACGGCGCCTCGTCAGTCCAACACTTTTAAAATGCTGCAAGAGGTCCTGGAGGCTGATGAGAAAGGTTAGAAGCACTTGACATTAGCAACGGATCGCTGTCTATTTAGCATGTAAAACTCAAATGTTGCACAAATCTTCTCAGACATTTATTCTGAATCTAAAATCTGTAAATTTAAATTCTCTTAACTTTTATGTTGTGATGTCTTAGTTGGCAAATTCTCTAAAAGTCCTATTTTTTTTTTTTTTAAGTGCATTGTTGTCATGCGGCCATCACCGGTGCAGGACGGAGAGCAACTCTGTCCTACTTTTCCCACCGCTCTGCTTGTGATAAATGTCAGGAGCGATAAGTCCAGATGGCATTCAAGCAAGCCTAACATTCAGTCATGATATGTTGATGACCAATGTGTGGAAAGTTGAGCTTGTGATGACGAGTGGGAAACACAAACATGCTCCACTGACTGAGGGCAGTGAGGCCCAACAAGATGTTGAAAAGCGATGCAGACTTGTCACAACATCCCGCTCAGCTGCTCTGTCTGTGTTCTTGACTCCAGAGGCGGCCCAGAAGTTCCCAGGACTGCTTTCGCCCAACTCGCCCATCCAATCGGTGGGAGGCGTGAAAAAGAACCACACCTGTGAGAAATGCGGCACCGGCATTCTGTAAGTTCCCTGCAGTTTAAAATAATTTGCAGTAAAAGCTGTTCCACATGTAAAATGGGATATTAAGTGTGTGTGTGTGTGGTCTTTTTTTGGGGGTGGTGGATGTGCAAACGAGCAACTGGACATTATCACTATTACATTGAATTATTTAATTCACTTTTCATATTTTAGTTTATCACAAAGCTTTATTTTAAGTAAAGTGGATCAAATGTTAAGTGTCATGATACAGATGTTATCGCCCAAGTCCAAATATTTTCACTTTTTTGGACTAAACTGCCTTGTAAAAATGGCATCGCCACATTGCTAAAAGCATTTTAGGAAGTTCAAGTGTAACTTAAGCATGCTAGTGTTTGTTGTGGTGTCAGATTGTCACCTTTCCGTAAGCATTAAAATTGAAGTGTGATATGTAATCAGACTTATGCCACTTGATTTTCATTGAAAATGTCTGATAGTCCTGTGTTTCAACTCTCCACAGCACACTGGCCGTGCGCATCGCGGACGACCGCTACCGCCATTCAGAGTGCTACACTTGCACAGATTGTGGTCTTAACCTCAAGATGAGAGGTCACTTTTGCGTCGGCGACGTGATGTACTGCGAGAAGCACGCCAAACAGAGGTACCAAGGCCCAGGAAGTTCTCCTCAAGCCACAGTGTCCCCGCGCCAATGAGGGTCGTTCTGCACCTGCCCCCTTCTGGACTTGGAGCGCTGCTTGTCCTTCTGAAGCTCCAACCCACCTGACTCGGTGACAGACCTTGGGATGGGCCGTGGAGGTGGACGCTGGTCTACGAAATGGCCGAGGATATTCTTTTCTGATCACATTTAACCATACTTTGCAATATTATGATTTAACTTTCTTGCCTTTTCTTATATGCGCATTGGGGCTTTGTTTTTCATATGACCCGTCCTGCGTAGTGCATTTAGATACTTGCATTTAGGCTCTAATGATGCACTGTTGCCATGGACTTGAGCCCACATCACTGTTGAGGCCAGATTTACACCATGCCGCATGACTTTAGACAAACTGAACGGGAGTCTCTCTGACGATCTGGATGACCATTTGAATCGCCTGACTACAAAAAGGGACCAAAATTTCACATAAACTACATGCCATTTTACAAGTGAACTGTACGCAGGTGTGTATGGATGCACGCATTCACGTGCAGAAGCGGAAGGTGGCTTCTGCGTGAAATCCCGCCTCCGTGTGAGGTCTGTGCATGAGAGGGAGAAAAGTTTGTGCATTTTGCGCTAGTCAGGCCAAAAGCCCTTGAGTTTTTCTATTTCTTTTGTAAGCAGAATTTATAGCAGAAGAAAATGCATATTTGCTGACTTGTTATGTGGCTTAAGAGGGACAATAGATTAGTTAAATATATATAAATATACACATATTGTTTTGTGATTGAACTGTATTCTATAATAATGACCATTTCAAATGCATGATGTATGCACAAGACATTTAGTGTGACAATAAATACTACTCCTGTCCAGCTAAAGCAGTACTACGAGAATATTGTTCGCATTACTTGTGGCACTTAATAAAATCGCACAACCTAAAGCTACATGTCTTCCTACATCCTCAGCGGGTCTCTGCCTTGTCTTTGAGTATTTATCTTTTAAAGCAGAATGTTTTGCTATACAGGTATGGCAAATATTTCGTACTCAGCGGCCTTTCAGTTGAACTTTTTGTCACGGCTGACTTTTTGTTGCTGCTTGGCCGTGAAACGCAGGTGTAACTAATTCCATTCATGGTCTCTGGGAGTTGGGTGCAGCTGTTGTTGGTTACATCCGGGGGTTTTGCTTAATTTTTTTTTTCCTGCAGTGTCTGGGATTTTTTCACAACCGACATTTTGCAATTACAATGCACGAGAAAGCATTGTTGACTGTCCTGGTGTATTGAGTAAGCTATGACCTTATTTGAAAAAAATATTCAAATGATCTGCCGATGTATGACAATTAAACTGAAAATCAACATGAATAATAATCTGGATGAGCTTTAATTTTAAATATGACAAATTAAATCAACTGCAGAATAAAACTATAAAAGCTCAATCATCCCAAACTTAAACGGAACATTTTTTTTGGACAGAAAGGAAATGCAATGACGGGTGTGCTTAAAATGTAATGCCCTCTATGCTTAAAGATGACGTTCAACTGTTTCACACAAACTTGTGTTTAATAATAAGGGACTACGCAGTTCTATTACATCGCTGGGCAGATTATATGGCCGACGCCTTTTACGTGGAAAATTTTACTTGAGGGGGGAAAAAAAAAGAAGCGTCAACTTTGTTTTTCAGCACCATGAACCGTCCACCTCTCGCACAACTGTCCTGCCATCAAGTGCAACTTGGTGTGGACTTAAGGAACTAAGCTCCCTCTGCTTTAGGCTGGCTAGTGGAGTCATCTTGGGTCCTACCTGCTTAGCTTCCATCGGTATGCTTTGTGCTCAAACACAAAAGTTAAGGTCCAACATTTTCCTCATGTTACATGTTTTTGGTAACACTTTTGTTTTTTGTCATTCATATATCCTTGATCTCTGCTGTCCGCCCTCTCCTCCTCGAGGCAGTTTGGTGGCTATTAATCCAGCAGGTTTTACTGGTTTTTCAGTTGCGGTCGTCTCAACTAATGCACAGTTTATTCCATCCCCACACTTTTCAAATGTCTGACTGTATTGTTGTATGCTGTCATTGGTTACTTGATTTGTTTTTGTTTTTATCATTCTTGGGGGCCACTGGCTCATTTGCCAGGTAAGGAGCCTTTTCTATAGTTTATTATTTTTAACCTAGCAAAAGAAAGTTTGCTAAAACTAGTGCGCAGTTTCTTCAAGAAATTCCATTTTTTTTTTTTTTAATTAAGATTGCTTAAAGCTGCCTGGGGCAATTCGGGGAGTATTGAGACACACTCACACTGGGTAGCTCCCGTCAGCACGCTACCGCACTGCAAAGACCATTGCTTTCAGTCTGTTCGCCTCCTTACAGCTGTAAAACCATTTCAGAGTCAGTTTATTACTTAAGATAAAGTTTTTATTGAGCGGGAGTTGTATAACGTCAATGATTCCTCTTCAGATTCCTAACTCATCGTTACATGAGCTGTTTGTCATCCAGATTGTTACATAAATACTTAATGCTTTAACTTTTATGTTTTTTTTAATCACACACATCCCTGTTATTATAAAACCGGTTTGACAAGTCACCAGTGGAATTTCACATTAGCAGGAGGAGTTATAACGGGGATTGTTTTAGGATTCACTTTAAACCACATTTGTATAATTCTCTCTGCTAACATGAGAGGGCAGAATTGCTCTAGTTTTAAAAGTGCCTCTGAACGTAGTTCAGGCTGGAAAAGGAGAGGGGGGTTTCATGGGCAAATACGATTTATTCATTTTTTACATAAAAATGCACCTTTTAAGGAGAAATGTGATAGTTTGAATTAGATTTCAATATCTTAGTTTTCTAGAATAATAAACTGAACAACTTTTCACATGTTTCAATGTGTTACATGTGAATTTTCCTAGTATTCTCTCAACTGCAAAGACTTTATCATTAGAAAAGGACATAGTGTGTTGTATTCTGATCATATTGTAAAGCCCGTTGAAAACATGTGATTAGTTTTGAGTGGATTTTATCTACAGAGCCATTCTGCAACATTGTGAATGAAACGTCATTGAGGTTGCCGCTACTGTAGTTACCTCTGCTGCTGCTAACTATTAATTATCATCAAAGGTATTTAGTAAAGTGAAATATCTTACACCATAATGGTTTGATTACCTTACAAACTGGAAAAGGTGTGTTTTAATGTCCCGTCAAGTCCTTTTATTAGAACCATTTGAAAGTGGGCGGGCCTTGTCTGTGCTGGTGATCTCACCACTAGGTGGCAGTAACCACTCATACAGATGAGGGCCTCATGGAGGGCCCGGTGTTTGCTTCCTGGCTGGAAGTTGTCCTTTGTTTATCGACTGGCAGAAACACAAGCCCGGGCCGGGCCTCAATCTCAGCAGTCTGGCCGCTTCACGTGTTTCTTGAATGAAAACCGAAACGTCGCTAAGAGAAAAACTCCCTTATCGCCTGTTGACATACGTCCCAAAAGCTTGCGCAGCTTTCACCAAAACATCTTCCAATACATTTTTCCCAGTTCTACTTTTTGAGCCTCTTTTCTGCTTTCCACCTTTCTCAATTCCCCACCTGGAATGCAGTCCAGATGTGGAAACGGCAGAAGGAGAGATTGCCTGCTTGGCCATACGGAGCCGATGGGGGGCTGTGGGGTGCGTAGAGAAAATGTTGGAACGACATTAAAGTTTGTCTGGATGCCATTAACTACAATTTGAAGTAATGTGCAGTTCGGGACGTGACATTTCAAATGGAAACTGTGCGCTCCAGATGAGAAAGATTTGAGCCTTGTGGAGTCGGAGGGGGGTGTTGTACTTGAAGCCCTATTTAACAGCTTGGATAAACAGCCCTCTGTTTTGTTGCTGAGCGGGCGCCCATCCACTCCTTGTGCTTTCTTTCAATAATCACGCCGGCTCTCTGAGCCCGCTCCAGTGTACAGTATCACGTACAGGAATAACAAACCCGGGGTCCAGTGTGCGGGTCACAGCACAGTGGACCATTATTCTGCCGAGCATGCTCGCATGACTGAGGTGCCAGCGTTTTACATATGTCAGAGAACACATGTCAAGCCCAATTAAATTCCCCTTTCAAAATAATTTCCTGGTTCACCTTGTCATATTATGAAATGCGCAGATTGGAATTGGTACAGCCTCCATCCTCCCGGGCCTCTCGTACATCAAAAAGTATTTTCAAAACAATTTCATGGAATGGAGAAAAATACTTTCCATGCACACAGGCCGAAATGTGAAAAGGAGCTCTTCAGGGAAGTTAATACGATCCTCTGTATTTTTTGGACCAGGTGTGATTCATTCAGAGGGGGAAATTTCCTCTTTAAAAAAGGATATTCTTTTAATAAAATATTTGCTTGTATTGGGCCTGAAAGCATTAATTTGAATCAGATCTCTGTACTGTATATTATACCTACTTTGACAACCTAAACATCACATGGCAAGCCAAGAACATCCCACTCAGTTGAATTTAAATGCTCGCCAGCTTAGTTTGGCTCATTAGAAAGTAGAGCCACTTTGTGGAGAAAGACTTGTATTAAAGTATCTATTTAATGCAATCTTTTTAGCTTTCTGTTGGCCATTCTCTCCTACTCATCTAGAAACATTTGACACCGTAACTCAATAAGATAAAGTCTAAAATACGGTCAGTAGTGACAACTCATTTTTTTTCTCAAGACCAACTTGTTCTCTGCTGCCATAAATTTGTCTACAGCAACAATATAGAAAATAGTGAGGTGGAAGTCTTTACCCCCCCACCTCCTTCCTGCTGATTGAATAGAAAGGCTTTGATGTGGTGAAACACACAAGGGACCCTCAACATTCATTCATAACTTCAGTTTACTTTCTCAGTGAAGGTGCACATTGAAATCAAAACCTTCCTATTTAAATCAATTGGAAACACAACTAGTATATGTCATTGAAACCATTTGTATCCTATAAAATCTAAAATATTATTTCAACAAAGGTATCAATGGTCTTCACTCCAAAACATTTTCCGTGTGTGTGTGTGTGTGACCAATAAAACCGCATAAAATAGCCTATTCTAGAATGTGTCATGCAGTTTGCTTGACTTCAGGTGCCGTCACGTGTAAACCATCCCCTCTCTGGGGCCGGCGCTAGGACCGCGGGGAGCAGAGCGCAGGCGCAGACGCAACGGGCGCACTTTGGGTAGAAGCGCAGTGAGTTTGAGTGTGACAGAGACAAGAAGGAAAAACCCGCTAGGTTTTGGGGAATTACACAGGAGCCGATCGAGAGCAGCTTTTTGTGCAAACGAACAGGTTTTTTTCTGCCTGTCTTTAAATTTTATTTAATTGGGGAGAAGTCTTCATACGGGGACTTCAGGGACTGAGGGAAACTTTTAAAAAGCAGCCGCACTACTGACAAAAGTTTGAGGATATGCTTTTTTCTTTCTTTCTTTACTTCATATATTTTATCCGGAGGTGGCCTCACAGTTTTGAATCTCCTCAACCCCTGGATTAATTTAAAGAGTGTGTCTGTGTGATGTAATACGACCCCGGACTCTTACCGTCCGGATTCTGCGCTTGTGAGTGGAACTTAAACAACGTTTTTATTGACTTACGCGTCCCTTCATTTTATCTACGATTTGGAGCAGAGAAAGTTGCGCGCCTGGGCTGCTATGACATAACGGGACACTCTTGGAAAACCCAGGCTGCTGAATTCTTCTGAAATGACCGGATGACGCGTGTCCGTTGTTGAGCGGAGGAACTATTTTTTTTTTTTTTAAGTTTACCATTCATTCATTCAATACCAAAACCAAGCCCAATTTATCTCCCCCGCGGCCTCCTTACGCCCTCCGAACGCTCCATGGTGGAGACATGGGATGACTGGAGGCGGGGGTGCAGCTGAGGTGCGATCCAGCCGAAGGACAATGTTCACGCCCGGCGTTGGCATCCCTCTGCTGCCGGGGCGTCTGGTACTGATGCTGCTCCTGCTGTCCGCCTCCGAGCCCCGGCTCTCCCAGGCTTGTACCGGGCTGCTCGCCTCCACCAGCGGCTGCAGCTGCACGGACGAGCGGTCCAAAGCGCACGGCGTCCAGGCGTTTGGGAGACGGGTCAGCTGCAGCAAGGAGGAGCTGAGTGAACCTCCGGATGCGGCCCTGCTGCCCAACAGGACCGTCACTCTGTGAGTTGACATGTTTACTGAACTAATGTCATATCAGTGTGGTTATGATCCGCCTGTTGTGGCCTGTGACGTTTCTCCAGGCTGTGTGTGTATGTCATATATCATCTATGGTCTCAGCAGCATTCCTTTAATATCCCACGATGCTATTAGAATATATATGAATATAAGTGTTTCCTTAAATACACTTAGTCTGCACTGTAATTGTCTGAGGATCCAAAGTGTGTCCACGTCACAGTCAAAGAATTCAACTGGATGGATTGTTCCGTTTTGCTGGTGCATTTCGCGTGTGAGTGCAGTGCCTCACTGAAGCCCACACACCCATGACCTTAAGTTTAACTGCATTGAGGACTTGCAGCAGTAATAAGGCTTGTTAGGTCATAAGTTTACATCTTGATCTAGTTTAACTGCGCAGTGAAGGGCTGAGCGTCGCCTGTCTGTGAAACATTAGGATCAGGCTGACTGGAGCATCACACGGGCCTACCTCTTTGACACAACTGTCACTTCAAATCTGACTCTGAGGCAAATCTCAGCTCCGCACCTCCCAGTGCACATGGTCCAGCTTTACAGAACTAGAATGAACAAAAACACACCCTGAATGTTTTGTATCTGTTCTGGCGGCTTGGCGTGCAGTCACACCCTGTCTCGCAATCGCCTTCTACTATTTGGTGAGAAGCGGACAGCAATGATTCTGGGAATTCTCTTAATTGCTGTTCTAAGAGTTTGGATCAAACTTGAAAGGGACCACATCATGGACCGAGACACACTATCTTTTATGATGTATGAACAACCCATCTGTCAGTGACACATCTTTTGGGGATGGTGTTTTTGTTCACTTTCTTAGCTGCTCAGACTATCTGACGTTGTTTCTTCCTCCCACAGTATGCTCTGTACTCATGACCCAGTAGGATAAATGCTAACAGCGTAAGGGCACAGGGGAAAAAAGCATGTTCAACTGCCCTACTGCAGCAAGCCCATGAATGAGGTGAAGTAAGGTATTTATGCCCCGGGAAAAGCCAAAGCCAGCCAGGAGTCCATTTATAGGGCCTTATGTTTCTTTCTTAATAAAGACAGAATAAACATCTGGGGAACACATTGCTGGAAACCATGAGGGGAAAAAAGAGGCTTGGGTTGCAGTGGTCGAGGGGATGGAGGATTATCTTCCATCCCCTCATCTACTAATTTTGGTCGAGTTGTTTTTGAGCAGATGTTTAGCATTCTGATTCACTTTTACAAGGCCATGAAAAAGAATTCAGCCTGTAATCCGCCATTTTACCTTTTTACCTTTTCACCCGGCAACTCTGGTGTCTGGAAAGCTCGTTTTCCTTAAGATTTGGTAAGTTCCTCAAGGGCCCACGCTCCCATTGTTGCTCATGACATTGGCTCCAGATGTGGAATGCGAGAAGTTGTGTTAATATCCGTGTTATTCCTGACATTCCCCGGTCCGTTCGGAGGCCGCGGACAGTATTCCAGGTGCAGCCTGGGAGCTCTCCCTGTGCCCTGCGCCGCTTCGGCCCCTTTTCCCCACATCGGATGGCCCGACAGCGAGCCCTCGCTGCCCCGTCTCCTGGGACAGCCTGGAGGAATGCTCTCCTCCATGCTGAGCAGGCGCGGGCTGGAGGACACCCGGCCCGGGGCTTCCGGGGCCGGCTGCTACGTGTAATGCACAACAGCTGGCCTCCTGTGAACATTCCAGCTGAGGCCCTCAGCCTGATGGGAAATCCCAACGGGGATTTGTTTATTAAAACTATTAGTTAGCTGTTTGTTGTTCCTGCCAGCCCTAAAGGAGCAACCCAGTCGCCCTGATATTATCACCTCCTCCTTTTGGCTCGCCAAAGCCCGTGCTGCACTTTGATTACATTTACTGCGTCTCAGGTCATACATTGCGCCATTTTAGAAACCTCCCGCCTATCAATAGTGCAATGACGCGTCATGCTATTCTCAGCGCTTGTCTCCTCGTCCCACTTTCCCTCTTTTTCTTTATCTCTGTTTCCCATTTCTCTCCCCTTCCCCACTTCCTCTATCATGAGTTCATCCACACGCAGTAACTCTCAACCTAAATATTTAGTCGTCCTGGTAGGAAACTGCCATGTCCAAACTCCTTCCAGATGTGAGCCCGCGCAGGCCAGTGTTTAGGCCTAATTATGCACGGCTGCGAAAGATCCTGATCGCCGGCGGAGGAAGAGGAGTGGAAGGGTCGGGACGGAATAATAGATAAGAGAGCGAGAGGAAGGGTGCCGCCGTCGCGGGTCAGTGACGGAAGTTGAAAGGCCGCTGAATTGAAGGACAAAGTTTAGCACGAGTGGTGGAAGAAATGGGAAGAGGGAAAACCAAGAGGGGGAACAAAGACAGCGGGAGAGAGGATGGAGGAGGGAGAGGAGAAGCTCGGCTGGCGGTTTAGAGCGATGTGCCCCTGGAGACTGAATACTCCCCAGCCGCTGACTAACAGATCTGCAACACCGGGGTGAGAGGAAAGAGGAGGAGGAGGAGGAGGTGGCGGCGGCGGCGGCGTAGCTTCACTTCATTATTATTAGTCCTCTGTGTGAAAGAGGAACTTGTTATTTTTGTGCATCATAGAAATGAATTCATTTAATGTGAGAAAGGCGTTCATTCCTTCCTCGGGGTTTGCTTGCTGGCAGGTGTGTTGTAACGGAGAGGTGGTTGATGGAGAGAATGCACGGTGGACGTCCATGTGTGGAAGTGCCGGTATCTCGTAGCTCGCGTGCTTCTACCCCAGGACAAAACCGTCCTCTCACCCTCGGTGTATTTCGTTGTCGTCATTCTCTGTGAATGAAGGCTCAGGCTCGGTAGGAACCAGCCCGAATGAGTGGGCACAGATGCCCCCTCGGTGGGGTGGGGCCAGCATGCCAGTGTCCTTGGCCCGATGCCCCCTCACCCAAAACAGCTGCATTGCAAGACATTTGCTCTCTACACAGTTGATCCACGTGTGTGGAAGTTGCTGGATGGTTGTCAAGCGTTCAAGATAAAAATATTCTCCAGGCGGTGATATTTTTATCAGTAAGGGACACGGTTGTAAATGAACAGTTGTTAAAGATCCCGTTTCTGGGAATTTGAGTTAATTTGTGCATTTTTATTCTGAATTTAGAAGATATAATTGGGAACTTTATTATATTGTAATATGTGATTTAATTGAAAACATTAAATTATTATATTACCAAAGTTGTATCTGCCAGTGGAAAGGTTTGAAGGTTGAATGTTTAAATGTGTTCATTTGCGTCCTTGCAGGGCCTCCTGGTGGAGAGGGCGGATTTACACTATTAACTTTTGCAACCCCGCATGCATCAGTACCACACAGTCTGTTTATAGAATTTCATGAGTCTTCTCTGTGTGTTCACTCAAAGGTGACTAACCTCGTCAGTACAACCGATGGGCCACAGTGTGAATCTGCTTGTGTCCGATGTGCTGACGGAGAAACCACGAGCCAGCAGATGTGTCTGTGGTTTAACGTTGTGACAATGCAGTATGTCGATGAAACACCCTAAACAGTCACCTTATCAATGTCCGGAGAATTCCGACAGTGGGATAGAGCATTTCACCCTGGGCATTCCTGCTGCGGTGGGGTTTATTTATGTGGCTAAAGGTGTTGAGAGGAGGGGGAGCGGCCTCTACTCTGCACATGTTAGGTGGGGCAGCGGTCAGCAATAAATCTGAAAAAAAAAGCAAACAAAGGCCCGACACTGGATACCCGGGGCTTCATACCCAAATGCAGCACCTGCCGTTGCCACACAAGCCGCGGGTTTAATCGCGCCCTCCGAGGTCAAAGGGAGCACGACTTTCTGGGCTTCTACTGTAGCTTCCCGCCCGCTTGGATGATGAATGCATATTTCACTTATCGCCTCGTTGTGTTTGTTGATTGAAGGCAGCGATATTTCGAGACATAGCAAAAGCGGAGAGCTGCGTTGTCATAGTAATCTCATCCCCCCTCAAGTGGCTTTTTGTTATTTTAGTTTTTCCTTGCACACCACTTTCTTCTTATCTTACTCCAAAAACGCCTGAGTTTGACTTTTCTTTGCCAGCGCTAACTTCCCTGCGTCTGACCACAGCGGCCTCCAGAGTTCCTGCTCTGCATCGCCCATGGATGCAGATAATGGGGGTCCACAGTGGGCCTGTGGCTGCAGGGTGTGTGGGTGTGTATGTGTTTGTGCGTTTCTCATATTCCTTCCCATAACAGCTAATACATCACAACAGTGCGGTCATTTACTGGACTCAATCGGAGTACTCCAGAATTTTGATAGTCTCATTCATTTTTGAAGTCTGAAAAATGGGAACCATGTTCAGAGATTAGTATCCATATTTTAGGACAACTTTGCATCCAACAGCATTTGCTATTAGAATTTGCCTACAAAGAATTTTGAGACAGAAAAAAACTTTAAATGACTAAACTAATTATCCATTACTACCTACATAATGTTCCCAACTTTCAGCTGTATCTTCTGTTTAAGTCACACTGTTCCATCAGATTCTCTGAGCTTTAAGAAACAAATGCATTAATACAAAGATTTACTTGCTTACCAATTTTATTTTGAGTTTATCAATTTAAACTTGGGCTGCTTTTAAAAAGGTGATAACATAAAACAACCAAAAAAACAAATTTTTCTAATTTATCATCACTCCAAAACATTTTAATGTTAAATATAATATTACGGTCAGATAGAACCATATATAGATATTACAAATCTATTACTAACATAGTGTTAACAATTGTTATTTTTGTAATGATAAGTGGGTTTACAGCTTCAAACTAAGAGATTTAAATCGAAGAGGCAGTTTGGAAATAAAGCAATGCACTTTAAATGTATATCTGTGCTGATATCAATTATTCCTTTAGCTGATATATAGATTATCTTTGAAAAGCATGTTGATTTATCATATTAATTCAGAACACATGACTCATCATTGTCTAATAAATCCTGGTGCCAAAACTGGTTGATGAGCAGTAACGAGGATTGTGTCAATTAGACAAATGTTTTGATTCCCATTAC